TTTCCACTCCATGGTTTATTATCTGAAACAAAGGGTGACCCATCTTTACTGCAATCATTCTGCAAAATGAAATGAAACTGAAGAGAAGAAGGAACGAGCCAAACCAAGAGACATCCGTATGAACTCAGAGCTGCACGGAGTTTCTCAAGTTCTTTTCCTGTGTCAGTGGAAGGAGTTGTGAAGTGACCCACGTCAATCACTGGAATGTCGATGAAGGGTAGAAGAAAAGGGTCTTTCCCTCCATTGATCCCATCGGGATGGATGTACTTTGCAGGAAGGTTCTCTCCACCGACAGCCGCCAGTTCGGTCAAGGAATCCATGAAGCTGTTTGCTGCTGCTGCTGCTGCTGCTCTAGAATGGCTGGCAACCTGGGAACTGGACGCTCTATTATGAAGCTTCCAGGGGAACCATGCACATTGACAAATGGCAAAGGGCGTTGATGAGTTTCCAATCAACGTGTAGAGCATGCCGAAGAGCAAATCTCTGCAGAGAAAGAAAGGATCATTCTAATTCTTGGATTCTAGTTCTTACTGGGGTAGTTTCGATCCAATAAGTAGCAACCTGCTGCTGCTACTAACGTTCGGAAAACAGCTGTTCTTAGCTGTCGAATGGTTTCTTCCTCAGGAAAAAGCTTACAGCTTTACAAGCACAAGCAAGAGACTCGTGTGGCCAAAGACATGACAATTTTTTTCCCCACCTACCTCAGCTAAGTTGACGTGTACAGCATGCATGGCATTGGATGCTCAAATAATGCTGACATAAATGGTATGAGGCTTCTAATTGTTTGACTTTCTGGCATTGGATGCTCGATATTGTTGACATAAATCAGTGTTCGTGATATTGTACCGTACCGATCAAGAATATTTCATTAATTTGAGATTTCTTTAAAGAGATTCTTGATATACAAGTTATTCGTTACATGTTTCCTCAATCGTCGGAAATTTATTAGATGATTTCTTCGGTCCATCAATCATTAATATAAGAGCTAATATCAAATTAGAACTAGTTGCTAGAAGAGGAGCAAGTTGGGCTCCTATCGACATGATACACGTTCCTCGTTGTTTTTATGTAGAATACAAAGTAGCTATGAAGGTATGATTCCGTACTTTGTTTGATTCAAAACGCGAACAATCTCCCAAGTAGTCGTACGGAGGTGGGGTCCTTGTGGTAAGCCGCCTTTGTCTTGGGTACGCCGAATTCCTAAAAAAAACAAAGACGAAAGATCTTATCAATAGATAGCAACTGATCTTCTATATATTATATAGAGTTGGAATAAGTATGCTCTTTCTAAAATCAAAGATCACATCATTCCATTATAATATCGATTTCGCCATATATCTATAATCATACTCATAAAATCTTGTAACGATTCGAGTTGGAATAAGTATGCTCATATAGAATTTTTTATTTTATTTCGTCTCCAATCAATCTCACCGATTCCATTTCACACCTAAACATTGGAAGTAAAAAAAAAATGCACTAACGATGAAAATTGAAAAAACTCCAATACATTGACAATCAAGGCTGAATAAACATATTTTCAAGTAAGAGTCTTTTTGGATAGAAAACACTAATCAAAGTTCTAATCTAGGGATTGAATCCAAGGCCTGGAGGCGCAGTAGCCCTTCAAAGCGTAGCCGAAGTAAGGGTTCGTCAGCGGCGCGAACGCCGTCGTCACGCACTCGTCGGAAACTCGCCGGATCGATTCGCAGCAACCCGCCGACAGCGAAACCCTTCCGCTCCAGAACGACGACAAGATCTGACCCTCGCAAGTCCCCTCCATGACCAACGACCCCACGCACCTCCCGTACACGTACGGATCCCACGGCCGCCGGTCGCTTCCCGCCGCCGACGACGGGTACTGCCGGTAGTACCCCGCCGGGTACTGCTGCTGAGCTGGCTGCGGCCGCGGCGGCCAAAATCCACCTCCAACGCCGGCGGCTTCAGCCGGCCGGAGCAGGAAGCAGAGAAGGAATACGATTAGCAAGTTCTTCGTCGCCATTGATGAATTAACTGTTGGTGATTGGGAGGAAAGCAAGGATTTCTAGGGTTAATGTTAATCTCTCCCGCTTTTTTTATAGGTGGTGGATTGCAGCTTTGCCGCCAAAAGAAGAGCTGATTCGTCGCGGGATTCCTAATCGTGCTTGGAATCGGAGAAAAAGGTGGGGCTTAAAGCTTAATTCCCCCATTATCATATTCCGTAACTACTTAGGTTTGTTAATCACAACTGTTACGTGATCCTTTATCTCAGCCTAAGAACTATGGAAGTATTTCATGCTCCAATGGTACGTCGAAAATTTTGAATTTCAGTGATTAATTTGTTAGTGATCTCACATTTGTGTAAGAAGAAAAGTAACAAGCAACTGATTGAAGAACAATGTGAGTTTAGTGTAGGAATGGTCTGAGATTGCAACAAACTGAAAGAGAATAAGGAGGATCAAAGCATGGCTGCCTCGATCGGCCTCCTCCCTCGCTGGTAGTACTCGAAGTAGATACTAACATAGTCCTTAACCTTCTTGTACAGAGCTGGCCGGGTCTCGCTGATCAATCCTTCAGCTGGTTTGATCTCTTGCCCTGCAGAAGGGATGCAGAACACTGCTAGGCTGTGCCTTTCCTTCTCCGAATTCGTCACCACTCTATGCACCGGACTCTTGAACACTCCGTTGCTCATGATCTGCGGTTCATCGTTTCATCACCATAGACAGTAATTAGATTCAATGGTTGCTAATCGGGCCGTGGTCGAGCCATAACAAATGATGGGAATTCTGTTTGAAGAACTGCTAAACTTGCTATGTTTGAAGTAGTTAAAGTTATGTGTTACCTCTGCTTGATCACCAACGTTAACTAGAAGAGCATGTGGTATGATGGGGACTGTGAACCATTCATTGTCCTTCAGGAACTGCAGACCTCCCACTTCTTTATCCGGCAGAAGGAACGTGAGAGCTGATGCGTCCGCGTGTGGTTTCACTCCGATGATTTGATCCGGTCTTGGACATGGAGGGTAGAGATTAAACCTTGCCGTCATCAATGCACCTTCTCCATATTGGTCCAGAAAGCAGTTCTCCTCCAAATCGAGTGATTTCGCCATGGCTTTCAGCAGAATCTGGTTTAGCTCTCCCAGCTTCACCCCATATTCCTGCAGTGTTTCCCTAGTGAGGTAAATAAAGTTCAGCACTTTCCTTTTTCATGGTGAAAGCCATAACTTGATATGCTAAAAGGAGTTTCTGAATGTAAATCACCTGAAAGTCTCGGGCTTTTCTGGCCAGAACTTGAGCTGGACATGGTTCGGGGGGTTTAAGGTGAGGTACAATCTGTCAATCCAATCAAGTGTTTGATTCTCTGCAACTATCATGTCAGTCCCATACCCTTCAATGCTATCTGGTTCTCTGATGTATCTATGTTTCTCTTCCTTTGGAAGATCAAAGAACTGCTTGGAGATTTCATGGACTCTGTCCACGAATGAATTTGTCATTCCATGGTTCACTACCTGCAACACAGACAAGAAAAACACCTATCAACCCCAAAACTATGGATCCAAACGGTGTCCACTTCCAGATATTCCTTCATTCACATATATCCTTTCAGATAGAGGAACCCTGCTAATTCGATCACTAGTTCACCATTATCTACCCAATGAAAGCAAAAAAAACCATAAACCCATTTCAGATTTCGGTCAGACCAACCAGAAAGAAAGGAACTTTTGAATCTAGGATCAAAAGTTCTTGGGAATAAATGGAAATTGAAAGTTTGGAGAAGCACAGTGCAGAGTGAACACCTGAAAGCAGCCCCAAGAACTGAGAGCCAAGCTCAGTTTCTGGAGCTCGTGATTTGCAGCTGAAGGCGAAGAAATCAGGCGACCAACGTCGACGGTTGGAATCTCCACCAGTGGAACTGAGGCGTTCAGAGCTCCACCGCCGCTCCCTCCGTAGTTGTACCTTTCAGATGGATCCTGCCCGTCGGTGGCGAGTTCCTGGACTGGTGTTGCCATTGAAACTGAACCCATTTTGCAGGGGAGCCGTTGACTAGCGGTTTGATCCTGTGAGCAACTTTTCCCCACTCTCCTTCTGGTTTTGGTCAAAAGATGACAAAAATGGAAGTCTTCTTGGGTATAGGCTAGGTTGCGTCTAGGACTAGGAAACTTTGGGGTACAGTTCATATCGGATTATACATACGGTCTATGATTTACATAAGAAAGTTGCATTATAGAATAGGAATTAGACAAAATATAAGATGGTCCTGATCAGATCATGTCTGTGCAGTTTGTTCGGATACGACAAGCAGTTTCATTTTTTTAAATTGTCACGTCACTCGTTTAACGGTCCAGTCAACAGTTTTGTTTGCTACGTCCTGGAAAAAAAAACCAATGGTGTTAACAGAGTCAGACGGTCGATGACCAAACGTGAAGCGATTCATAAAGTTAGTGACGAATAAAAAAGAAAAGTGATTCGAGTGGAAAACGTCAAAAAGTATATGTAATTTGAGTGGTATTAAAGGAAAAAACAAGATATTGTTAGTCTTGTGGATTAATTTTTAGTTAGTAGATCAAACAAAAGTTTGTTTGTCTAATGTGATTTTGTGGGTTAACCACCACCAACCAAAGTAATCCGCTACTAACTACACTCAACCCACTACCCACAACTTGTGGGTGTGGTTAACCACAATGTTTTGCGGGTTAGTGGTTTATAGACAATCCACAAACCAAAACCAAAACCAAACTTCTACCCCTAATTTTTTTTTTTTTGCCATTAGATTCCTCGTAAAAAGAGGTCGAACACAACTTCTACCCCTAATTACATGGTGGAAACTGGGAAGCGAACTTGATTGGGCTTGGGCCCCTAAAGCTAAGGTCCAAGGATTGGTAGTTCCTATAAGCCTCAAGCTGGGCTTAATTAAATAGAAAAACGAGCCCACAGAGCATCCCGCTGGTCCCGCAAAAAACTGCTCTCTTTGGAGAAGCGAAAATTGAAAATTGCAACCGATTACTAACCAATCAAAACAGAGGGAAAAACACCAACGATCACTTTCGATTCACTGAGAGCCACAAAAAATCAAGCTGAGCTCCTCGGCCGCGGAAAAATGCCTGCACCATTTCCACACTGTTGTTCTCTCCAGATCAACAACACCTGTGTTCCAGGAGGAAGGGAGAAAATAGGAAAAGAGAAAGGCTGGGGAGGAGCAAAAATGGCGAAATTCACTCTGAAAGCTGAGAACTTTTGCTCCTTCCTTCCTCAAACTACTAGTACTACGGTCGGGAAAGCCTTTGCCTTTCGGGACAAATCGGTCGGCGGCAGTTACTTTCAGCTGTCTCCGGCGAGACCCAGTTCGTTGAAGTTTAGAGTTTTGTGTGGCATCAGAGAGAAAGAGGGTGTCAAAAAGGAAGGGGAGACGGTTCCTGCTGTTGCTCCTTCTCATCAGGGTGTCAATGGAGTCCGGGTCGGCGAGGCTGAACAGGGTCGACTCGGTCGTGGGGGTGATGGTGGAGGAGAAGTGGGGTTTGATTGGAATTGGCCGCCGTGGAAGAATCTTCCTCCGAGATATAAGCTTATTGGGACTACTTCACTTGCCTTTGTTATCTGCAACATGGATAAGGTGGGATGGTTTAGCTTTAATTTTGAGTTTGGTGACTGATGTCTAGTTCTTGGTTAAGTTGAACTGTGAAAGTTTGAGTTTTTTGGTTGACCTTGTTGAGCAGGTTAATTTGAGTGTGGCTATAATTCCAATGTCAAACCAGTTTGGGTGGAGTTCATCCACGGCTGGGTTAGTGCAATCCTCCTTCTTTTGGGGATATGCTTTGAGTCAGTTGCCTGGAGGTTGGCTTGCTAAGAGATTTGGTGGCAGGTCAGTTTATATGAAATTTTAATTTTCTAAAGTCTTTAACTTTGCTCCTTATTTGTTTTCTTTGACCTTTGATATTCATTCATGTTTGAAGATAATGTAATTTGTGGAATGAATTCTCCTGTTATATAAGTAGACGGGCTTAGGAAGTGTGTTCGTATTCATAGCAAGGTGTTCAAATTGTAACATGATGAATTCAGTGAAACCCGGAAATTAAAGGTGTCATCATTTTTAAGTGTGCAAGCTCTGGGCATTAGAACGTAAAATTTGTGTCACTTCGAATGATGTCTTCTTCATCGTTCTGAGACGAATGATACATTGGGGACACTTCTGTTTCGCTCACCTGAATGATGGGTTTTCCCTGTACAGAAAAGTTCTTGAGCTTGGAGTGTTGACTTGGTCATGTGCTACAGCATTGGTCCCTTTGCTTGCCGGATTCATGCCTGGACTTGTTTTCTCTAGGATTTTGGTTTGTCCCCTATTTCTTCTGAACTTTTATTATATTTGACTTTTGAGTATTTGACTACTACTTGCATGATTTCTCTAGAACATAAACTTTGAGATTGATCATTCACAACCGGATCAGTGTTGGAGAAATGCTGCTTCACTTCGGGTTTACTTTCTTTTCATGTTGATTTGCGAATGGTTCTCACATAATTATCTCTTTTGCTTATGTTTGTAATCCAGGTTGGTATAGGAGAAGGTGTTTCCCCATCAGCTGCAACCGACCTGATTGCCAGGCATGTAACATGTGCAATTCATTAGGACCATGATCAACATTAAGTTATAGATTACAGTAAGCTTTACTCTTATCCTAATCTATGTTTACTGGAGCAGGACAATACCTCTACAAGAACGGTCACGGGCTGTAGCATTCGTCTTTGGTGGACTAAGTGTGGGAAGTGTAACAGGGTAAAACCTTTTCAACATGGATTTTGTGGAAGTTGAAGTATAACTAGATGAAGTTATTATTGTATAAGTCGGTAATTTAAGCTCTCTTGTGCCTAGTGCCTACAAGTGTCAATTAGGTGATGGATTTTTTTTGCTTCCAGTATGTAATTCTCTCAAATGAAGTAAATTAGTGGTCAGTTGACTTTTCATTCCTGCTAGTCATTGCTAACTGTGGAAGTTGAATACCTAAACATGTTTGACTATGTTTCAGGCTACTTTTGGCACCTGCGCTCATTCAGCATTATGGATGGGAATCTGTATTTTACCTGTTTGGCCTATTTGGACTAGCTTGGTAAGTGTTCTTCTTTTTGGGGGTCTAGCTGATTGAGAACCAATTTTGTATCACTGATGGCAGTGTCGTGCTTGTATAGGTTTATAGGATTTCAGACTATGGTCGAACAAGAAGCTTCATATACTGCTGAACCTGCTGCAAGTGAGCACGTAAACATTGTCAGTTAGCATTTTATTGTGCATGTACTGGATTGGTGCTACTTAACTTGTATTATTGACAATGTCGAAGTACCACTAGGCACATAAACTTATTTTATTCGATAATGAGAATCATTCTCTGAGACCATCTCACTGGTGACTGTAACGTTTTCTCATAATGAAACAGATTCATCAAGTCACGAAGAGGAAAAATCACAAGGTTCTTCTCTTGAGGAGCTTGGTGAATCGATGAATGTATGTTGAATGTCCTGTATATTTTTTTTGCTGCCATATAAATGTCCTGAGGCAGTTGTACCAATATATAGAAGATTATTGATAATCTGGATGGAGCTCCAAATATGTTTATTTTTTCTTAACTATGAATGTTATTTCAAGCTGTTCTTCTCCCATGACTCCCTCTTTATTTCATCTGTTGTTCTTGAAATATAAGGATGTGCCATGGAAAGCAATTTTCAAGAGCCCAGCTGTATGGGCAATGATATACGCTCACTTTTGCGGGAGTTGGGGCCACTATAACTGTTTGTCATGGCTTCCTACTTATTTCAGGTACTTTTTTTTATCCTATTGGTGATTATGTTTTTTCATCACTTGGGCCTAAACTTGAAAATCTGATTGACATTGCATTGCATGCAGCGAGGCGCTGAACCTAAACTTGACTGAGGCTGCATGGGTAACTTGAGTTTTTACCACTGTATTATTCTCTTAAGAACAATGATGCAGATGTGAACTTGTAGACCCACATTATTTATTCCATTGTCTTATATCGGCAAATAATTGGTTTCATTTCTGCACAGTTCTCTCACTTAAGAACATTTACCTTGTCAAACATTTTCAGGTGTCGATTCTTCCTCCCTTGGCTTCAGTTTTTGTGACTAACCTCGCAGCACAGTTAGCTGACAAGTTGATTTCCAGTGGAGTTGAAACCACAACGGTATGGGGAAGAAAGAAAGACTCAGTAACTAATTTGTCATGTGCACTGTTAACTTAATACTGCATGGTCTCTTTGTATATATGACTTAATTTCCATGTGAAATCCTTGGCAGGTACGGAAGTTTTGTCAAACAGTTGGTTTTTTGGCTCCTGCACTTTGTATGATCCCTTCCGCTGTGGATTTGGGACTGCATCCATGGCAAGTTGTGGGGATCCTCACAGCTGGCTTGGCCCTCTCAAGCTTTTCCTTGTCTGGTAAGTCATTTAACTTTGACCACAGAAAACCAGCAAGCATTGACTTGTTTTTCTTATGTTGTTTCTTTCTTTTTCATAGGATTGTACTGTACACACCAAGATATTTCCCCTGAATACGCAAGCATACTCCTGGTATAACCACAGACCCTTAAGTTTGTAGTTTAGGTGTTATAAAACATTGCATTAGTAATCATTCTATTATTTTCATCCCCCATTGTCTGTTCATTTTCATGATCTCAGGGTATTACCAGTACTACTGGAGCAGTCCCTGGAATTGTAGGTGTTGCCTTGACCGGCTACTTACTAGATACAACTCATTCATGGACAGTAAGTACCAAAATTTGACCGAACTTGGCACTATTTTCCTTCTTCATTCGACTAACCTTATCTTTGTTGATTTGTTTGCTCTAAACCAGATATCATTATTTGCACCATCCATCTTCTTCTACTTGACCGGCACGATTGTATGGTTGGTATTTGCCAGTAGTAAGCCACAAAACTTCTCCAGTTGAGGACATTGATTGTATAATCATGTATAATACGTAGTATAGGTATAGAATCAGTCTTTTTTCTGCCTCTTTTTTTGGCTAGATGGCTTGAAGGTTGAGTAAGTGCTCGGTTGGCTGGCAACACATATGTACTACCACATCTTTGCATCTCAAGGTTGTATCATTTGTACATTCTATTGAAAATCTCCATTACCACAGAGCTTCATATTTTGTCAAGGATCTTTCTCTTATATTTTCACTTCATTAAAAATCAACATAAAGAAGGGATGATTTATCCCCTCTCTTATTGTCTTCATAATCAATCACTCTAGTGGAACCAAATTTCCAGTTCCCATGCTACTAGCTACCTACCTGCAAGCAGGAAGAATATACGGGATACGAGCAAACACAATCGAAAGAGGAGCTACTGATATCAACTCCGATGAGTTTACACGGGAAGGCTCGAACGAAGGTATGTCCCCGTTTGAATCTACACTTAAAATCTTCCCGTTCAGTAGCATTGTTTGGCTATGCAAATCCCCGTCTTTCGCTGTTAGATGGTACTCTTCTCTCATCATTTTTCCAATCTTTGAACGATGAGGAAGCCGAATGGTACTACTGTATGACCTATGATGACTATGGTGCTTGTGCCACTTCTGGTTGTTATGTTGCTGCTGGGTGAAGGTTCTGTTGACGCCTACGTTGACTTCAAATGTTGTGCTGTTGTCCAGATTGATCAGCAGAAGTGTAAATCGTTTCTGCAGCATCGTGGTGCATCTCAAATCAGAATCAAGATCTACTCTTTGGATATGTCACAGAAAGGATGGAAATAGAAGAAGACTTACGGAGTACTTTGAGCAGTGAGCATATACTCGTAGCTTGTTCGACCCAGAGAAGCTCGTTGCCAAAGCTTTTCGTCCCATCAATCGATGCCAAAGAAGAGCACTGCAAGATATGCAAAGAGAGTAAGCATCGTCCAAGGATATACAAAGTCCATATCTGAGTGCTTGAAAGAGCGTTGTGCAGCTGAATTTCAATCCAGTCCTAGCCTGAAGGACAAGAATGGTGTACCTGTAATAGTCAGGATTAGGCACGAATGTGGTGGTGTTGAGGAGCCCGTAGTTACCACCTATCAGAGATTGTCTGCAGTAAGTCTTTGTATCGTGTGAAGCCGCAAGTGCAAGCTGATCCAAATACCTGGTATGACACCAGCATTAACTCAGATTCTGAGCCTCAACATGGAGAATATCATATATGATTGCTTGAATTGTCACTTACCAAAAGCTATACACAAATGCATTGGAGACGAGATTGTGGCCGCTGTTATAAGCCCCACCAGCCTCACCAACCCATGCAGTTGCCGAGCTTCCAGCGCTCCTGAGGAGGCTCTGTAGGCCTCTAAACGACTCAACCACATTGTCAAGCACACTCGGGTCAAGAATCTTCTCCACGAGATTTGGATCGACTCCTGAGATATAGAAATGAAGTGCTATGAAACCCCATTGTGTATGGAGGAGTTAACAGATGTTAAAAGAAACTGAAGGCACTCAATTACCTGGACCAAGATTGTAAATGTGGTGGGAGATGGCATTCACTGAATTTCCTGCTTTCGTGATCAAAGTTTGGAACCAATTGGTGTCGTAGAATCCTCCTGGTGCGATAACCAAGGGCTTTGGTTCAATCCCACTGTAAATATTCTGCACAATGTCATGCAGGGAGATTGTATCAGAAGCATACTGATCTGCTGCAACGTTGGTTCCCACTCCACTTCCACTCAGCTCATTTCCTGCTCAAGCCGAGAAACAACAAATCCGGTTACTTAACTGAATCACAGGATGTTTTTAAGTTTGAAGGCTGTTGATCTTACCAAGCTCCCACCCATGAATGGAGTAGTTATGTCTGACTGTGTAGTTAATGAAAGATTGAGCATTTGAGTAGTTCCAAGCTCCAGCTGCAGAACCATCAGGCTGAATAGTCCTTCCCATTAGAGCATTCAGTCCAAATATAATCTTAGCCCTGAAGACAAAAATGGTTCAGCATTTGAAAAATTTATCCTTTCTGCAATGCTCAAGGAAGTGGGGCGAAAAAAAGTGAGGCACTTTGGGAATTAATTACCCTGATTTGTTGAAGAAGGCATTCAATTCATCCCATCTGTACATAGGCAAGCAGCCTTCAGTGAAACTAAAAAGCTCACTTGTGTTCTTGATGAATTGAACACAAGGCTGGTGGTTGTCTGGTGTGTCGTATATGACTTTGTCCTGTAACGTCCCTCCCAACCTGATCTTCAATGGTGAAAAGGCTGCAATATAAAAAAAAAATTGAATGTAAGAACAAAGACAGAAAGATGGAAACAATAGTTCCCAGCCTTTTGCCATAAATCAAAACTTCGGTTTTTGCTTTTACCTTGTATTGCCTTCAACAGAATTTGGTTATTGAGATCCTGCAACCAAAATACACAAACAACACTACATTCAAACACTGTTGACCCCAATATTTGATTTTGACCTCTCCTTTGTCTCATCGGTCAAATGTCAAACAAAGCTTCAAACTTCAGAATAAGGAAATGGATGAAGAAAAGAAAAGAAAGAACCAAAACTGAGCATTTCGCTGAGAAGCCATGGAAGCATTCAACAAAGAATAACACCAAAGAAGATAAAGAACATGAAGAACATACAAGGTTGATGAGGGAAGTATGGTCCCAAGCGCAGGTCCCATAGTCACATTTCTCAGGAGGCCACCAATCCAAAGTGGCACAAATGAAATCTTCATCAGTTCTCCCAATGGTGTTGTCCCCATCCACCACAACAGTTCCTTGAACAACAGATGAAATGTTGCTAGCGCCAGTGACATTATTATTCGTATTATTCCCACCTTGACCTTGTGAGCACACTGAAACAAAGCTGCAGCTTAGGACGCACAACAGAACAACCAAAATCTGAGAACCCATGTCTCCTTTTTGGTTTTTCTGCCAACCCTTTTTCCCCCACAGCAGAGTTCTGGAACTCAAGATCTGAACTTTACAATAGAAATGGACAGGGCAGCCATGAAAGTATTACTCTGTCAAAGCTGAGGGGGAGCAAAGGAAAAGGTGGTGGTGGATGAAGAAGAAGAAGAAGAAGAAGATCCAAATGGTTCACGAGAGGGAGGTTTAAATGGAGACATGTGTGGAGATTGAAATACAGCCAGGTAGCCAACTAATAAGCCTTGCCTTCTACTGCCCTCGAAGCCCAGCCGTGGGTTAGGAAAAAAGGCGCCAGCAAAAAAGAAAGAAAAAGATATTTGGTGGCCTGTTCAAAAAGAAAAGGATATTTGGTTGGAAAGGAGAAGATGTGGAGATATTACTGCAAAAACCGAAATTACAGAGGAAAAGAAAAGAAAGAAAGAATCGTTTTTCTCTCTGTTTTGTGAGTTAGCTTGGAGCTCTCTCGTGGGATGGAAAAGGAATGAGAAACGGAGTTTGGTCGACCAAAGGTGGGGCCTTTGTTCGCCGGTTATGCTTTTGGTTACTGAAAGCAAGCAAAACGAGCTGCTACGCAATTGGACAAAGAGATGATTACAGAGTAAAGGAAGGAAGTTAGAAAAAAAAAAACAGGGGAAAACAGGGGATGGGCCATTTTTGCTCCATTTCTGGAAGTTTTTATGAGGGCGGGCGGGCAATGAATGACCCACTTGCCTGAGAGAGATTAATATATATTTTAATGGAGTCGGGGTAAATAGATCCGACCCGGGATTGGATTATAGATGCTGAGGTTTTAGATTAAGGGTTTTAGGAGGAATAGTGGATTGGAGGGACTTGATTTGTATGTAGCTTTGTCTTCACAAAATCTCAATTCTTGGATTACAAGTGAGTTTTGCTTCAACTAACTTGAGTAGATATTTGCATATTTTCCATGTGTCATTTGTGAATATGAAAGTTCAAAAAGAGATTAAGAAAATGGGTTCAACTCAAAATATCGTCGATTTATTTATGTCGGGTTGTGCATTAACGGTGATGTAATGGGTCATTGGGTTGCATAGTGTTTCGCTTTATTGAGGTTAGAGTAACAAGGTAGGTCCATTCACCTTGTATGGTCACGAACTCATGATCCACTGGCAAAAGAAAAGAGTATGATTCTTAACTCGACGGTCGCTGTCACCGTTCGACATGTTATCCTCTTGTACATTATAGTACGAAATTAATCAAATCATGCGCTTTAAATTGCCTTTTGTTGTGATTGAGCTGACAACGATGATGAAGGTTTACCCTCACATTCTACTAGGGGTCTCTCATTAGGAATAAACTCAACCGTTTGAAAGTTAATTACACTAGTTAATCAAGCTAGTTCCCAAAAATGAAACTTCCTAGAATTTTATATTTCCAAAAAGTGCCAGCATGGGCAATTTGCAGAGGGACACAGCCCAATCAGATTCAGTCCACCTGCCCTAGATTTGTATTGAAGGGTTTGTTAATGGCAGTCCCTTAAATTTTGGGGCAACTTCCCTAGATGGTCAAAGGTCAGAGATCCACATGCATGTTTGTTGAGCTTGATTGTCATTTGTATTATAAGTTATTAGGACCATTGCCCCTTAATGTCATAAGGTCATCTGGTTAGGCAAACTATCATTGTCTTTGATGGTGAAGCCCTACCAGAAAACTCCTAGGCTGAGTCATGCTCTCTAAGTTATCAACCAAATCCAATGTCAATTTGCCACATAATCCTTACAAATTTGTTTGGTAACTAGCTATTGTTACTTTTTTTCTTCTTCTTCTTCTTCATTTCATCATATTCGGATACGATTTATTTAATTTCCTCGTATTTTGTTCCCATGGATGGATTCTCTATATAACATGAATCCTAAAAGATGAAGTTTGACCATAGTGGACAAAGAAATTAGCGGGACAAATGCGTTTTCGTGAATGTGTATCTTCTATTAATCGTTGAGAAGTGACAAATCACAACCATGACCACCGTATAAATCATATGAAACTAAACAGATCGGTTGTGTCATTCAAATGGAGGGCTGGCCGTCATGATCCGGTTTCTCGTGTAACCCAAAGATGTTAGTAGATTTTCCACACCACTAGGAAGGAACATGTATGGTGACATATGTTGTCACAAGATCCTCGTTTATCATGGGCAAGATCAAGAAGCTAATTCACATGGCCAGGCAGAAATCTGTATCAATATTCGCAGGAATAACTAATAAATAGCCAATTTATATGCATTTGTGGAATATTGTGCTTTACACATTGTAGCTTTGAAAATTTGAGTATAATGTACACACCACCTTCCTCGATCTTTCACATTTCATAAGGCAACCCAACAACTTGCAGCAGATATTATCAAATCCAAAATTTCTGACTCTTAAGAGAATTTTTTGTATCGAATTTTTTTTACGAAAATACAATACCAACTTAAAAATTAGACAAATATTTCTATTATCGAAGACAATAAATTTCAATTAGGCAACTCAAACATAAGACCCTCACAAAGAAAGACTTTATGAGGAGGTGTCAGCCCAATGTAAAGGTGGGTGACAATCCATCATAAAATTGAATCGAAAACATATGTATTTTGAGAACATATCATTGTCTAGTTTATGACTTAACAAACATCTGTATTTTAAAATTCTAAAAGCTAGAACTCATTTGGGGAAACTTACCACTAGATATAATCCTCTACACCTATTGCAAAAAGTCAAGAATATTAATTAACTAAAATTGTATTATAAATAGTGGTTGCATTTTTTTTTTTAATTATTGCATAAACCAACAACTTGTGTAGTTGACCAGCTTTGTTAAATTAAATCTATAATCTTACATTTTTAAATGTACACTTTTAAAAACTAGTGCTAAGTAAATAATATCAGCAAAACATTCAAATGGGTTCAAATGGTCACAACGTAAAGTATACCACAATTTACTCTCAATTCCAAATCCACAATTTAATCATTTTGACAAAAACTCATTGACGAATACCAACAAAAATGTAAGCCCAACCTGTCTAATATTTTCATGAGATCGAAATAATCTCGAACTGCTTGTTCCGTGGTCCCTCATAGTCATGTGAAACAAAACAACATCAGCAAAAGGAAACAACCTAGAAAAGTGAACTAAGTACACTAATTACCAAATGTGCAAGTGGGACACTGAGATTGAGTAGATCAAAACCTAAGAAAAGAGGGTTTGTTAAATTTCTATCTTCAGCAGCAGCAGTTGGGTCCATCATCATATTTCAGAGGGTTGGTTATCATCATTCCTAACTAAACCAACTTCATCAGGATTCACTAATGAAATAACATTAATAGAACTTCTTCCTTAATCCCTTATCTCTATGGAATTGCATGGGAACATGGATCAGGTGACTTTAATTTGTGGCCAGTACAATGAAGACAGTAATCAACTCCATGAGACCTAATCCATCTTAATCATGAAATTAGGTTTACCTCAAAGAACATTAGGTGGGGGAATTTTCAGCTTTGGTTCAAACTTCAAACCTAATTCACAACCCTATTTTCCCATTATATCGAGAGAACTTGACGCATACATTTGAGACTGTCATGTGTCAATGAAATCATAAAAAATCATGCATGGAGAACAAGGTACGAATTCACATGGTTCCTTGGCCGTTGTGAATGAGATTACTTCACGAAGAGCTACCAGCTCTTAGTCGATATTATAATGGCGTGATTGTGTCATCGATTCTCATGACCATACATGCATTTATGCACTCCTAATCAATGAGCAAAACATTGCACAATGCTACGAGCTATATATTACGATACTAAACCTGTCGATATATTAACACCCTGACCCCTACAAAACGATCAATATTCGAGCTTACAACACTAATACTGGCCACCAAAAGATCTTTCTCATAATAACACATAATATCAATCCTCATATCTTACCACCTTAAAACTGCCATTTGGTCCTCACCCTATTTATCCCATTTCTATTTCAACAAATGATTGAAAGTGGAGAGGTAGTTGTTTATGGAATCAAAGGGGAGTCCCTCTCTCTCTCTCTTGATATTCTCAAGACAAGACTATTTTGCCCACTAGTTTGTTAATCTACTGGGGTTTTTAATTATTTTGCTTGCGATCAGAAGAAGGAATAAGCACTTAAAGCAGGGGGGGACATTAGAAGAACTTAATCTAATACTAAATCAGTAATTTTGTCTGTTTTTTACCCACCACTAGGCCACTATAGTTACAAAGCTCCATGGGAAGAATCATGATCCTTAAATGTCTGTCCTTCCCATCAGAACATCATCACGCTTGATTAATTTTTGGAACTTGGTTAAGGACAACAATTAAGGAATAGGGTCGAATCGAGTCAGCCGACCTTATCTGGGTAGTTGGATATAATTAATGTTCAAACTCTTGAAGTATACTATCAATCTTTAAGTCACATGACCATTAGATGTATTTTAGTTGTGTTTTGACGAATAGAAATAGTAGATTATTATTTTTATTAAATTTATGTTCGAGTTTGGTTTGAGACTCTCGGGAGTTTATTCATTAGATGTAGGATATAATATCATATTTGACATTCGGTTTAATCTTTGATATAGACATAGATATATCTGTAAGAGTTGGAGTATCGTATACTCCAAAAGTATATTAAGTATTTATAAATTTCTATCACCTTATAAACAAAAAAACCCAACCATCGAATGATTCTTTTTCCTTTTCAACACTCTATTATGATCAAGATGTTCGCCAGACTTAGTAAGACGTACTAAATCATTTTTTTCCCTTGTAATTCCAGAAGATTGACTAAACCCATAAATGAAATCAGACAACAAAAAAACTTCCTTAAAGTCGCACCCTCGTTACTTTGCTTCGTCTTATATCGATCTCCCATCCAAGCATCGTGAGATCAGTCGCATGAGATGCCAGGTTCTTTTTTGGTCTCTGTCAAATCCACTCCATTCTAAACGTCCCCAGCCTCACAGGAGCTACGATCAACAATTGCACACAAGACACGGTTTCTCGAATTTTTACCAACCTAAAAAATAAGAACAAACCGATTCTTGACAAATTACCATTGATTCATTTTGATTCCTCTCAATATCATTGAACATAAACAACATTTTGATGTATATCTTGAAGCAACACATCATCGGGCGGCAGCAAATCAAAACGGCTTTTGATCTTTCCATATCCTGCTGTCGTTGTTTTTCTGGGAGGTTACTTCCTTTTCATGGTTTAAGGAACACGGCGATTCGTGCATGTCTTGTAACAGCTTTGTCACCATATCTTGTTTGAAAACCGATCTGAGTCATCATTCTGTCACTGTTCTTGTTCGGCATGCCGTAGCAAGCAAGATTAATGAACTACAAAGACAAGTATGGGGGAAAACAAGATTTGTTGTTATGTCATCTAGTTAGCTAGGTCTACACATTACTCAATCAGTCAGAAGTTAGCTGCGGGTTGGAGGTAGTATAATATACGTAGCTTGGGATTTGTTTAAAATAACCTGCGTTAATAATAGGGATCGTGGGGATTCAAACACGAGACCTTTCAGTCAAAAATTATAATGTTATGGCAAGAATCAGTTAGTTCATCCCTAATAAACCGAATTCTTGGAATAGAATGCGGGTATTGATCTTACGTAACCGATCACCTTGAATTTGCCATTGTACCTTCACCTCAAAAGTTTCATCGCATCTTTGATATGTACGATTTGGTCTTGTTTGTCGTGTTAGAGATACACATTATGAGTCAAGTGGAATACTCAATGTTTGTCTTTTTTTGCTACCATTGTCATCATTATACACGTGGGTCGTTTAGTTCGAGCAATATATTATAACCCATAATTAATTCATCACATAATTAGCTCTATTAACCGTTAACCTCGTTGATTAAAGGATGAAGCATATAAGGCGTTGAACCCTACCCGACCAAAGCAGCAGCTGCGGACCTCTATATTCGATTTCTGGGCCTTGCTGCACGAGAGAGATCTGTCAGTTGTCCCAATAGTGAGCCCAAAACGAAGCCCATATAAAACAGCCCAACCGAAAAATCTCGGCCCACACGAAGTCTTCTCCCTAAACCCTCGATTTGAGTAATAACAACTCCAAGCCACTCCTTCACATCCTTCTCCCTCCCCATTATCGGCTGCGCTTCTCCCTCCGCCGTCCACAAACCCTAGATTTCGCCGCTTCTCCGCCGCGCCTCCAACCATGAAGTACAATCCGAGAGTCTCTTCCTCCCGGCGCAAGAACCGGAAGGCTCACTTCACGGCGCCGTCCTCGGTCCGCCGGATCCTGATGAGCGCCCCACTCTCCACCGATCTCCGCCAGAAGTACTCCGCCAGGTCGATGCCGGTGCGCAAGGACGACGAGGTCCAGGTCGTCCGCGGCACCTACAAGGGGCGAGAGGGCAAGGTTGTGCAGGTGTACCGTAAGAAGTGGGTGATCCACATCGAGCGCATCACCAGGGAGAAGGTGAACGGATCGACGGTGAACGTCGGGGTTCATCCTTCGAAGGTCGTGATCACCAAGCTGAAGCTCGACAAGGACAGGAAGTCGCTGCTGGACCGCAAGGCGAAGGGGCGCGCCGCCGCGGATAAGGACAAGGGGACCAAGTTCACCGCCGATGATATCATGCAGAATGTCGATTGATCCCCTTTTGTGGTGACGTCTTTTTTTGATTCAGCTCTTTGTTTTTAATGCTATGGATGATGGAAGTTTTTTTCAGTAGCTGGTAGCTATGTTGTTTTCGATGATACTGAGGATTTTGTTGCTTGTTGAGATGATTTTAAGATTATAAGCTTTTTGGAATTTCTGATATCAGGGTGTTCTGGGATGCTTTGATTCTGCTCATTAGTTAGCCCGATTTAGTGTTTGCGATTTCTTTGGTGATTGTTAACTGCTACATACAGAGTAATCAGTAATGTAGCTTCGAATCGGATGTGGGTATATTGGTGGATGTGCTTAGCTTAGCTCTGCCTGTTAGCAGAAGGGTTAGGTTCTAAAAGCCATGGGAATAAGTTAACTAGCTAATAGAATCCGAGTATTAGCTGTTCTGACGGGGCGGTGATGAATCGTAAGAGTGGAAAGATTTCTGATCTGATTCTGCTCATTAGTTAGCTTGATTTCGTGTTTGCGATTTCTTTGGTAGTTGTTAACTTCTGCATACAGAGTAGTGTAGCTCTGAATCAGAGTATGGTTTGTTGGTGGATGAGCTTTGCCTCTGCCTATAGGCAGAAGGGTTGGGTTCTAAAATCCACAGTAATAAGTTAGCTAGTTAATAGAATCTTGAGTAGTAGCTTGGTTCTGCCGGGTGGTGATGAATCCTGAGATGGTAAGCATCTCTTTGGTCATTGCTATGATATGTGCTCTCCTCCTGGATTAAGAAGCTGATCCTTTGGAGCGAGCCTGGAGGCGTCACTGGTCTGATGTCGTATTGTCTGCATTGGTCTTCTTATCGAGATGAAGCTTACAGGTTTTGTGGATCTTGCTGTTATGTTGTGTCTTGTTGCTTGCTTGGGTTTTGCTCATTTCTATGGCATAATCAAGTTTATGCTATCAAATGGTGCGCGTGCATCGTTCCAGTGGAGGTTTGTTTTTGATGGGTTTATGCAGGTTCTTTGTTAGTGTTAGCATACAAGGTAATGGCCCTTAGAATTGGAGTGAATGGAAATTTCGTGATTGTTTTTAATTTAACTAAAACATACTTAACACTTGATCTCAAATGTTCAATTCTTGATAGAGAGCATGTCGTAATGAAATATAATTTAGTAAAAAAAAAAATGTTCAATTCAATTTCGTTATTTGTAGGCGTTATACATTTGACTCATAATTAAGCTATATAGCTCTATAGTAAAATATTCAAAATTTTCTTGTAGAATCGTTGATTGCATTTGATCAATATTCATCTACTTATTTTTAACATTATTCCCGATCGCAGCTGGAGTTCTTTTCATTTTCTTCCCCTCTCCAATTTGCATGCATTCCACTAGGCCACGGGAGGAGCAACAGGCAACTTAGCGTCGCCGCCGGCGCTGTCCTTCATCTTCTGCAGCCTCTCCTCCCGATGATTCAATATCGCCTCCTTAACGTTGCCGTCCCCGACGATGTGAACGCTGCCGCCGGCGGCGCCGCCGGCGCTCTTCTGGCCCTGCAGCCTCTCCTCCCGATGATTCATGATCGCCTCCTTCACCTTGCCGGCGGCGGTCCTGTCCACGACGGAGCACACGCCCTTGACGAGGCGCGGGACGGCGGGGAACTTGGGGTACATCTCCTGCCAGCAAGAGTCGGTGATCCCGCCGGCGGCCTGGCAGCACGTCTGTCCCATCCCGAGGATCTCCGTCCGCATCCCCTTGTGGGCCTTCATTCCCTGGACGCTGAACCGGGTCAGGAGCGAGGCGGTCTCGTTGACCATCTTCATGCATCCCGGGATCTTCCGGAGCGCGCCGATGCACTGCACCGAGTTCATCAGGCTGGGCTTCTGCTCTTCGGCGCCGAAGACGGAGCACGTGCCGCGGAAGAAGAGCGCCACGGGACACTTGGGGAACATCATCTTCCAGCAGACGTCGCTGACGCTGTTGATGATCTGGCAGCAGGCGGACCCCAGCTTCACGTAGCTGCCGCTGATGTCCACGCTGGCTTCCCTGGAGGCCGACACGCCGCCGCTGATGGTCGTGAAGGTCTTGTGGATCTGCTCCCGGCAGCCCGGGACGCCCTTCAGCACGTCGCAGCACGGCGGGCTGTTCACGTCCGTCGGCACCGGCGGCGATGGGTCTGTCGGTGGCGACGGGGTGGTCGGTGTCGGGGTGGTCGGCGCCGGCGGTACGTGGGCCGACGCGATGGTGGCGAGGGTTAGTGCGAGGAGAGCCGCCGCCGTGAGCATGGTTAGCTTGGAGGAGGTTAGTGATGATGATGATGACATGGTGAGATTATTTTGTTGAGATTATTTGTTAGTAATTATTATTTGTTTTTTTGTTTTTGTTTTGTGATTGTTTGTGTGAAATTGCTTATTATTTATATTTGGGTGGGCAAGAGAAGAAGGATGGAGTTGTGAGGTTGAGAGTTGATGGTGGATTTGGGTTTTGGAGCGAGTCAATAGCGGGGAATTGAAGTAAAATTAGAGGTGATAAAACTTAAAAAGGGGGGAAATATAGAAGGTTGGACCTAAGATAAAGGGAAATGGTTAGAAATTAAGTAGTGATTGATCTAGGTTAGAAATTTACTTAACATAAAGTTCGAGTTTGATGGACCGACTTCAACATGCTTCTCATGACCTTATACAGTTCATAGGTAGTGGAAAACCCAAAACCTAGGGGATGGGAAATAGTGCGGTCGGGTCAAGATCAGATCATATATACGGTTTATGGTACAGATCGAGAGGCTGTAGTATAGATCACAGACCAGATCATACACTATACGGGCCAGATCAGATCACGTATGTGCGGTCTGGTCCAGATAGACCACGCTGAACGAAAAATGAACAATCTGATCTGTCAACCACACAAAAGATTGAATCAATAGCCAAGATTTTTTTTTTTACGTTAAAACATAATTTCAACATGCATGAATAATAAATCTAAAAAAATAATAAAGATACAAAGTCCAAGATCCATACTTGCACCATAACATCATAATGTCATATGGAGACACGATCGTTTCTACTCTCTGGTGAAATGTGTTTGTGAATGAAGGAGGGGACGGGAGTTGGGAGAGTGCACGTATTGAAAACTGAGAAGTCGATTGGGTCCACAGTTTGGTCCGGTAAACCGCGATTTAGACCAGACCAGATCAAGATATCTAAACATAATATAATACAGATCATACTTAACAGTCTACAGTCCGTACCAAACTGTGGGCTCCGGTTTGGACCATGATTTTTCAAACGGTTTGTTCTATTTTTCCCAGCCCTACCAAAACTATTTATCATTAAAAATAACTTAATACCACATTGATTCATTTAAAGCAGTGGTTGTGGTTTATAAGGTCAACTTTTTATATTAATTAAATGATTTCAATTGGGTTTAAGTGATGGACTTTTGTACTCCCCATAACCTCATATTAGGTACCTCGGTACACGCCACTCGGCCTTCCAAAATACCCATCTATCAACCACTAGGGTGTCAATCATGACATCATCCAAGAAGGGTAGGCACTGTTTGAGTAGAATTTGGCTGAGTATTGAGACCTCACCACTCATATGCTAAGTGCTGACATGCTTTGCCGCCCACACCTCAAGTATCAAAGAAGTGCATAATGCAATCGGAATGATGCTCACCTATCAAGCATGAGACATAGTCAAGTATAGTGAAATAATGTGAGATGAAAATTGGCTAAATTTGGAATATTTTCCTCATTGTCTACCTATCAATGCACCCTCACCCAAGTAAGCATACATGGTAGCCTCTCATGACATGGTAGCCAAGCATGATATATTTTGCTCCTTGTCTAACTATCAAGCATAAGGATGGATCGGAGTAGTTGTGAGGTTGAGGATTGATGGTGGATTTGGCTTTGGAGCGAGTCATTAGCGGGGGATTGAATTGAAGTAAAATTAGAGGTTTGATAAAAGGGGAAAATATGAAATGTTGGACCTAAGATAAAGGAAAATGGTTGAGTGAATGATTAGTAAATTAAGTAGTAATTGATCTAGCTAGGTAAGATATTACATCCATAAGTTGATTGTGGTTTGGATAATATACCAAATGGAGATTTGATAAGCTAAGGTTGATGGGATAACTTGACGACCTAACTTCAACATGCATCTCGGGACCTATAGTCAGAGTTCACCAGTAGAGGCTGATAGCCCTTCTCACACTTATAAACTAAACATGAAACCCTAAACTCTTGATATACACTCCAACCTGGTCGGCCCTGCGCATGTGGGATGGTTGTAATACTGTTGTGTTGTGTGATGAGTTGAAGAAAAGGTATGGAAAATCCAATGCTATATGAACCACTGATATGAAGGATGAAATCCACAGGTTCAAGTAGGAAAATCTTTCCATAAACCAGTACCATAACCAGATCAAAGGACAATGAGAGGAATTTCTGCAATTCAGTCTTATATTTCCTTGTACATGTGCTCTAGTGAACGCTCATCCATTTGATGTTGCAATAGCCTACACAGAAAGGCAAGAAACAGACTATCTCATCATGTTCTTAAATCCAGATTATGAAATCATTAAGAGTCAGTTGTTGTCTCAAAATACATTGTCAACGGTTTTTGAAGCTCCAATATGATCAGAATTTGAAAACAAAATATAATATTAGCGGAAAGAAGGCTCTGAGTAGAAGTGGCAAATGGATTGGATTGGTGGATTTATGGATCAAATGGATTGGATCAAGTGGATTGATCCATTAATCCAAATGACATCCAAGCCTTGGACTATTATGTAATTAAAAAGTTCAAATACTAAAATGTCATAATAAAAAAATTAGGTACCAAACCATAATTTCCAAATATATTTTTCGTCTAAAAATTTAAATTTTAGGTACAAAAATATAAAATATAAAAATATAGGTAATAAATCGTAATTTATCATTTAAATCCATAAATCATTACATGAATCCACGAATCCAATTGAATTTAAACTAAATGAATTGAATTATTTGAATTTTTAAGTGGATGAATTGTATTGATCACTAATTGCCACCTGGCTCTTGCTCAGTTGCTTGGCTGTTGAAACTTGAAATTGATTAATCTCTTTTTAAATTTTTTGATATTCTAAAAGGAAATTGGGCCAGCCCGACAGATTCGGCCATGGCTTGGGTCAGCAGGAGGTTTAAGGCCCGCTCCGACCTATTGGCCGTCGTCGTCCTCTTTCTTTCGCCGCAACTTCTTGATCTGCAGCAGGATTGATTTATTCTGTTCTTCTGTCCAATTTTCCCGGATGCCAAACAGAGCTTCCATCCCGCCGCAGCCATCGCCAATATGCTGAGAAGGAAACCCACGAAAATCGAGGTGACAATCGAAGACAAAGAAGAGATTGAAGAAGCCCGCAGTCGTGCCGCCGCCGCCGTCGCCATCCCTTCCGCCGCCGACGCTCTCGTCCGACTCCTCGAACGCACCCAATCCAGCACCACCACCAACAACCCCGCCGCCCCCTCCAAATCCCAGCGCATCGGCCTCTCCTCCTCTTGAAATCTCACCAATGGAAGTCGAGGTCAAGCTAGGGCTTCCGGACGCCGCCGCACACTCCAAATTCAAATCCCTGATTTCCGAATTTCACATCAAGACCGTCAACCAGCAGAATCTCTTCTTCGACACACCCGCCGCCGCCCTCGCATCCGAGCGCGCCGTCCTCCGCCTCCGATTCCTCGACGGCGTCACCCGCTGCGTCGTTTCGCTGAAGGCCAGGGCCGTTTTGGTCGACGGGGTGAGCCGGGTCGAGGAGGATGAGGAGGAGATCGACCCCGTTCTTGGTCGGGCCTGCGCCGCCGACCCGATGAAGCTGGGGTCGATTGATTCGAGGATTGTGAGAAGGTGCAGGGATGAGTTCGGCGACGGGAAGGAGATGGGTTTCGTTTGCTTGGGAGGGTTTGAGAATGTGAGGGAAGTTTACCAATGGAGAGGGATGAAGCTGGAAGTGGACGAGACTAAGTATGCATTTGGAGTGAGCTATGAGATTGAGTGTGAGAGTGAGGATCCTGAAGGGGTGAAGAAGGAGCTTGAATGGTTTCTGAAGGAGAATGGGGTTGATTACAAGTACTCTGAGATGTCAAAGTTTGCTGTTTTCCGATCTGGGAAGCTGCCGTAAGGGTAAGTAGTTATTGTAAAGCTCTCGAATTTCGCCTATGAATTTGGGAATGGTGTGGTTGTAAGATTGTCTGAGTGAAGAACACAGAGTACTGAAACATGTTTTGTTACTTTGTCTGATAAAGCTCTTGAATTTTGGCTATGAATTTGGAACGGTATGATTTGTTTGAGTGAAGAACAATGTTAACTAGTAAGGCTATATTTCATCTGTTTGCCTGTAGATGCTATTGAAGTTGTGATATTACACCAGGCTGTTTAATCTCTGGAAAGACCATAACAAACTCGCGAATAGAGTCGATTTGCAGCTAAATATGAATCTCTTGGTCTTCATTACTGGATCGAACTATGAAAGAGTTGCAGTATGAGTATCTCATATGTCTTATGTACCAATTTTTTGTTTGTAGGTCTGCCAATCTCGATCACTGTGGAAATCTGTCCAGCGTGATTGATTCGGTCTTGATCTTGATTTTTCTGATCGAAGAAATCCACATCGGCAGTCTTTGTTTCATCTCGATGTCCATTATCTTGCTTTGCTGAACCAGTTCTTGGTATCCATGGCCATTTGCAGCCACTTGCAATGTTATTATTACACTTTACAGCCTTCTGCAATGTACTTCTGGGAAATGAACTTTGACGAGTGCTTTCTCAAGTTGGATATAGACATGATTAGTACGCTAAGTAAATGTCGGGCTAGTTGCTCTGGAAGTGTTGGTTTAAGTATGGTGCTAATCATTGTTCTGCTGTGTTGGGATGATCATTTAAGATGGTAATCTGCTGCCTCCAATTCGAGGCTAGGATCTAGCTTGGCTAACCGGTTATAGATTGAACTGCTTATCGACCAAATACCACCCTACGAACTTAAACCCGTCAATAATGCTCCTTGGAAAATAGTTCAATTACTTTATTTCTCCAATTACCAATGTGGATGCTGGAGGTGTGTGCCAAATTTGGTGAATCCACTCGTGGTTAGACTATATTAATCGTAATCGGGTTAAAATCACGAGTAAATTTGGGTGGTTTATCGATCGGTTTATCAATCATTTGGTTTGACTTCTGTAGGCTTACATGCTGGGCGGGTTACATTAACATGCCATTGTCTGTTGGTCAAACCCGGTTGCGAATGGATTGAATCAGGTTGCCAGGTTTGGTCAAATACTCAAATTCATTATTCTGGATATCCTGCTGTTGAGTTCAGGATAGGTTAGTTCGAGTTGCAAGTCAAAGTTAATATGAGAAGAGGGAGAATGAATCAGAGTGACACAGAGACAACATAGGAAAACATTATACACCACAATAATAATCTGTAACAACAGAAGGGCATCAGCATCAGCAGCACACCAACAGAAGCCATAACCATGTCAACCACGATCCATGAAGAAAGGAGACTCTACTAACCCTATCCAGACCCTGACATGAACTCAATCTTCCCTCCTCCTAGGAAACCTAACTACTCTTGACAGAGGGAAAGATCAAACCGAAAGTAAAAATAAACAACAGCATACTGTCCCTCTCTTTCCCTCGCGTTTGCCAACTCACTCCTCGAGTCATTTTCTCTTCTTCGCTGGTGGTTGCTGAGGAGTATCATCATCTTCTTCCTCCTCATCTTCCTCATCATCATTGTCGTCATCCTCGGCATCATCATCATCCTCATCATCATCGTCGTCATCAGCCTCCTCCTCATCATCATCGGAGTCTCCAGCGCCATTAGCTTCAGGGTCGTCTTCCGGGTCTGCTCCTTCGTCACCCGCGAAATCCTCGTCACCAGCATCGTCGTCATCATCATCATCCTCTGCATTGTCGTCCTCGTCATCTTCACCATCGTCCTCGGTGTCACTGGCATCTTTGTTTTCTTCTGTGTTGGAGCATTCCTTCTCGTGAAGCTTGCTAAAAGGAAACCTGCATAGATGAGGCAACATATGCATCAGCTTACATTCTTTAGACTGTCAATGGACGGGAAAGATGCGAAAATATCTGGTGGGTGTACCTCTCTTCTACAGCAGTCAGATTGGCCAATGCCTCAGCTTCAACGACCAGTGATCCAGCCTGAGAAAGATGAGAAATTAAAGTGGCATTAACTAAATACTCATCTCTTGCCAGAGATGGAAACTACAACACACATATAAGCACTACTATCTCACAGTAACATGAAATAACAGTGCACTAAGTCTTGGAATCAAGATATAGACAACAGAGGGAAAGCTAATAGATAAAGATATTGATTCTACCAAGAAATAAGCAATATGACTTTTCCTAGCCTTCATGTTGACAAGACATCAATTTCATGATCTACCACAATTATCCTAACCCAGAAACACCTAAGTCTATAGGTTTAAAAGGTATATAAAAAACCAGATAATTACAAGAAGATGTTGAAACAGAACTATGAACTTCCACTATCCTGGGAGAAGAAAAACCCGCATTGGGGCAGGTGTAAGTGGGGGCAGAGACACTGAATCCCATAGATGAAAGAATGCCCTATGTCACCCAAAAGCAAGTACATGTTTAGAGGAAGTTAGTTCTGATAAACTCTGCCAAAAACCGAAACGATCCAAGCGTACGTTACTAAGTAAAAAAAGGAACAGTAATCAATCACCATTCTTTGGAAACAGCAAGTTGGTACCTTTTTCTTCCTTTTAAACCCACAGGCAAAAGGCAAGTTGCCAAGTAGGTTGTCTAATAGCATAACAGGAAAGCCTAGAACATGAATTATGGAAGCATCTTAAGAGGAAACCACCCAAATGTGGACAAAACATTCTACTAACACCACTGCTAATGCTATCCTAGCAAACAAGCTTCAGATCATACAATCCATAGTATCTTCAAAGCTCATAAGAACTATTCCGCACAACAACCAGCAACGATGAAGTACACTCCAATCCACCAATAAAGTAAGCCATATCTCAGCCAGAATCACCATTACAACAAATCCAGGAGCTTCATAACAAACAGAATGCCGCCTATTAACACACAACACAACTACATTCGTGCCAAGTAGCCTCTGTAACAACTCACTAAATAGCTCAGACCACAGTCAAACACATCAAATCCAAAAGCACACCAGCAAGTATATTCACAGTCACACACATAAAAGCAGCAAAAAAAACCCCTAATTTTCACCAGATCAGTGAAAAAAATCAACCACAAGCAGTTACCTCCACCATTCACAAGTCAAACAACCAACAAAGAACACCAAAGACAATACCACAGCCACAACAAACGAGAACATTAGTACCAACCAGACAAAAATAAATAGCAAAAAGCACCACCAACAAGTACAGAAGAGCACTAAACCTCACAAATATATACACATTGAGAGGGGGTAAAAAAAGGAACAAGGGTTTATCTCCATCCAATGAGTCGTACCATAAAGAGCAGGCAAGCAAGAGCCTTTTCAGCAGCAACGGCAGCTTCCACCACCATAGCTTCCACAACAGAGGAAACCCACTCGGCCCTCTTCTCCGCAGAGCTCACACTGCCCAAAACCTCCATTGACGGCGGCTGTATTTCCAAACGAACGGGATTGGCGACAAAGAAAGGATAGAAGCTAAATCCTAGAGAGAGAAACAGTAAAGTCAAAGAGGGAGAGAGCTCAGTAGTCGAAGTAGAGAGAGAGGGAGGAGGAGCAGCACTGCAGCAGGGGAAGAGCGAGAGCGGAGAGCGGGGCCGAGACGAGGGCGTGGTGGAAAAGGATGACCTTTCACTGGGTTTTTCTTGGGTCCGGTTAGGGTTAGGGTTTGGTCCGAATTCGGGTGCTTTTTTTTATTTGTCTTTTTCTACATTAAAGCTAGTTATCGGCATTCTGCAGAGAGCCAGCTATTTTTTCCGGACCTCTTTTTTACCGTTGCGATTGGTCGGGTTCGGGGATCCGGAATTGTACCCGAACTGTGGAATCAATGGGGGAAAGAGGAAACGGTGGGGTGGAGTAAATATGGCGTTTCTTTTTCCCGTTGAATAGTTTGATAATAATTGCTTCCACTTAGGTTTTCTTTTTCTTTATTTTATTTAGAGAATATTTCCCTGATAATAAGATAATTAATCTATTAATCCTTCTAAAATTGTTGAAACCTTCAAAAGGTAGCATCTAGATTTTTTTAAGAGATTGATACATTATATTCCAATTTTATCATAGGAATATCCAAATTCAAGCATAGTAAATAAGTAAAACGACATGTATAGTGAATGAAAAAATGTTATCTTATGACTGTGAAGGTTTATGGAGGGAGAGAGTAGGGCCATTTGATTTATCCGTCTTTGCGTTGTATGTTTTCTTTTACGGTAACATTTGCATTGTTGTAAGAAATTTTTGAAGGAGTCGATTATAGATGAAGTATTTACACAATATATATGTAATTGGTATAATTCATCAATTTTCTATTTCATTGTGTCACACAATCTAGGCATTGGAGTTTTTATGTAACATCTCTAATTATGAAAGATTTTAGATCTTAGCTAAAACTTGAGTTTACAACAAAACAAACGAGAAAGAGAAAAGTACACAAGAAGAACGAGAAACCAAGAGGAATGAGACCCCATGATCAACGGTTGGCCTAACGGAGGTCACTCAACCTGAAGGACTCCTGCTCAGCCAGAAGAGCTCGCCATCATCTCCCCACCGCCGCGTAACCTCAGTTCGAATGAAGTTCTCATTCAAGTGAACCATCGGGTAGTAGTCACGGAGAACATCCATGACCAACTGAAAGAACTGAGTCGCTGCTGTGGACATGAACTCACCATGTCGCGCCACTTGTTGCTCCAGCCGGCGAGCACGAGCTCTCTCTCGAGCAAGGGACTCTCTCGCCTCCACAACTTTCTCTTGCTCCCGTCTCAAGAGCAACTTCATCTCCGCTAAGGCAGCCTGGTCCTGTGCGCGACCGCTCCTCTCTTGCTCCATCTGGCGATGCAGAGACAGCAGCTGAGTTTCTAGCTCCTGGATCCGAGCCTTTCGAACTCGAATCCACTGCTCTTCCAGCGTGACATCGTCCCGAACAGGTGTATCTTGTGATGCACGAGCCTCCAAAACCCGAGAAGAGGCCACTCCCTGCAACAACTATAAACAAGCAGAAGTAAATACCAAGAAACGATCAAACACAAATATGAGTTAGAGTAAAGAGATGAAAAGATACATTCATGGCAGATGTCACGATGGAAGCATCAATAGCGTCCCTGCTCTCCATCAAATCTCTCCCCCATCCAGTCTGAACCGCCTGGAAAACTGACGAAGGATCTGCCTGGGCGGCCATGAAGAATGGCGCTAACGGTGGAAATGATCCAGTTGAACCACCCATGGGTCTCGTGGGCTCCGAACAAGGGATCCAGCACCTGCCTTCGACCGGATCTTCACGGTGCGAGACTGAACTGAACCTACCGTGCTACCTTCAGCAATAGCAGCAACACCAGGTGCCTCCCCCATAACTTCTCCGATCCTGACACTACTACCCTCTATCGTATCAGAAATAAGCAATCTACCGCGACCTCGGGATCCCTCCTCCTCTGACTCCAGGACAACTCTCCTCCTCTGATGGTTTCCCTGATCGCCCACAGACGAATCACCCTGAACATAAGAAGGGGAATGCTCACAGGAAATCGTGCCAAGTCTGCGACGGGGCACCCTCTGAGTCGCCCTTTCCTCAGCGCCCGCTCTTTGTGAACGCCTCTCACTCTTCAGGACGTGAAGGAGCTCCATATCTGTCCAGAGAACAATCATAAATTTTGATGAGCACACAACGAAAACAAAGACAAAATTAGTATGAAAAATTTCCTGCCATTGTTCAGTTTTTGAGTTTCCTACCAGAGTGGTACTCGTTGTCAACCAGGGCAGCTAGTAACCCAACAGTGTGGCCCTGAACGGGGTCAGTCCCAAAAACTCAAGCAGCTAACTCACCAAGCTCACCCTCGACGTCGGCTACAACCTCGACAAAATCAGAACCATTAAAGTAAATCAGTGCGGGATTGACCCAAAGCGAACAACTATCGTACTAACAGAACTATTCGATAAACAAGGGAAACCTGACAACTTCAATCCTACCGTCACCATACTGGCTCATAAGTTGCTTTTCGCTGCTACTGATTCACAGAAACTCCTACCTCCGAAGAGGCTCCAACAAGATTCACGACGTGAAATATTAGCTGAAGCTGAGTCTCCCAATGAACCCCGACCGAATTATCACACTCAAAATGTTTTTTCCTCCAGTAACATTCATTCTACCTAGCTAAGTTCAGCGGAAGTTTGAATGCCCAACAAACAAGCTAAGAATCCTATGCAGAATGAGAGAAGGGGATGCCTCAATGGCGACAAGAGGAAGCACTCACTGATTACTCCAGGGAAAATGAACAAGTTCAGTGGAGGAATGAACGAAGCATCAAGAACCCTAAACCCGAATAAGAAAGATAATTCCTTTTCAAGGGAGAATGCACCACAGAAATAAGAAAGACAATGAGTACTGGAGATAAAGATTGAGCTTTTACCCGGGAGGGAAGATTGACTAGAGAGCTTCTCTCTTGGCTTCAAAGGAACTTCACCGCAACAGAACGATCGGATTTAACTGTTAAGAGAAGGAACTGAAAAAGGAAGAAGAAGAAGAAGAAGAAGAAGAAGGGCCAGAACCGAGAGAAATGACGAATGGGGAGGCAGGAATAATCTGATTCTGAGGACCTCTTTTGTTATACTTAAAAGTTAAGAGGACGTATCGGTAAGTCTATGAAAAGAGTAGGATGTAATCTGAATTTATTTTTCTGCAGACAAAGAATTTGTTTTGTTGCAGGAAAATTGGAAATTTCAATGTCAATCGTTTTTTCTGAATTCTGTTAAGGCTTCTTCTTCTTCTTCATCGCCCATTCCATTCCAGTCAACACGGGGAGGGCTAAACCGAGCCAGCCAGCCAGCCAGCAAGCCCAAAGCTTTCCTGCAACCCTCCTCTCCTCTCTCTTTCTCTCTCCCGGGGGACGAAGAAGAAGAAGGAGCCCTAATTTCTGTTTCCCCCAAATCCCTCGGCAATTCCACCTTCCTTGTCGTTCGATAACTCCAACCAATTCAATCCCAGATCGAGGAGGGGGAAGGAGGAAACAATGTCGTCGGAGATCGAAGTGGTGGAGGAGGAGGTTGTTCATTCCGGAGATCACGGGGGAAGCAACGGGATTGCTGCTTCTGCCAACGGTGGCGAGGATGCTGTCGGCGACGAGAGCCTGAGGAACGACGTTTACACCGCGGCCGCGTATGGGGATTTGGAGAAGCTCCAGAGATTGGTGGAGAGTGAGGGTTGCTCCGTCTCGGAGCCCGACGGGCTTGGATACTATGCGCTGCAGTGGGCTGCTTTGAATAATCGGACTGCTGCTGCTCAGTACATAATCGAGGTTGGGAGGATTGGATTTCCTTTTTTATTTGATGGAGTCTTTGTTTCCTTTCCGCTTCATTTTGATGTTTCGGGTCTGTCTAGAGAGTGGTCAATCTAGTTTCAATTGGTGTGTTGTAGCCCTTTAGGAATGGCAGAGTTGAGAGAAGAAATTGGATGGATAGAGCTTTTTTGTGCTTACCCTTTGCATTCTGGAATTAGAAAGTAGGTGGTGTTGGCTGTCTTCTGCTAAGGTGTAGGACGCTGACCATTTTTTTTGGACTTAGAAGAAGTTAGCTCAATTCATAGATTATACGTGTCCTGAGTAGTATGAATCATTTGATTGCCAGCATGGAGGAGATGTAAATGCAGCAGATCACACGGGTCAGACAGCACTACACTGGAGTGCAGTTCGAGGTGCAATCCAAGTTGCCGAACTTTTACTTCAAGAGGGTGCTCGGGTGAATGCAGCTGACATGTACGGTTATCAGGTTAGTGTTTATTCCATTATTATGTTAGGTGGTAATTATTCTTTGATTAAGATATCTTGTAATACAGATAAAAAAAAAAGATATCTTGTAATGTTTCTGAAAGATAACTGAAGCAGAAAACGTGTTTCCATTGGTATCGTCTAACTAAGATAAGACCAGTGGTAGTATGATTTTGTTCATGTTGTTATATGGCTTTGTGTCTTGAAGATGACGACTAGTGGAAATTTTACTTGCTTTCAGACTACACATGTTGCAGCTCAGTATGGTCAGACAGCTTTCTTGTATCATGTCGTCTCAAAATGGAATGCAGACCCTGATCTTCCAGATAATGATGGAAGAAGCCCCTTGCACTGGTAAGGCTATACAGATTCATCCCCTGGTCATATTTGGAGAAGGCTATAAAATCTCCAAGCTCTATAAATTGGTTTGTTACTTGTTCTCAAATATTACTGCATCCTTGCACCAAATTAGTTAATGAATTCCAGAACCCGGTACACACTTCTAGATGGAATCTCGATTTGTATTCAGGGCACGAACTTAGGCTAGTTACAGCAGCCAATCTTGGTTTATTTCTTATTTTCCTTAGTGAACTGAACCCATGGATTTGTCCCATTTTTACAAGTCTTTTTCATTACTCATTTTTTGACGTTCTACTTCATCTGGGAGCTGCTTGATTAAGATCTTTTTGTGATAATAATTTTGGGTTATTTTGACAATTATCTATTTTGGTTCATGAATTGAGTAGTTACTGAACCACCACAATGTGTTTACTTTTATTGGCAACATACAGGGCTGCTTATAAGGGTTTTGCCGATTGTATACGCCTGTTGTTATTTCTGGATGCATATAGGGGACGGCAAGATAAAGAGGGTAATGTAGCAATTTATTACTGCCCACTTGCTTTTATATGTTACTCGAGTCATCTTAATGAAGCAACTAGACTAAAATCCTGATTTTTTATCACATCAGGTTGCACACCCCTTCACTGGGCTGCAATTAGGGGTAACTTGGAGGCATGCACAGTGTTGGTACAAGCTGGCAAGAAGGAGGACTTGGTAATCACAGATAACACGGGGCTGACTCCAGCTCAACTTGCTTCTGATAAGAACCACAGACAAGTTGCATTTTTCCTTGTAGGTGTTCCTTCTACTACTTCACCTCCATTATTTAGTTACTGGTGTTAACTGGATGACATATATCCCCATTTCTCTTTACATTTTAGATTTTTGTGTAAGATGTTACTAAACTTTTCTTAATAGGCTGCTGTGGTTATGTTCTACTTCTACTTTCACAGTTTCACTTCATCTCCATTTGGATGTTTCTTAAGAAATTCTGAAAAGAAGCATTAAAATATGTTCCCGCCAGTTTATATCTAAATGACCTGGTTCTGCAGGGCAATGCTAGAAGGCTTCTTGATAAACGTTGTGATGGCGCCACCCACTTGGGACGTCTGTCGAAGTTGGGCCTTGCTCCAGTTCTTTGGTGTATAATAATTATTCTTCTGATCATCTATATCCATTCTGTCATCATGGGTATTCTCCATAACCTCTTTGTCCGAGTTTTTGTACTCCTTTGAGGATTTCCAGTTAGCACACTGTATTTGATGGTTTCTTTTTATAATTTCAGCTCCAAATCTGCCCAGGGTAACACCTGGCTTTGGCCTATTTGCATGGCTTGGGGTATTTCTTGCAACCAGTGGGCTTGTGACGTTTTACAGGTGTAGCAGGTAGGTTTCAGAAGTTCTCGTGAAACAGACTCATGTGTATGTCATCTAGTTATCCATTGTGGTTCTTGATGTTTCCAATGCTTATAAACTAGACAAAGGATATGGCATAGAAGCCAAATCAGTAGCTCAAATGATGAATGAGCAAGGAATCAAATCCTTAAGACACGGATATTTTATACCTAGAAACGAACTTACAAAATTGATTTCTTTAGTTCGCTAGATTACTACATCACCTTGCATTTGATTGTGTAAGCTGTTGTGTCTATTCTCTTCTCGTTCTTGATTGCAGGAAGGATCCTGGATACGTAAGAATGAATGTGCATGATCCACAAAATATGAAAGATGATGTAAGTTCCATCATTTGTAGATTCAGCATGTCTAGTGCTTTTATCCGCTGCCATTGCTTAAACAGTCATCTCCCCCACCTATAGAAGGTGAGTGGGAGGAATAGCAAGCAGAAGTCAGATCGAACTTCTATCTGTCCATAGAAGTTTGACTTCAACGGATTCCTTAATTTGGGTCCTGTATAGAATCTTTGGCAGTTTTACCTTTCTCGGAGTCCCAGCATTGTTCGTTTGCTGACTACTGACCTCATGATATCTGCATAATTCTTTCTACTAGGAACCTCTTTTGAAGATAGAGATAAACAATCCTGCTTTGCTTTCTGGGAATTGGTCTCAGCTTTGCGCAACGTGCAAGGTAGAGTTATCACACGACTTCTAATTCATCTGATAGAAATATGCCTTATGGTTGAGGCTTAACATTTCGTAATTTTCTTGTCTCCAATCTCATCTTATATACCAGATTGTAAGACCTCTTCGTGCAAAGCACTGTTCCACATGTGATCGTTGCGTCGAACAATTTGACCACCATTGCCCGTGGGTATCAAATTGCATAGGCAAGGTGTGTGACCAACTGACCATCATTGCTTCATATATTCTATTAAATATATGTGGATACATCAAGTTCATTTATCCTGCTGCAGAAAAACAAGTGGGATTTCTTCTTGTTTCTTGTTTTGGAAGTCTCCGCAATGCTGATAACTGGTGGCGTGGCTCTCACGAGTATGCAACTTATTCCCCTTCCAAGATTATAACTTTAGAGGCACCCTGTTTTGCCCTGTTCGTTTTCTTCCATTTATGATGGATCTTCTGCACCGCCTTTCAGGGATTGTTACCGATCAAATGGCTCCTTCAACATTCGGAGGCTGGTTAAACTATGCAGGCACTCATCACACTGGCGCCATATCTTTCCTGATGGTCGACTTCTTCCTCTTCTTCGGTGTAGCTGTTCTAACCGTCGTCCAAGCCTCTCAGGTAAGTTCCCGCTTCTCTTAGGTCTCGTGCCATACTTGGTCTGTATACCGGTAAGCAATAGCTCGCTGTATCTCTCATGATATCCTTCTCCACCACAGATATCCCGCAACATAACAACCAACGAGATGGCAAACGCAATGCGGTACAGCTACCTGAGAGGCCCCAGCGGCCGGTTCAGGAACCCATACGACCACGGATGCAGAAAGAACTGCCTGGATTTCTTGGTCTCGGGTTACAACACCGACGTGGAGTTCATCGAGGACTCGTCCCAAGAAGGGATCAGAATGATGCACATGTCTCGACACAACACGACGACCACCCTCCAGAACGGCGACACCCCCCAGATCCCACACCACGCCGCCAATGGCAGCAGCAGCGGGCACATCGCGATCAACGTGAACAACCGAGAGAGCAAACCCCTCCACCAACAACACCACCACCAAGGTGGTGCTCAGCACCACGTTCATTCTTCCAACTGCGGCCATAGTAGTAGTAGCAGCAGCAGCAGTCAGGGGAAATCCAAGTCGGAGAAAGTGCCATTGGGTCTAGGTCTAGGTCTCGGTCGGAACGGTAGCCGTAGCGTGGCAGGCCCCTGATGACTAACCACTACATACAGATTGCATCCATTTGTCTTGGTTGTTTTTTTTTATTACTCTAGATTCCCCTGTTGGTTGTCTGTACCATAGTGAAAGGAGAGAAAAGGGAGAACCCTTCTGGTGTTTCACCTGCTGTCTAATTCAATTGGTTGTTGCTGCTCGTTTTGCTCGGCCTCCATACATTCATTTACTTGTACAGAGAGCTCTACTTCTAGATACAACTTCATCTCTAAGCATTGGCTTTGGAATGATCCACGTTTCCTGAAACCTGATAGAGGCTGCGAGGACCAGTGCCCTGTTGTATCAGCCATTTTCTTAGGCAAAGGGTATTAAATTCTAGGGCAAAGGTCCATCTGCAGGAGGCAGTAGGACAACAGGGTATTAATTATGCTTGGAAGAGTGACAGCTACTGCTGATCTATGTGCATTCAGATTTCAGCCATTCACCATACCTACCACCGAGCTAGCAAGCAAACAAGCAGTTCTGCTGCAAGTTGGTTGGGAATTGGTGCCTTCAGTTCAGGACATAAATAAATGAACGAGTGAGCGACTGAAGCGAATTCACTTCACACACGGTATAATTGCCAACTACCACCTCCTATCAGCTCGGGGAAAACGAGATCCTAACCGAAGATCCTATCTTTAAATTTTATATTGGGTAGGGAAGGTTGTAACAATACATTTTTGTTACCACGAGATATATTGTCAGCTGCGGATCATTTGATTGGAATGAAATTTGGAATGGGTATATGTACCATTTTGACTGGCTACCAACTAACATTCAAAATGGCTTGTTGGAGACCGTTTTCATGGTCGGTACTGATTTAATCTGGTCCAACCGGCTGGTCTAGCAGTAGTTTGACAACTTTTGTGTGCGGGAAGGGTGATTAATCAGATTCGGGGGGGTTTTCTACGAGGATACACTTATGATACTCGAGTCCATGCCTCATCGAGCATGTTTTTCCTCGATTAATCAAATCAGACACATTATAAAACATATTTGTTTCTCCCATTCTAGGACTATGATCTGTTAAACTACCGAATGAGCCATAATATACGCCGCTGCGTAGCCAACTTCCTATTCCACAATCTTTTTTTATGGGAAAATTCTTAGCTCCAATCTTAGTTGAACGCAGAAGTATCAACCAGCCACATGTCGATTTTTTATAGGTGAGTTCATCTTTCTTTTTTTATATTTTAATTCTTGATTTATTTAGGATAACTAAGAACATCAAATATTAAGGGGAAAAAAGTGTGAGTATACCAATAGAAAACTGGCATGTGGCTGGTTAAAGCTTCTACGTCCAACAAACCTAATGTTTTCCTTTTTTTATGATGAAATCTTTCTCATTAAAAAAATATACTTCTCTTGTTAATAATTATTAATAATAATACTAATACAAACATAATAATGATTAACCATTGAAAAGTATGGGTTTGTTTCACCGATGTGGGCCAAATGGACGAATTACGATCAGTGGTTTGGTTTGAATTGAATACCCTTTCTCCCTCTCTCGCTCTCTGGGTTTTTGTTTTTTAATGCACTGGTTATCTGTGCGTGATTATGGTGGACAAGGCGCCAGCCAGCCCACATAAGATGAGGTAGACGAGCTTTCAGAGGGCAGCCGCAAAAGCTGAAACTTACAAAAGGAAGGAGGCGAGAGGGAGAGGAAGAAGGAGGAGGAGAAAATGGGTGTTTCTACTGCTGGTAGTAGTAGCAGTTCATCATCATCATGGCTGTCTTCTTTGACCTGCGACCCCGGCGGCTCGATTCAGGTTGACCATTCATCATCGTCCTCCTCCTCGCCGCTTCAATGGCTGAGATTCATCTTGCTCTCCCCATGCCCGCAGCGGCTCATGCTTTCATCCCTCGACACACTCTTCCTTCTCCTCCTCTGCATCTTCGCCCTCCACAAGCTTTTCACCACTCTGTTTTCCTCCTCCCGCCGACGCCGCCAGCAGCACGTCAATGGCGACTTCTCCGATTCCACCGTCGACAAGCCCCTCTTACAATCCAGTGGTCCGGCCGTGGTCACCACCGACGCTTGGTTTAAGGTCGCGCTCGCCGCCACCGCCGTCTCTGCCGCCTGCTCCGTCGTCCCCTGCATTCTCGCCTTCACCGGCGGCGAGACAGAGGCAGAGTCCTCGCCGCCGGGGTACTGGAAGCTGCTCAACGGGGTTTGCTGGTTGATTCAGGCCGCGACGCATCTGATCGTCGCGGTTCTGATCATCCACGAGAGGAGATTCCGAGCGATTCGGCACCCTCTCTCCCTCCGAGTCTACTGGGTCCTCAACTTCGCCGTCGCTGCTCTGTTCGCGTCGTCGGGGATTTTCCGATTGGTCGCCGGCGGCGACGATCGTTCCAACTTAATTGCAGACGACGTCGTTTCAATAATCGCTTTTGTCGTCTCTATTCCTCTCCTCGCCGTCGCCGTAAGAGGGTTTACTGGAGTTGGGGTTTCATCAGGAATCAAATTAGCAGATCCTCTTTTGGAAGATGAGGAAGAAGAAGAGGGGAAATTGCCAGCTAGCGCTTTTGCTTCAGCTTCCATATTCTCGAAGGCGTTTTGGTTTTGGATGAACCCACTTTTGGGGAAAGGCTATAAAACCCCATTGAAGCTCGAAGACGTCCCCAGTCTCGCCCCCAGCGACAGAGCCGCCGCCATCACCCGCCTCTGGGACGCCTCCTGGCCGGGAGAGAAATGCCAGAACCCAGTTCGCACAACCATCCTCCGCATGTTCTGGAGGGAAATCGCCTTCACCGCCTTCCTCGCCATAGTCCGATTGTGCGTAACCTACGTCGGCCCGGTTCTGATTCAGGATTTCGTCGATTACACGAGCGGGAAGCGGAGTTCTCCCTACGAAGGCTATTACCTCATCCTCACCCTTCTGGCGGCCAAATTCCTCGAGGTATTGACAACCCACCAGTTCAATTTCAATACCCAGAAGCTCGGGATGCGGATTCGCTCCTCCCTGATTACAGCGCTCTACAGAAAGGGGCTGCGGCTGTCGTGCTCGGCTCGTCAAGCTCATGGAGTTGGGCAGATTGTTAATTACATGGCGGTGGATGCGCAGCAGCTCTCTGACATGATGCTCCAGCTCCACGCCATTTGGTTGATGCCCTTTCAAGTTGGGGCTGCGTTGATTCTTCTGTACGGAGCTTTGGGAGCTTCCACTCTCACTGCACTGGTTGGGATTGTGGCGGTGCTGTTGTTTGTGTTCTTCGGCACCAAGAGGAACAATAGGTTCCAGTTCAACCTGATGCAGAATCGGGATTCGAGGATGAAGGCCACCAACGAGATGTTGAATTACATGAGGGTGATCAAGTTCCAAGCTTGGGAGGAGCACTTCCAGAAGAGGATCCAAGGGTTCAGGGATTCGGAGTACTCGTGGCTGTCCAAGTTCTTGTACTCCATTGCTGGGAACCTGCTGGTGATGTGGTGTACTCCTCTGCTGATCTCCACTATTACTTTCGGTACTGCGATCTTGCTGGGTGTGCCGCTGAGTGCTGGCACGGTTTTCACCACGACTTCGATATTCAAGATTCTTCAGGAACCCATCAGGACTTTCCCGCAGTCGATGATCTCGATCTCGCAGGCGATGATATCGCTCGGGAGGTTGGATAAGTACATGCTGAGCAAAGAGCTGGTGGAGGAGAGTGTGGAGAGGGCAGAAGGGTGTGATGGTAGGGTGGCTGTGGAGATTCAGGAAGGTGTGTTCAGTTGGGACGATGAAGCTGAGGAGCCGATTCTGAAAGAAATTAATGTGAAGATCCAGAAAGGTGAGCTTACAGCAATTGTTGGAACTGTTGGGTCAGGCAAGTCCTCTCTGCTTGGCGCTGTTCTTGGTGAGATGCACAAGATTGCTGGCAAGGTATGATGTATCGGAATATGCAGCCAACCCACCATTGAAGAAGTTGTTTTTCTCTTTTTAAAGTATAAAAAACTTCATCTTTCTGGTGATTTCTTGTTGAATAGGTGAGCGTGTGTGGATCAACTGCGTATGTGGCTCAAACTTCATGGATTCAGAATGGGACCATCGAAGAGAACATTCTGTTCGGTCTGCCCATGGACAGGAGCAAGTACAATGAGGTAGTGAGGGTGTGTTGCTTGGAGAAGGACTTGGAAATGATGGAGTTTGGTGATCAGACCGAGATTGGCGAGAGAGGGATTAACCTTAGTGGTGGACAGAAGCAGCGGATCCAGCTTGCCAGGGCGGTTTATCAGGATTGCGACATCTATCTGCTTGATGATGTTTTCAGTGCCGTGGATGCTCATACTGGCACTGACATATTTAAGGTAACAATCACACAAATGTCAGGAAAGAAAGTGGGAAAAGGGCTCCGAGATTCCTTGTTAATCAAACAACTCTTCTGAAATTGTGCAGGAATGCGTGCGAGGAGCATTGAAAGGCAAAACCATCTTGCTTGTGACCCACCAAGTAGATTTCTTGCACAATGTTGATCTTATAATGGTGAGCTGAGGAGCAATACTTTTTTTACATTTGCAGCTGGTGGTGCTTTGTGTTCTAGTTTGATTTCTTGTCTGTCTGTTTCTTAATAATGTTGGTGATGATATGGAATCTCATTCTCAGGTGATGAGAGATGGGAAGATTGTGCAATCCGGGAAGTACGATGAGATGCTGGGATTAGGGACGGATTTCGAGTCACTGGTAGCTGCTCACGACACTGCTATGGAACTCGTGGAAGCTGGCCATAATAACTCAAATGGTGGTGAAGAAAATGGCCCCAAATCGCCAGGAGGAGCTCCTTTCAGCCCTGGAAGAGAAGCTGCAAACGGCAGTAGTGACAACAAGGTCTCGTCATCAGAACAACAACCTAAATCGGAGGAAGGAACTTCCAAGCTGATTGAAGAAGAGGCTCGAGAGACGGGCCAGGTCGGGGTGCACGTTTATAAGCAGTACATCACAGAGGCATTTGGATGGTGGGGTGTAGTAGCTGCGGTGGCATTATCCTTAGTCTGGCAAGGGTCTCAAATGGCCGGAGATTACTGGTTGGCCTATGAGACTTCCTCCGACAGAGCTACAGCATTCAACCCGACCATATTCATTTCCGTGTATACAATCATCGCAGTTATATCAGTGGTTCTGTTGGGATTCAGATCATACTTTGTCACTCTGATGGGACTCAAGACCTCCCAAATTTTCTTCAATGGTATCCTTAACAGCATCTTGAGGTCTCCAATGTCCTTCTTCGATACCACACCATCCGGAAGAATTCTGAGCCGGGTAAGGAACTGATCTTCTTCAGTTTAACAATAATATACCTTTCCTTTAAATTGTCTGAGCTTGTTTCTAAACAATGTCTATTTTTGTGCAGGCTTCAACTGATCAAGCAAATATCGACCTCTTCCTTCCATTTATGTTGTCGCTCACAATGGCCATGTACATCACAGTGCTCAGCATCTTAATTGTGATTTGTCAAAATGCCTGGCCAACTGTGTTTTTGGTGATTCCTCTTGGTTGGCTCAACATTTGGTTCAGGGTAATTGATTCACTCCATTCATTCATGATCTTTTTCTTCTTTCTACTGACAAATTGTTGCCTAGTTAACTAGTTCCTATTTTCCTGCTGACAGGGCTACTTTCTGGCAACATCTCGAGAGCTGACGCGACTCGACTCAATCACAAAAGCCCCAGTAATTCATCATTTCTCCGAAAGCATAGCCGGGGTAATGACCATCCGGTCTTTCAGAAAGGGAAGCAGGTTTTGCCAGGAGAATGTCCGGAAAGTGGATTCCAACTTGAGGATGGACTTCCACAACAACGGTTCTAATGAGTGGTTGGGACTTCGGCTGGAGCTTATCGGCAGCGTCCTCCTCTGCTCTTCTGCCATCCTCTTGATCGTCTTGCCTAGCAGCATCGTTAATCCAGGTAAACCCACAACGTTACTTCACCTCCTTGCTTACTGGTGCAGGCATTAACAAACAGTAATATGATTGTTCTTATTGTGCAGCCAACGTTGGATTGACGCTGTCATACGGGCTGTCCCTGAACTCGGTGCTGTTCTACGCGATATACATGAGCTGCTTCGTCGAAAACAGGATGGTTTCGGTGGAGAGGGTGAAGCAGTTCACCAACATCCCATCGGAGGCAGCCTGGAGGATCAAAGACCGCAAGGCACCTTCCAACTGGCCTACTGAAGGGCGAGTAGACCTTCGCGAGTTGCAGGTCAGGTACCGCCCCAACACTCCCTTGGTGCTCAAAGGGATCACACTCAGCATTAAGGGCGGGGAGAAGGTTGGGATTGTAGGGCGGACTGGGAGCGGGAAATCCACTCTGGTCCAAGTGTTCTTCAGGCTGGTGGAGCCAACTGCCGGGAGGATCATCATCGACGGGATAGACATCTCCATGCTCGGTCTCCATGATCTCCGGTCCAGGTTCGGGATCATCCCTCAGGAACCTGTTCTCTTTGAAGGCACCGTCAGGAGCAATGTGGACCCTATCGGAGACTACTCCGATGAGGAGATTTGGAAGGTCAGGGCTTGCTTTGCTTTTTGCAGGCAAGAAAGAAAGCTTGCTTCTGTGTTCTGATATGGTTATGCTGCTCGTTTTCTTCTTCTTCCTGTAGAGTCTGGAGCGCTGCCAACTGAAGGATGTAGTAGCTGCCAAGCCTGAAAAGCTGGACGCTCCTGGTGAGTTGGTGCATAGCTTGTCGAACATCACACAGTTTACTTGCCAAAACAATGATTGTTACTCATGGTTGCTGGTAATGCAGTGATCGACAGTGGCGAAAACTGGAGCGTGGGGCAGAGGCAGCTGCTCTGCCTGGGGAGGGTGCTGCTGAAGAAGAGCAGGCTGCTGTTCATGGACGAAGCCACGGCTTCCGTGGATTCCAAGACGGACGCCGTGATACAGAGGATCATAAGGGAGGATTTCGGGTCGTGCACTATAATCAGCATTGCTCACAGGATCCCAACCGTCATGGACTGCGACCGCGTCCTCGTTGTGGATGCTGGTAAGCTCCCTTGCTCTTGTTCCAAATTTCAAGCTAACTAATGATGTATCTGTCTGTGTTCCTAAACTGTATTTCTTTCTTGAACATAAACAGGACTGGCCAAGGAATTCGATACGCCGTCGAACCTGCTGGAACGACCATCCCTGTTTGCTGCATTGGTGCAGGAATACGCTAATCGATCGGCTGGATTATAATCATCAGCATCCTCGTCGTCGTCATGCTTACTCGTAACACGAAATGCCTGCATCTATGCACTGTAGTCCTTCCTTTTGCCTGTCTGTAGTCTTAAGTTGGAGGAGCATAAAAAGAGGATAATGGCTGCAATTTTTACCAAGTTCAAATCTGTCAGATAAAAAGGTTCTGCATTACTCTCCATTATTGTAATTGTAAGAATAATCTCCGGACTCTGCCCCAAATGTAGCCAAGGGTTTTAGACCGCAGAAGCTAGGCAGATATGAATCTCACACTTCTCACTAATATGCAATCCTAGTAGCAATGGATCATTTCGTTATCCTTCTCGTTTCGCGGCTTATGGGGTTGTCGTTACTAACTTCCATGAACAGGTTGTTTAACTGCAGGGTCGGCTCTTCGATTTTGTTCATCATCCGTCCTACACTCTCTTATACTCACTGACCGCCTTCGCTCTTGTTCGAGTTTCGTTGTATTCCATGAAGGACAACGCTTTCTCACTCGAACCTGATAGAGGTCTCCTACGTAGCTCGATGCTTCAACGTACGTGCGAGCAGATTCCCTGCGCCGGTCTTTGTCCTGTGTGGTCGCTAAGTTTTGGCTGAAACCTCTTGGCATTTGGCGGCCGCTGCTATTCCAGTTGTGTTGTAGTTTGCCATCCTAGAATGGTTTGTCTGTAGATAAAAATAGAAATGGAAACCAACAAAGGACGAGTCTTTTTTCCATGGGTTAGCTCTGTTGTGTTTCTTATTGTGTCTTTCCTCTGTCACTGTCTGTAGTGGAGTTTGATTAAGAAAAAAAATCTTTGCAGAAACAGAGTCGTTTTTTTGGTGTCGAGTAGCAGCTGATTGAGTCAACCTTGTTCCATTGTTGGGAAGGAGACAAAGAGGAGAGAGAGAGAGAGGCAGAAGACGAAATCGTTTTTGTGTTGTCTTCCTTGATTGTCAAACAAATGGGACCGACTCCAACCAAGAAGAAAATACAGATGAAAATGATGGCTCCTTCTACTAGAACGATAGAATAAATTTGTGTTGTCAATTGGTTTATGAAAATGGAGACACTAATTTTAGCGATATAGTCTAAGGATGGTAACAGAGTTGGATAGGGATAGACGGTATATATTCTTTTAAGTATCAACACGTTCTAATTACTTTGAATATATTCACATATAAGATTGGATAGTCAATTAGACACCTTTTTGTATTTCATTTAGTGTACTATTATATGTAAATATATTTACATTATATAATTGAAAAAATTACGCAGGAAGTAGGGACGAGCAATGCGCGGATTGGGTGGATTTTGGTCTTAAATTGACTCACTTACTTATTGGTGAGTTTATATACTTGTTATCCACTATCAACTCACATTCTTCTTCGGATTAGGTTGGGGGAATGATGAACGAGTGTGGTTGGGTTCTGGATAGACTAGCAACATCAATTCTCCAACTACCCATTTAAAAAATTTACTACCATCTATAATAAGTTACTCGCAAATTAGTAAGATTGTACAAATTAGACACTATCCACTTTGTTGTATATGCATCTAGTATTTTATTATATCAAATTTTCCAGTACTCCACCAATCTATAGGGTAGAGAAAACTAAAACATTTTGCAACTTCAATACAATTGATAATTTATAATATACATCCTAATATCTAACGAACATTACACAATAGTGTAACCAATGATATATAGTAGTCCAGAAAAAATTCTTTATTCTTCACCTTTAGAGTGATCATCAGTGTGTAGTGCAATTATGATGATTTATGACAACTATTTAATAGTATAAACAGTAAATAATTGTTTTCAAGTGATAATAAGGTGCGGGTCTTCATTTGGGGATCCGTAATCCACCCCATACCCATCTGAGCAAGTGTCGGTAGGAGATTTGTCAATCAACAATCTACTCACATCAATCACCCATCCATTACGGTTTGAGTTAATAATATTTTATTTCTTTTTAACGGCAGACTGACCGAATTTTACACGGATGCAAAATTCAATGACATTAATGGTACCCGACATACTATTCTAACTTAAGTGATATAGCTCTCCCAATTTTTATACTTAATTATACTTTAGGTTATTTTACCTGAAGATTATGTATTTCCTATGTTGGGCTAACTCTCCATAGACAATGAAACCCGGTCTCGTGGGCTGAGTACCGCAGCCTAAAGCCATGGACATTATGTTGCTGGGTTAATAGAATGAAGAGGCGGGGGATGGATCGAAGCCCATTTCTATGTAAATTAACGAAGGCCTGAAAGCCCATTTATCGAGATCAAACTAGAAAAGGAGGCCCAAGGATTGGGCTACTGGACCAAAAGGTGGAGTGCCGTAGCTAAATCCTCCATGTACGACGCTGCCATCGTATACGAAAGTAAAGAGAGAGACACGACGAAGTAGTGATCAAGCGAGGCGGCGGCGATGCATACAGAGGGAGATGGCAACTCCGGCGATCCAGAACAGGTTAGAGCACTGGGCCGCATTTAAGAATCGATGGAGAGGGCTGGGCCGTAACCCAATAAACATTGAAAATATATACTCAAAATCGAAAATTTACAAGTACTATGCGAGCTTTGGATCCGGAGAGGGCTGGGCCGTGGCCCAGGGGCGCCCCCCCCCCCCCCCTAAGATCTGCCGCTGAACTCCGGCGTGTGGCGAATGTGGAACTCGACAAGGGCTCGCGCCGGCCGGCCGATGGAGACGGTAACAGGGAAGCGTGGCCTTAAGGGAGGGAGACTAACCTCACCGGTGTTTCAAATATATGATTTCAAATACATGTATTTGAAAATCATATATCCAAACACACCCTTGTAGCGTCTATATCCGTATAAAACATCTCTCTATGAATCCAAGGACAGTCACAACCCATTTTGGGTGAGACCCAGAAGAAAGGAACTAAAAGTGAGTGAATGATCAAATCGTTGTATCGGCGATCTTATTGTCTCGCGAATTTTGAGTTCTCGAATTTCCGGCATGAACCAAAGTGCAAATTTGATGTCATTGTGTACTTATAGGGGTCATATGTATTTTTAGGGGCCAAACAATCGACGAGGAAATTACTCGCTCGCCATTGTTGTCTTTGTTCTCGTATTTCTCAACTATACGAAGTCTGAATTTAAGCATTATTAAGGAAACTTGGAAAACCAATCCCCCCAACTTGGGATTAGAGTATGTTATCTCCTAGTTTGTTTAATTCAATAATAAAAATGTGATAACGTTGTCGAGTGAAATTGACATGTATAATTAAACAAATGAAACATGTATTTATGGGTTGAGATAACAATACAAAAAATGGATTGAGATCCGTAATGATGTGAGTAATACACAAGCAACAAGGCTGCTCCCTTGTTAAGGACACCAAGCCATAGATACCATGTTATGTGAAAGAATCGAGGTTCTCGGGGAAAAAATTGAATTATTTTCATCGGAAATAGAGTCAATAGAGAGTCTTAACATGAGTTTGTTTCAATATTTTCATAATCCGACTGCTGTGTTACATTTATTATGATTAGAAGATCTGAATGTGAATTATGGCTATTAGATTGTATGTTACACGACTGTTGAACACACGTGCTGACAATATCCTACGGTTCTTGGCGTCTTTATAAAGACATGTATATAGTTAATTAACTACGTTAGATTTTGTCGACAACTCGACTTTTGCGGAGTTCCTAGCTTCAATATCAAATAACATGGGTAATCGGTTTGGTAAGGAGCTAGGTACTAGGAACATGGGGGTGCAAAAAAAACATTTGAATGCGTTAAATTACAAACGAGAAGTCCATGTGTTTGAGTTCGTCTTAATACAATCAAATACTAAAGTAGATTATCATAAATTTCAAATATATGTTCATTTAACGACAATATATTGCCTGAAGATGTCAAATATTCCACTTAAAACTACCCTACTTACAAACACGAGTGACACAAAGTATGGACTTTCTAACCAATAGACACATAAAAACGACAATGATCCAACCAAAATGAAGAAGGGGTTTTCGATCTAGACCATCTCGATGATTTTTTTTCGCTATACATACATTTCTTTGTTATAGAAATCTCCCAACTCCGAGTTTCAAAGTCATTCTCAGTATTGTGCACAACATACTCTAATCCATCTACGTTTATTGCAAATGCTTCAACGACAACTTGATTATAGCTAATTCACCCTTAGCTCTCTACCTACCAAAGGTGTTGATAAATAATCATGATTAACATTGAAAATCCTTTCCCCTCCCCCATTAATCCCTTTGGATTAATTAATAAATCGAAAATATCTAGAAGCGGCCGGCTAAATAAAGCGGGAGCGGGAAGTATTAAAAGGATGGGTCCCGCTTCTCTACCCGCCAGCGGGTCCCACCATTTTCCCACTCTTATCCGATCAAAGGCTCCCACCCCGGTTCCCATCCTGCCACGTGTCTTCCATCGGACGGCTCTCCTACTTCCACCTCTTCTCCATCCTCACAACAAAAAGCCCAGCTCTTCCGCCTCTTTGCCCTGCCTCGTCTCCGCCATTGCTTTCTCTCTCACTCACTTTCTCCTGAGTTCTGATTCCCTGTGACGATCGTATCGTATCTCTTCAAATTTGACCGGCGGTGCTCTTTTCCCCAGTTTTCATAGGTGCTTCCGAGAGGATTCTGGGTTTGTTTCGGTTTCTTGTTGTTAGTCGAGTGATATGGCTTTCTGAATTGTGATCGTTGTGGCTGCTGTTTGTTCTTATGCCGAATGATTGTTTGGAGCTTTCCCAAGTGTTTTCTTTAGCTTGGATTATGGTTTTGATCGAGTGGAGTCTCTGTGGAGATTGAGCCGCAGTTAGGATTTTCTTCTTCTTCCAGTGCAGAGACTGGTCTAGAAAAGAGGGGTTTCAGGGTTGGCATAAAAATTTGGCAGCTTTTTCGCTGTCTTCTATCTACTGGATTGGGGAGTTAGGCAAGCGGCAGTTGTTTGCTTTATTAACTTTCCTGATCAGTAATCACGCTTCCTGTTTTGCGGTGTGAAGTGGGTTTTGCATTTGCGTAGGAAAGATCGCAACTTTTTGTTGTTTCTTTGAAGCTAATGCTCTACAAGTTACCTTACTCCACCATCGTGTTTCTTTCCAGCTGGTATATTTGCAACTAAGTGTTAAGTTTCCTTTGCGGTATCCCAAAAGAAACATGGGTTGCGTTTGACTAGGACAGTTACTGTGTGTCTTAATCAGGGCTCTGTTTCATATACAGGAGCTTCAGTTATGATGTTTCTAATCCTTTCTTCCTTTATTCGATTCTGCAGGGGCTTTGTTCATCAAATGTCGGAATGACATTACTTTTATAGCTCTTTGAGCAGATGGTGTAAGTGGACCAGAGCCAAAATTTAGCAAACATGGGTGGGATTTGTTCAAGGAAGAGAGACCAAGAGGTCCTTGGGGATGGTATTGCCAGCAGACTTTCAGGAAGGTATGGTAAAAGTGGGAGTTCAAAATGGCTTCGCAACTCATTTGGTCATGTTGCCGTTGCTGACTGCCAAGCAGGAGGCAATCGCCCCTCTTTGATGGAACTATGCATACAGCAAATATGCAAGGTTACTTCATTTATGAACTCTCATTGTTTTCACATCTTGCCTTATTTCTTTGTCAAAGAGTGTTGAGTATCTTTAGTTCCCTCATTTCTAACAGGACATTGAAAGGTATAAGTCCTTTTCTGTACTTCCAAGGGATATAAGCCAGCAAATATTTAATGAGTTGGCGTTGACTCATAGCCTCAATGATGATTCTCTTGTAGCGTTTCTCGATTGCGCTCTGCAGGTAATCCCTTTATAACATACTTTTTCAGAACTAAATTATTTGGCTTGTGTTGAAGGATTTCTCTAATTGGGGTTAGTTATTACGTTATCAGGATGTTCATTTAGGTGACTATCCAGGGGTGAAGGATAGTTGGATGGATGTAATATCTTCACAGGGATCATCTCTACTTTCCTTGGACCTTTCCGATTCGGAAATCACAGATGCTGCTTTGGTTTGTCTAAAAGATTGTTCGAACCTTCAGGAAATGACTCTAAATTATTGTGAAAGTATTACCGAGCATGGGCTGAAACACATAAGGGGTAATGCTCTGACTAATTCATGAAGTAGTTGACACTCGAATGAGTGTCTCTTGCTAAGATAACCAATGGACTATATGCTTGTTGGGTTGCTACTCATTTGATGCTGTTCTTCAGGCCTTAACAGCTTAACTTCTTTGAGTTTCAAAAGGAGTACTGCTATTACCGCTGAAGGGATGCAAGCCTTCTCTACTTTGGTTAATTTAGAGAAGTTGGACCTGGAAAGATGCTCCCAGATTCATGGTGGACTAATTCATCTGAAAGGTAAGTCTGTTAAAACGATGTAGATTCAGCTGAATGTCTTGAGCTGAGAAGGTTGTTTCTGGGGAAATTTGTTTCATTCACCACTTACACGGCCCAAGTGTTGGAACATGATTTTCTTCTCTGTGTATTCTGTTACAGGATTAACAAAACTGGAGTCTCTTAATATTAGGTGCTGTAAATGCATTACAGATCTGGACATGAAGGCTCTCACTGGTAAGTACTGGTTGGATTAATCGACTTCACTATTAAGAGAAAGCTGGATTAAGTACTGACCTATAACAAAATGTTACTTGTTCCATGTCATTGGGCTGTACTTAAGATTGAATTGGTCTGGCCTTTGATATCTATTCTTAGCTGTTTCTTTTTTATTCTTTTTCTTTATCTCTCAGGTCTCACTAATCTGAAGGAATTGCAATTATCCAATTGTAACATCACGGATTTTGGGGTTTCCTTATTGAGAGGTATCCAATTGCTGGACATTAATTAACTTTTTTTCATCTGTCAACCTAGAGAGTGGACACACTCTGCACTTCCCCCGTTTCGGCCACTTTGGCTTCTTGTGAAGCTCCATCTAATGCTAGTTTGAGTGTGGTGTTGATGCCTTCCTAGTGTATTCCAGGTCTTTGCTATATTTTTTCTGTTTCTGCACTTATAGATTGTGTGAGTCGCTCTTTCCCAGTCTGAGTGTAACACCTAAAGATCCTTCAGTCAAGTCTGATAGGGGTTGTTTGATGATTCAATGATCATTCTATAGTAGTCTTGCATAGCTGATAACGCCATTACTTTTCATGTGTGTCCCAGGTTTGGAGAAGATTGTCATACTGAACTTGGAAGGTTGTAATGTGACAACTGCGTGTTTGGATTCACTTTCAGGTCAGCTTTCTTTTGATTATTTCATCTGCAATGGTCCTTACAGGTTACTGTATCACCTATTAGCTTCCGTTGTATGCAGAGAGAAAGGATTTCAAGTTGTAGATTGGTCATTTTGACTTTTCTTTGTCTCAGGGGAAAAAAAGTGTCATCACTTATTCTATATAGGAATAGTATTGATCAACCCTTTTCCTTTTGCAGCTCTTGTAAATCTTGCATACTTAAATTTAAGCAGATGTGGGTTGTCAGATGAGGGATGTGATAAGTTTTCTGGTGAGTGAACCTACCTGTTTATTTATCAAGTTGTGTTGAACTGCTCATTTTAGCAGTCATTCAGCTTTCAACATGCAAGGTGATTGAGTGTTTGAGAAAACATGCAGAGCTGAAGAAGTTGAAGGTATTGAGTTTGGCATTCAACAACATTACAGATGCTGTTTTGGTCCATCTAAAAGGTTATTACTCCCCTTCTTTCTCTTACAGAATGCAAGACTTTGGCCTCTGACATTTTGTGATGTCTTGTATAATCCCACCAAATGCTGTTGTCTATTTGGTTCACCGTGAAATTAACTAGCCTGATACCGAAAGAGTTTGATCACTTTTTTCAGGCTTAAAGAACTTAGAGAGCTTGAACCTGGATTCTTGTAAGATTGGTGATGAAGGGCTCGCTAACTTGTCTGGTACTATTTTTTATCTAAGTTTCTATTTAATTGCTTGTAAAAATTGTCCTTGATATTAAGGCGTACTCCTTGTGCGTCTCCTCTCAGGACTTCCCCTCAAAAGTTTGGAGTTGTCTGATACTGAAGTTGGCAGCAGTGGTCTTCGTCATCTTTCAGGTAGGGCTCTCTATGCCATGCCACAAGTTAACCTTGGTACAAGGATTTGCAATCAAGTTTAGGGTTGAAACTTGAAAGTAAAGTTCACTTCCTGCTGAGTTGCACTCATCTTGTTACTATTTCTAGGTTTGAACCAACTGGAAAGCTTAAATCTGTCTTTCACCTTGGTCACCGATGGTGGTCTGCGGAGATTATCTGGGTTGACTTCTCTTAAATCACTCAACTTGGATGCTCGTCAGATTACAGATACTGGTCTTGCCGCTCTTACAAGTAAAGCATTTATCATCTACTTGCTTTAATATGCTTTTATTATACACCACTAGTGGGAAGAATTACACTAGAACTATTGTAGCAATGTGAGACAATGCAGCATGTTCTGAAGACGTCAAGCTGCATACAGTCTAATGTTCATGCCATTCTCAGTAGCTCCATTATGCCTTCATTGATGCAGGTTTGACAGGTCTGACCCATCTGGACCTCTTTGGAGCTCGAATTTCAGATGCTGGAACAAAATATTTGCAACGTATGGATTCTTATTTACTCACCATTCTTTAACTTCTTTCATTTACAGTACCCACATCATGTTATTGCTCCTGTTCAGTCATCCTTGGATCATATCATGAGCAAAATTAAGATTGTTTCTGCATAATGTCTTTCTAGTTTCTTACGTTCTGAAGTGTTTTGCATTCATGCATGCAGACTTCAAGAATCTCCAATCCCTGGAAATATGTGGTGGTGGTATAACAGATGCTGGGGTTAAGAACATCAAAGATCTTTCTCGCCTAACCGTGTTGAACCTGTCACAGAACAGCAACCTCACAGACAAAACCTTAGAATTGATCTCTGGTACTTCTTCCTTCTTTAATCTTGCTCTCCATATCGTAATAACATAATTAAGGCGTCCTAAGTAACATCATTGTGGGTTCCCCATATGAAAATGCAGGGTTGGAGGGCTTAGTGTCGCTGAACATTTCAAATTCTCTGATAACCAACAAGGGTCTGAGGCATTTGATGCCATTGAAGAATTTACACTCCCTAACCTTGGAGTCCTGTAAGGTGACTGCCTCCGAGATAAGGAAGCTACAGTTAACTGCACTCCCCAGTCTGGTGAGCTTTCGACCAGAGTAAAGAAGCGTGATGTGGACACATATAGCGAAAGGGGAACTACTTGTAAATATAGCTTCATATGCTCTCAGCTGGTGGTATTATGCCATGTACAGTCTCTAAATAAGTATACCTACCGCCTCATCTGGCCGAAGGGAATTTTAAAGGCTAGCAATAGGAAGCAAGTCATGCAGAAAGAAAGCCATCAAAGTGTATGTAAATATAGTGGGGTTTTTCTGCCTGCTGGAACCATTGAATGAAAGTTGTACATATATGTTTTTATCAAGTGGCACATGAAAACTTCTGCCCTAGTTTGTTGTGTTATGATAAGTAAGCTCCAGTTTGAAGAGTGTGCCAGTGCTTATTATCCCTCTGTTGTAAACCTCTGATCGATTCAAATAGAAAAATGTTTCTGTCGAATCATTTTGTTCTGAAAATGCTAGTTTCTGTGATTATCATAGCATAGTCAGAACAGAGTCGAACAACATAGCATCAACCTGGATAAAGCAGAGCTCAAGAACATTCGTTCCTTCTTTCAAGCTAAGATTTTACAAGTTACCTTAATCCGCCATCATCATGATTCTAGGCAGCTGGTATATTGGCAACTAAAATAACATGGGGTTGTATGCTTGCACTTTGACTAGGACCTGTTCAAGGCTTATGTTTTAGATACAGGAGCTTAATCAACTATGAAGCTTCTCGCCCCTTCCTAACTTTATTTTATTCTGCAGTGGCTTTGCTTTGTTCATCAAATGTGGGAATTACATTACTTGTATAGCTCTTTCAAAAGATGGTGAAATTCCACAGACAAAGGGGTTCTACAGCTTCTTCTTAACCAGAAGGCAGGGAAAACAGAGATGCTGCCAGTTCAGGCCTATGAAACTATGGAGGTCACAATCAAATACAGAACAATATACTGGCATTCTACAAACATAGGTGACTTTCAAACTATTAAAAACAGCTTACGAAACAAGAGCAAGACTGCAATTATTAGCCGTTAGGTTATGCAAAACATCGTTTATCTGGATGACCGCCTCGAATGAATAACGAATTGAACATCATTGTTCCTGCTGCTGGTTAGACTAAAAGAGAAAACTGCGAGGCTGTGCAGAGTGAGGGATCTAAAACTGAAAACAGACTGCCAGCTTCCTTTCCTCATGCCGCGAGGTTGTATAAGAATTAGAGTCTACCTTCTAAGAAGTTGAAATCTGCACACAACCAAACCCCGTGTAACTGTAGTCATTTCTTCCCTTCCCCGTGTAAAAGAACCAAGTTCAAAGGTCTCATCACACACACCCTGCGTGGAGGAAATGGTTTTTAGACACTGCATAGAGATCGTGATGAAGAGGGAGAGTGAGAATGAGCAATACCTTAGTACTAGATCCTGACAGAAGTTTTGAGAAGATGATCATGAAACCTCCAAGGCATGGTAGATCTTCGAAACTCTACGTCTTAGCAACGGCTCTAAACGGAATGAGTACACACGTCTCTGCCACTTCTTAGCTTCATCCATATCATTCCACGCCTGTACTATCTCATCACTCTTGAACCCCAATCCTGAAAGACCAAACAGAAAAGAATTGAGCAAAATATCAGAACGCCCGTTGCTTTCACATCAAGTAATTCATAACCAACTAGGTTACAGAACATACCATCCATTGAACTATCATTCGAAATGTGATTCTTCATCATCACGCCAATATCAGTAGCAGAAGCTCCAGCCAGCTGGAACTTCTCAAGTGCAACTTCCAAACACTCTTGCCAAACCGGGATCTCCAATCTGTACTCCATCATGGACCTCTCGTATAGAATGGTGCCACGTAGGAGATTCATCTGTGACCTAAGATCCTTAATCCGCACAGCAGTATCTTCTGGCGACGTGTCTTTGAACAGCTCACCCAAAACCGTACCCTGTAGCACAGGCTTGATCTTAGTTCTATCTGTAAGATCGGTAATCCGTTGTGATTGCGCAGCTTCCCACATCTCCATCCCTCTATCCACATTTCGCTCGGCACTATTATACAGTTCTATGACTTCGTCATAAGACCAATTTGACAAGTCAACTTTGCAGCTAAGAGTATAGTACCAAGTGAGCCTTGCCCTCTCAAATTGCTGCTGTCCTAAAGCCAGAAGACCTTCGTAGAAGTCTGGTTTGATCCTCAACGCTGCCGCATACCTGTCCCCTGCGTCTAAGTACTCCTTCTTTGTCCATTCGAATGCCACATTGATTCTCTCAAGCATTGCCTCCCGAGAGGCATCATCTTTGAACTCTATCTTTTTCCTAGCTCTCGACATGTGAACATTCCCCCAGTTGAACAATGCTAAAGCAGCCATTTCCTGGAAATTCTCAGCTGCTGTGTTGAACAACCCCTGTGCTTCCTCAGTAGTCACAGTCTCCTCGATAGCCTCCGAATAGACCTTCATACCGAGGTCATTGATCCCCAAGTAGGAGTCGGTATCGAGTGCCACATGATCTTTAAACAACTTAGCAAACTCTACAATCCATTCATCGATGTAGCGCATTCCCTTCTTGATCTCTCTATCTCTCTCCATGTTCCATGTCTTGGTGTCAACTCTCTTCATTCGACCATGCTTGAGTCTTTCCACAATCGGGTCTTGTTGAGGATTGATCTCAACAAGATACAGCCTGAATGAGCCGCCTTGTGGTGATGAACATGCTTCAGCTAACCGAAGCTCTTCATCGGTAGTTATGGTGATCAAGTCTCCTTCTTGATCCTTGTACTTGATGAGAACTGGACCTGAACCAGGAAACCGGTCACACACCACTTCTTTCAGCTCCAGAAGGCTACAATTCACAGGAACTTGAGCCATTCTTATATCCTCTCTCATCACCAATTTCATGCTCCTCTTAGGTCTATTATCTACCACAACCAAAGCTTCTTCATTCTCATCCTCAGACTTCTTCTCATCACTTCTCCCGCTCTTCTTCTTCCTCGGTGTCCTCTCTTTAGGCGGTTTTGCACTCGGCTCAGCATAATCAGCAGGCAACTCGATCGACGTATCATTTACCCTGAGCCCTCTCTCCTCCAGTGATTTCTTCACCCTCTCCCAAACCTCAAACGCCATCACATTTGCAGGCTCCATCTTCAACACTGTCCCGACATCTCTCAAGGCCAAGTCGAGGCGATTCAATGCCTCATAACACCTCGCCCTCTTGAGCAACGCCTTGCCATACTTCGGGGTGACCTCCAGCGCCAGGTTGCACTCGTGTATCGCCCTAGGGTACTGGCTCAACCCCATCTGCATGTAGCAGGCAGCCATGTTGCTCCTGAGGTAAGACACATCGATGTGGGTCTTCGGAAGGAGCTTGATGGCCTTCTCGTACTTCTGCAGAGCTCCATCGTGGTTTCTCTTCTGGAAGAGCTTGTTGCCTTCGTCCTTCAACGCTTGGGAAAGGGCAATGAAGGCTCCTTCATCTTTCTCTACGGTGGGGGACTTAGGGGTACTGATTACTCTTGCTTTCCCATTCTGTTGTTGCTGCTGCTGCTGCTGCTGTTGCTTTCTCATTGCAATTAAGGTTATCCACAGTGCTAGAGACCAGAATCCCACACAAATGGATAGGTAGAACTTTATAGTATCCAGAACTTCGGAGCTTAGTAATACTACTACAGAAACATATCATGAATGGATTCAAGAAAACCCAGGTTCCTCGTACGGAACAAAACACCACACACAAATGAACCCAAATATAATCCCCCCAAAAAAATTTCTCCACTCCCAAAATCTGAACTTTCTCCCTCAAATCTCTAAAGGGTTCCTTCCTCTCCAAACCAGGATTTGTTTGTTTTGCTTGTACGAATCAAACGAACAAATCCCAATTCGGAGAAACAGAGGAAATGAATGAATGCGCTTCTATAATGGGGATTCAAAGATGGAAACAATCTACTGCATATGATTGCGTGAACCAGAAGGAAATGGGGGAAAAGGAGCGATCTTTGAGAAGATAACTTATCTGGGAAATGAATGAATTGGTGGTAGAAGTTCCTCGCTTGTGCTTGAATTTTCCTGGGAAAATAAAATAAAAAATCCTCTTTTCCTCTCGTTGCCAGCTAGAACAATGAAAAATGGGGGAAAAGAGAAAGAAGGAGAAACGGAAGGGAGACCTGCCAATGTATGGTGTCTGGTTTTACGAGGATTTTCAATTCTCAACGTGAAAGCCACAGAAAATGGCAGTTGATTATCCAATATTCGGTTTGTTTGATAAGATTTTTTTCTAAAAAAATTTCTCGTTGGGTGGGACCCACGTTCTTGCTCGGGGATTCCAAGTGTCTTGGGGGAAGATTTCATTTGACTCCCTAGAAAATTTTGATTAATGCGGATGGGTTAATGATGGAATTAATTAGTAGTTAATTATGTCTATGAGGACAGTTAAAACAGGGTAGTCTTATTAAGGAAATAATGACATTATTAAAGTTGAGTTGAACAATATTCTTTTACATCAAGTTGAGATGATACTATCACTATAGGTTGTTTTGTTTGTATGGTTTTGTAAGAGGTCTTTTCGTCACTTTCGCGTTTAGACGCCATCATAATGATTTACTACTCTCAGATAATTGTGGATCCTTTTTCTCTTTATACGAGTAAATTTTTTTTTTCGTTGAACAAAAATATTGCGCATCCGGGGAATCGAACCCCGGTCAGTACCGTGGGAGGGTACTATGATACCACTACACTAGATGCGCCTTGCTTACAAGTAAATTTCATATCTTTTTACTTCTCGTAGTTTTGACAAAATTGCTCGCCTAGTAGTCAAACAAGCTCGTTTATCGAGAGTCCGATTACATACAACTACTTTTTTTATTATTATTATTATTATTATTATTATTATTATTATTATCAGTTGTGTATATTTGTTATCGACTGTATCTACTAGGAATTTCTTTTTCAATTTCGACCAAGCAATAACATTTGGGCCTCCAGGTACTCATTTGGGCCTCCACAATACGTGTAGTGGACTGGGCTCTGCATACTAAAGTTCAGGTCGTTGTACACGTCACAAGGTTTGATGTGTCACCAGTTCATTGGCTGGTTAGCAACAACCCGTGTGACCGGCGCGGCATCGGTATAATCCTACAGGAGGGCGGCAGAGCCTTGTCAATCTCAGCTCTCCCGGCAACAAATCCCAGAAGCTTCAAAATTCAGGGAAGCAAATTTCTCGTTGCCGTCTTTCTTCTGGGTCCTCTTCACCGTGGATCTTTGCGGGAGTAATCGAAGCCGAAGAAAAGATGAGATCTTTGTTGCCACTCCTTGTTCTAGGCGCTCTTTCCACCTACGTTTTAGCTGACCAGATCCTCCCAGCTCACGTAGGTAAATCACTCACTTAGAACGATTTGGGAAACCGTGTTCATTTGCTTTTTGAGTGATTTGAAAGCACCATTTTTCGATTTTGATATCAAAGGTGATCAATTGATGATCTAGTACTAGTAGTGGGTACTAGCGAATCTCAGAATGTTTCTTGGTCCTTGCGCCAGATTTCGTCGAAATCTCTGCATTACAGTTTTCAGGGGGTTTATGGGTTTTAATCTTTGCTACCTGGGTTGTTTAGGTGATTAGAACGTTGGCTACTGGCTGGTTGGTCTGTGGTAACTTGTGCATTTGGGCTCTGCCATGAAAACCCCAACATCTTCCCCCATTGTGCTATTGTTAATGATCTTTCAAGCTGCATCCTTTCTGGAACAATTTTGTGTTCTCTGTTATCTATATATGTGGTGTTTTACCTTAGTTATCGACATGATGGCAGGTGGTTCGTTCAGTCGCAGTTCTCGCGAGCCCAAGTATAAGATGGAGTTCCATCCTGAAGAAGCACCATTTCATCCTGTGGGTAAATGTAGCGGTATTGGCATTATGCTATATTTTGTCTAAATTGTAGGACTTTAGAGTTGGTGGATGTCTAATATGCCAGAAACCGACCTCATCATTGCAGGACGAGGATCAAGAATCTGTTGTTATGCCTGATACAAACGGGCGCAGTTACATATGTTACTTGCCTAAGATAGAGAAAGCCAAGAGTGAGAAGCCAGTCAATCAGGTGAACATAACCAGCATGATTGTGGAAACTGAGAGACGGCTTAAATTGAAGACTCCTGACGAGCTGCTTGAAGTGTTCAAAGGCAAATGTCTTGTCAGAGTCAGTATTTGCTTCCCCAGTTCCAATGAAATATCATTTTTACATTTCTTGTATGCTTTGCTCCTGATGTTGTACTATCCTTGCAGCAAGAGGGTTGGTGGACTTATGAACTCTGCCACGAACAAAAGTTAAGGCAGTTTCATGTGGAAGATGAGAAGGTGAGAAATTCGGAAAATTAAAGTTTTGCTGATATCTTAGTTCCTACAAGGATGTTTTTTGGTTACATCGAAAATTCTCTCATTGCAGGTGGTACAGGAATTTGTTTTGGGTATTTATGATGAAGAGGCCACAGCTGCATTCAACCAGAACTTAAAAGACGTTTCCACCTTGAAAGATCCTCGCTCCAAAGATGCATCTCAAAGGTATCACAATGAACTAGAGCAAAAAGGAAACTTTGTAGAAAGGTTTCCTCACATACCATAAACGTGATTTGTGTAGGTACCATGCTCATCAATATACAAATGGAACTCTCTGTGATCTCACCAATCAGCCACGAGAAACCGAAGTAATGATTTGGAGGGAACTCTCTGATATCTCCCTTTTCCCCTTTTCCTTCTATTTACACTCCGCAATTCCGTTTTGGAATATGTGCAGGTGAGATTTGTATGTTCTGAGCCAAGAGCAATGATTAGTTCTATCACAGAGCTATCCACTTGCAAGTACGCCCTGACAGTACAATCTCCGATGCTTTGCAAGCATCCGTAAGTCTGACCCTCTTGATAAACTTAAAATGATTTCCCGCTTTTTAGCTGCCTGTAAACTTTTATTCTTCTATGAATTTGCAGACTGTTCCAAGAAGAGAGGCCTGTGTGGCACACCATCAACTGCAATGCCCTGCCGAAGACTTACAAGGAAAGCAAAGTTAAGAAAGATTCAACTGGAGGGGATAAGCAAATCTTCATGGTCACTGAGGTTGAGAATCCAACCAATGCACAGTCTGAGGAGTGAATCTAACACTTGGAAGGAGGGAGATTTTGTACTTTGTATTCACATCACAGTCGTTCACTTGCAGAAACCCCGGGCCTCTAAATTGTTCCTTGATGTCCAGGTTAAGGGTGGCAAACTGGCAATTGTGTTAGTTAAGTGGCATGTAAATATAGAAGACGAACCTATTCTCAGATAACGGGATCTTGTAAATGAATGGATTGAAGAGGAGTTTTATCTCTATAAATTTTACTGTTGGATTCCGTTACGTTGGAAACGTTGGAGAGCCTGTGTAAGCCTAGTGTAGTCTGAAGCTTGCTTCTTAGGGCTTTTCTCCTTCTCCTTAGGGTTGTGGAGCCAGTTAAGCATGATCATTTAAAACAATTATATGACAGAATTTAGTATAACAGTTCAAACCCATTCTCTATTCCCAGGTTGAGAATTTCAGTTAACCGCTACAACTTGAAGAGCAGGAAGAACATACTATATAGTATATACACCGTTAAACTCAAATAGGAGTCCAAAAGGATGGCATAAGGAAGAAGATGATCTTATATTAGAATGTGGCAAACAATATGTAATTTCCTTCACTAGAAAATCTTCCAAGCTTGAAGTTACTATTGTCAAAAGAAGAAATAGGACACATTATTTATTGACACTAATAATTTACAGAGACTAGTTTCTTATTTCCTTCTCCTGGTGGCCTCAACCAGAAGTTGAAGCGCTTCCACTGCTACTACCAGTTGAATCAAGTAATGCCAAGTACTCATTAATGGCTTCCCCTTCTCTAGTTACATCAATATCATAGTCAGATAAAGCGTCCGTCCTTGCTAATTCATCCGCTATCTCATCCTCCATTTCCACGTCTCGTGGTTCAGAGAAACTTGCATCGGCTGGTGGTTCAGCATTTGCAGCAGCACCCTGAGCGGCAGCCTGAGCCTGAGCAGCAGCGGGATTTGGAAGTGGTCCTTGTTGGAGAAGTCGATGCATTATTGCCTCCATAGTGCCGCCAGCTTGGATCGCTGCGACTACAGCTGACATGTCAAATCCCATGGATACAAGTAGTTGGATTTTAGAGTCCGTGTCTTGCTTCTGTCTTTTGGCGTTCTTTGTTTCTATGTAGTTCTGCAAACTCAGATTAAGATAATAACAATTAGTTAAAGAGCTTGAAAATGCGAGTGGAAGATGTACCTTGAAGACTGAAGACACAGCCAAAAACTGACCTGGATGCTAGCATTAATTTCTGGATTTGTCAAATCATCCAATGCCTTCTGAGTGTCGTTCTCATTCCTTCGCAGTGCTTCAGCAGCAAGTTCCTTCGCAAACCTGATACATTTGACAAGTTTTTCATCTCAATATGCTGTGTAAGTGGCATCGAGAATAAACAATTAAACACTGGCAGTGAATGCTTACCCTATGGAGACCAATCCATTCAATAGTTGGATATCCACAGCTTTCTTCAAGGGTGTAACACCATACTTTTTTTGCTCCCTGTGTACAACGTTGACCAGTCAGAATAATGACAGATGAAAACTGCAATAAGAAAAAAGCAACCTGATTGGCACTCACAAGATTTCCGCTTGTCGCTTAAGGTTCTCTTCTCGTTTCAGTGCTTTCCGTGCCCTTTCCTCAACTAGAAAGTCGACAGCACGTTCGACATCTTGATTGTTGATTCTCAATGCTCTCTTTGCTTCATTTTCTTTGAAACCCATCCCCATAACAACTGACAAGACTTCATCTGATACTTGTAGCTACAGTGGGAAAAGTCACATATCATCAAATGGTAATGATTACTCGATAAGAGGATATACAAAGAGCTCTAATTCATGCTTACCCGTTTGTATTTGGTCTGTGCAGACATCAAGTACCTCCTAGATTTCTCAAGCTGGCCACTGTGATATGCCACAACTGCTTCGAGTAGTTCCAATCTCATATATCTGAAAGTAACAACAAAAGAAGAGTATATACCTTTGAGCACGAGATATCCATTAACTTTATCGTTTTTTGGTACCCCTCTTAATGAAGATTTTGCAGAATACTTACACTGCAAGCTCCGAGGAGTTTCCTGCTTGAAGGAGTTTGAGACGGGAAGCATCCTTGCCATGAGCACGTTCGAATCCATCTCTTGCCTTATCAAGCCGTACTCCAGCAACAGAGAGGCATGCAATGTCTTTCAGCATGAAATAGCACCACACCATGTCCATTTGCAGCATTGCAATATTATCAACAAGCTGGAAGCAAGTAAAAGAGAATGAAGAAAGGGTTTAGCCAAAAATTTCGAATAAAAAAGAGTCAATGGAATGGTATGAAGCTATAAGAACGGTCACGTACTTCGATAGTCTTAGGATTGCAAAGAGAGAATGATTCCTGCAAAACACAAAACAACCAGCAATGAATCCTCGCAATTATGGGGAACACAACCAAAAAGCTTGAATAGGCATGCAAATTGTACTACTAAGTTGAGAAAAAGAATAAGCAACTAACCTCTGCCATATTCAGTACTTCCAAAGCATCTCTGAACTTGCCCTTTCTGATTAGACCCTTTCCATTTGTGTGGAGCATCAAACCCATCATCAGTGCCCTGCCAATCCATATTGCAAAGTTCAATCAGAAAGGCCATAAATTAACACCACTAAAGATAAAAAAACAGAAAAATTATCAAACTTTCACAAGAACTATCTAGTCAAGAATCATTACTGTCTATCAGACTCAGGTAAGTGCAGCTTATTCCCAAGTTGGTCTTCGATTTCCATATTGAAGTCCTCGAGTGGCAATGCACCATCTGTGTGTCTTGTAGACAATGCAACTACAGCTTCCCTGCAAAGTTTACAGCAAGAAACCCCTCAAATTGTTATCAACTAGTCATAATTGAGCTACAAAACCCAACTGCCATAGGTTCGTTATCGTTAAGCCTCATCAAACAAGCTTTTAATCGAAGTAATGCATACTGAAAACTGGAATCATACAATTGTCTCAGCCATATATCATCTCAAGGCCAACAGCAATTCAAGGATTCTCAAAAGCCAAGCAAAATCAAAACCACTGTTCCTTCTCCTAACTACACAGCTTAGGATTCACGTTGTTCCCTACCACCTCAACTATCTCCAAGAAACATAACCAAAGACTGTTCCTCCTCCCTACTAATGAAACAAACCTTCTTTCACCATCATCATCACACAAGCAACAAAGGACTATAAAACAATTGATCCATTATAGGCAAAAACCCATTATCAGACAAATCAAAACAAACGAACAAGACAAAAAAAAAAAAAAAAAAGAATGAGAAAGCTACGCACTTTACGCGAGCAAGCCTCTGATTGAGCTCCTCCGCATCCTTCAACGATTTCCCTTCGTCGACGGCGACCCGACTGGCCAGAATCTTCGAATTGGCCTTGATGCCCAACTCCGACAGCTTCTCCGTGCCGTCGCCGTCTTTCAGCATCCTGCCGGCGGATATCAACTTGATCGAGCCAGCGGGAACGTTCGATCGCTTGGCGACTTCTTCCCTCAACATGGGCACCGTCCAATTCTCCAAGTCGACCTCATCCAGAACCCCCGACCATGTCCCCGCCACTCTCAGCTTCGCCATTGTTCTTCGAAATCGGAACTCCGACGGGAAGCTATCGAACGATTTTTGAGTTTCGGTAACAGACTCGTAAACTGATTCGTCGTCAAAGTCTGCTGCTTTTGCTCTCTTCCTTCCTTGCTGGTTAATCCAGAGTGGGTTTTTCCTTCTTATAAGGCTTTCTTTTTCCAAATTATAATCTGATTATGAAAGACTTTTTGGGAGTCATTCGTGAGAAATACGACAGGAATTAGGCATGAAATTAATTACAATTCAGCACACCATCTTAACTTTTATTGTTATTTCACTCCTTCTTTACGTTTTTAACACACCAAAAGATATATTGGGTAGTATATTGTAAGTCATTTATATTAAGAGGACTGATTTAGATTTACACTCTCTGAGATAGACATAGAAGATAGAACTCAGAGTCCGTGGGTCCCATTATCCAGGTGGCAGCCATGCGCTGACTAGACGAATTCACATTTCTTCGAGGAAACGACCAAAGAATCAGTCGCCATCGCAACATGGACGCCGTCGTCGACGATGGATCCCAGGCTCTCTTCCAGTTCCAATCCCCTAATACGCCGCCGCCGCCGGCCTCCTCCGCATTAGCGACGACGACGCCCGCGAGGAGCAATTCCCTCGGAAAGCCCAAAACCCAGGCAAGCAAGAGAAACCGCAAACCTCCCCCGCGGATCCTCCCAATCCTCTCCGCCGCCGCCATTGCGGGGCAAGGTTTCATCTCCGGCAACGGCACTCGGATGCTCCCTTCTCAGCTCGTCGATTTCCAACGCCAACTCGATTCCCTAAATCTCCCCGTCCAGATCCCTTCATCAATTCCCCCTCAGATGCCCTCATCGTTCGGTGAGGAGTCGATCTACGATCGCCTTATCGCCTTCGGCGCCGCCGGCGCCGAATTCGATTCCCGGTGGTTCCAGTACTTCCGAATGAGCAATCCTACCTTCCGCAAGCTCGTCGAGCTCCTCGCCCCTTCAATTGCGTCCCGCCTCCCGCCGTCCATCCTCCCCGACGTGGCCCTCGCCGCCGCGCTCTACCGCCTCGCCCACGGCGCGCCCTACGCCACCGTGGCCCGGTGGTTCGGGCTCGATTCCCCTGAGGCCGCGCGCCTCGCGTTCTTCGTCGTCTGCCAGACCGTGTGCGAGAACATGTCGATGTTCGTCGAGTTCTGGAAGGAAGTGGAGCTGACCCAGATGGGATTCCGGTGGGTTTCCCTGCCGAATTGCTGCGGCGTTCTAGGGTTTCAGCGATTTGGGTTCGAGAACAAAGAATTGGGCACCAGTGGGTCGTTTCTGGTTCAGGCATTGGTCGATACCGATGGCAGGTTCTTGGATATCTCCACTGGCTGGCCTGGAACCATGAGCCCTGAATCGATTCTCCGAGAAAGCAAGTTCTTTGCTTCTGTTCAGCAATCAGATGAGCTGCGGACAGTGCCGGCTTATGATCCTGGTAACGGGGTATTGTTCCGTCCTTACATCATTGGTGATCCTTCTCTGCCATTGTTGCCCTGGCTGTTAACACCGTTCATCGCCATTGACGATGAAGTGACGAATTTGGGGGAGAAAGAGTTCAATGCACAGCACAGTAGAGGAATGGCGCTGCACAGCACTGCGTTTGCTCGGCTCAGGGCCCGGTGGCAGCTGTTACGGATGAAATGGAGAGATGACGAGGTCGAGTTTCTCCCCTTCGTGACCGTGATGGCTTGTGTTCTGCACAACTTTTTGATCAATGCCAAGGAGCCGTTCCCCGAGGAATGCCAGGAGCTCGGCGCTTCGCAGCAGCGAGAGCAGTTCCCAGTTTACAAAGGAGTCGTGGATGAGAGGGCAAGGTGGATCAGAGACAAGCTTGCACATCATTTAGGCAGGGCATGCTTTGGAAGAATGGTTGGTAAAAGCTCGGCTTAAGCCGGGATCCTTTTGTTGCTCTTTAGTTTTTCTTGTCGTGCATAATTAGATGTGGCCTCTGTCATGAATCTGGTCGAGAGCTGCAATGGGGATTTCAGTTGAGTGCTGACTGTTTTGGTGATCAACTAGCCTTTAGCTTTGGTGAGATCTTTTGCCCCCCGCATTGAGCGATTTGACTCGATTATCGTACTGTTGTTTTTCCTTGGAAGTAGCATGTTCTTGTGGTTGAACTGAACTAGACCACAATGCAGAATGCAGAAGTTGGACAAAATATCTCTTACATGACTGCTGAGTGTATAATTTTCCTACAATCATCAACAACACTACTCTTTCAAAAAAGAACTGTTTATAGCTAGTTGTCAAAAGCCACAAAATCATGGCTAGAAAGAAAGGCTGTATTGCGACTCTCCTTCTGGTCTGAGAGAGCTCCGAGCTAGAAAGGCCATTGTTTCGAAATGGGTGGTTTCTAATTGAAGAAGGGATAGGTCTAACTAACTAGCTAATGAGCTTCGTGTTAATGGTGCCTAGGTCTGTGAATCTTAGGACCATAGTAATCTTCATGAAGCCAATGATGTGAGGAGGAAGACGATGATGATTTCTTGGTAACTGATGACATTGTCTTCATCTCATCAGTACCTGTATTCTTACATTCCTGCCCTTCTTTGCACACAGCTCCATCTTCTCCCACTACTACTGCTACTCTGTTTCCATTACTATGATGATCATCAAAACTACTTCTTTCCTCCATTGATGGTGGTGATGAGCTCTTCTTCTCCATTGCCACTACCTCGGATTCCTGCTGGTGATGATCAAGAAACCCCTTCTCCGGCCGAATCCCTATAACATAGAACAAGAACCAACTTGTGAGAACACAAAATTTCATCTTGTTATGGCATGCACATTAAGATAGTGAAGTAGTGATAACTGATAAGTGATAAGTGCACCCATATATGATTACCTTGAGCTTGCTGAAGGAAGAAGGGTAGCAGTAGAAGAGAGACAACCAAAACAAGCTTCATTTTAGGGTTTGGTATGTGTTTGATTTGTATGGCAAAAGGGTTCGAAATGAAAAGGGCAAGAGGAGGAATCAATTGGGGATTGAAATCACTACCTATCTCTTGATGAATTTTTATCTTTGCAGCAAGTTGCAAGCTTGAGAGATGCAGAGGTGTTGGAGCTAAGGAGAGGGTGTTGGGCTTTGCTTTAAATACAAAGAGTGGATTTTGAGGCTCTTAAATAAAGGAGGGTCCTACAAAATAAACAGAGGGAGGGATGGAAGGGATTCTCTGTTTCCTCTTCCTCCAAAAAATTTGTATATCTTCCATGAATCCCCACTTTGGTTTGTTCTTCCATTATGTCTTATTTGGGGAACAATCACAGCTTGGCAAACCATGAATCTTTTGTTCAAGGGAATTGAGTTATTACTTATTAATCATTGAGCCAAAAAGGCTCAAAAGAGTACACAGTGCCATATGGTCATTGTCCTATCGTCGTACATAAGATTTCGTATTCTAATTTTCATAGTGCATGAACAATATATCTAGTACGGATCAGAAAAATTATATTCGATTACGAGTTTTGACACCTTAGATGTGATCCGAAAACACGAACCATGCAATTTATGACCTAACAATTCTCATCGAGCAGTGTAATAAGCAAGGTTGTCAAACCGGTTTATGCCAGTGTGTCGGTTTAGCAAATGGAATGGTTCAACCGGTGGCACATACCGGTTTGTGCCGGTTCATGCCGGTCAATATTACAAATAAAATTATAAATACTCATATTTAAACATGACATTTAACGTCAATACCTAAACATTTATACTTGAATCCAACAAATAAATCAATATTCAACTTTTATACTCATAAAATAAATAATAATAATAAATTTATCAATTAATTCTCTAAAATATAGTCATTTTACTTAGAGATTCGTATATCGATCATGCCGGTCATACCGGTGGTGTCACGCCGGTTTTATGACCGGTACCGGTTGAACTCGGTACAACCGGTGGCACGCCGGCCGGCGTGACAACCATGGTAATAAGTAAGTTGATATTTTTACTTTTAACTTTGAAGTTTATAGATGTCAACTCCAACGACCCTTTTGGTGGTCTCTTTTCCTATTAAAAGAAGTGATATCTCCAAAACTAAGCTCTTCACTTGTCGCCAAGCCCTGTTTTGGGTTGTTTATGTTGGATCAATGTCTGACCTTGACAAAGCAGCAAAGCCTTAATCTATGGGTTTACTATGCAAGCTAGTCGTATAATCACGTAATTAATTACTACCATAGGGATAGAAGGTAATTAGGTAGGTGAAGCTAAAGAGCCTAAATGGTGCCACGAGGCCACAAGCTATAGCTATTTTGTTCTTACTTGTACACGTTATATAGTTGTTGGTGTAAAGAGGAATTATGTAAGCTAACTCTAGTAGATTAGATTAAGCATGGGTGTATTATCATACTGTATTAATGTAGTTATAGGCAGCCGCTACGGATTATCTTTTGGTGGACGAGTCTTGTTCATATCGAATAAGGATACCATGTAAATCGTCTTGTTCTTAGCTTTCGGCCTTATTATTTTCTACAGTATTGGATCTAACTAATTGGAGGTTCTACCTTCTTAGAAGAACTAGTTATATTGATAGTCTCATCATGGGCCGTGGCAGCCTCATGCCGGGCCTTTGTTTCGAACTTCGGGCTTCAGCTGCCCACCGGTTGAGATCCATTTCAAATTTTGGGCTTTGAATGATTCCATTCCATGTCTCTATTCTTCGTATAAGCATCTTCAAATCAGATCATAATCAACGAAGCCAATGTAACCATTTCCATTTAAAAATCTCTAAAGTGAGAATAATGAGATGGCAAAAAGGTAAAACTCTGTGGTCATTTACAGATAATTAATTGTAAATATTTGTACATGGATGTTCGAACTCGTGAGCGTAATTGTATGAATCTTATCATAATGTAAGTAACTTTTCAGATATCTGTATGAATCGAATATTAAAAATATACTCTAGACATGTCATCTCTTCTCCTTTATTCTCATTAGTTTTTGTCAAATTTCTAAGAAGAAGATGGTAACGTGTTCTCCTTATGTTCATCATTTAGCCCAGGTTGTAACATATTAGATAGTCCATGTAAACTACGATTGGTATCATTATCCATACTAATTTATTATTTTTGTATAACTTAGATTCAAGACAAGTCATATTTTCATTAGAACTTGAAACTTGATAGGGTAATTTAATGTTAAAAAATGATGTTAATTCATCATTTAGTAAATATAAAATGTTAAAGATGATATAGTATAAGATAGTTCATATGATTTATTTTTGTTATAATTAAAAATTGAAGCTTCTTGAGAGTCAAGATAGGATGAGAGCAGGAGAGCCGGTAATCCATGGACTCATGTAGGTTTATCAACAACGGATCACAAAATTCATCCTTAAACAATAACCTCTGATTTTCCATAATGAACAGTGCTCCAATTTTGTGACTACTTATGCTATATACATCTATAATTACCTCTCAAAGTTTTATAATGAGGCACGACACATTACACATACAAGAAACCACTATCAAACTATTCATGTGATTGCTATTACAAGTGAGCTTAAATGGTCTTAAATCCACTTACCACTGAAAAAACTTGCAAAAAATGAAAGTCAAGAAAGACAAAAAAAAAAGATATGAAGGCATCAACTCTAGGGGTGTCCAAATGGTTACCATGGTTATAACCAAACCAAATAAGGCTAAATTCCATTAACCATGGAATACAATATCATAACCAACCCGTCCAAACTAATACAACAACCAAATTAACCAAACTAAAGTTTAATCGGTTTGGTTAATTGGTTAACCAGATTAACCAATATAAAATCACATTATCATTGACGATGAAAATTTTCCGGTTATTGCGACAATTCGCAATTTATATAATGAATAAAACATAACAATCAACACGTAGTTATAGTTGACCCTTAACAAAAATACATGCAACTAAGACAATTATCTTACTATTAGTATAAAAGTATTCACCTAACAAAAGTTTATGACAATGATATGGGTTAATGAATTGTTGTGTTTGTGTAAATTGACTTAGGGGTCGTTTGGATGAGGAATTGTAACGGATCAATTTGACACAATTGTCTCATTTTGAGACAATTGTACCAAATTGCCTCGTTTGCCAGCAAAATATTTGGATGGATCAATTTGCCTGTGGTATTTTGAATTGATCTGTTTTGAGTCTCTTAGCAATTATCATAGGCTGGAAATGACCTTCCTTTCATGTTTTCATCCATCATAATGTATGAAATTTATCTAAATTAGGCGTCCATATGCTGTGGTCTACATTTTACATATACAAATATACACTATATGAGCAATATTGAGCTTTATATTTTATGAGTCTAAAAGGGATGAACGTTAACTCTTGAGTGGTTATGCAAAGTATTAAGTATGTGTATATAATATATGTTAGATATATGACTAATTACTTAACTGGTTAATTTGGTTTGACTGGTTAGGAGTGCCTGAAACCAAACCAAACCACCTAAACCAAACAAGCTAAAAACTTTAACCAAACCAAACCAATTATCCAAATTAACCAAACCAAATTATCCAAATAGTACCGGTTAAAACGGTTACCATGGTAACCAAACCGTTTGAACACCCCTAATCAACTCTTTGCAACATTTGGAATTCCTTCTCTTTTCAGTGGATTGGGCCATACTCATAAATTAGTTTCCTCCTATTATACATGAAAAAAACCCAAACAAGCTAAAAACAAGTACAAATTGCTCTGTACAAAAAAATCACCAAACAACTACACTTACCACATAACACATATATCCTTCCCCTTCAAATGGCAAAGAATTGAACCTTTGGGGGGGGGAAAAGGGACTTATGAACTTTCAGTCAGCAAGAAGACCAGTGTAATCTGCAGGTCCATATGGCATAAACAAGTCCCTCAAAAACCCTTTCTTTCTCCTACTCTGCAACCCCATGTCCTTACAGAACTGGTCATTGTTCCATATGTGGAAGTTGCTTATACATGCCCTCCTAGACTTCCCTCCACTGTGCCTCCTCAAGAACTTCTCCCAAACCCTCACTTCCTCCTCCATCTTGCTCACACTCGGAAGCTCGAACTTCCCCGCCAGGAACTCCACCAGCCACTGGCACCTGATCTCCGTCGCGGACAGGCTCGACAGGCTCTCCGCGTACCCGATCACCGCTAGCTGTGGGATCCGAGGATGAATCACTTGCCTAAACAACAAAATTTCCAAAACCCGTCAGGAGAAAAGAACAATTTGTTGGTGGCCTTCGTGTTTGAAGTAGGAATGTCAATGGGGCGGGGTCCGAAGAAGGTATCTCGATAATCATACTCGTCTTGTGGCTGGTGGGGTCAAATCGAATAATTTATTATGGGTGTGGGGTCGGGCAGGTCTACACATATGAGTATGTAATTTAAAAGAAAAATATTAGAATTTTTAATTTTTTTTCATTAAAACCCCAAGAATAAGGTGTAATATGATAAATGTAATTAAATTATTCAATAAATTAAGGTTCTCACATATGTCTAACTTCATTATAACTAAAAAAAATTCTAAATAATTTAAGTAAAAGTACATGTAATTTGGACAAAACAGGTTGAGAATATGATGGGTCAAGACAAAACAAGTCAGGTCGAGGAGAATACCCATACCCAGTCGGCTTTAAAACAAGTCAAATAGGTCACATAAATCGAGCTGGATCAAAATTGAGTTATAAGAAGTTATTGAGTGTCTGACCTGTAAAGTGGGACAATGGAAGAAGCCCCAGTGATGGTTTTCTGCAGAGCAGGGGAATCGAAGATGTCTCTGAGCTTATGGTCTCCCCTGTATCCTGTCGCCAGGATCACGACGTCTGCTTCCACGACAGGCTCCAATCGACCGTCGCCGATCACGATTCCAGTTTCGCAGAAGCTTATGGTTTTGGATTTCTTGATGACGATGCTTCCTTCTTCCACCCTGTCGTAGAACTTGTCGGGCAACATGCATGTGTGGCACGAGGAAACGTCTTGGAAGAAGCTGAGTTCTGGTACCATCCCATGTTTCTTGAGTGGGAGCTTCCATCTCAGGTAGAATTCTATCATCTTGGAGATTCCCCATCTCTGCCCCCAGAAAATAACAGGAAGAAAATTTCAGCATTGGAGACGATAAGATAGGGTCGGTTTGGTTTAGTGTATCTTAGAGAGTATCACTTTATAATAACGCATAGTTGAACGTGTTCGAAATAAAAGTTATGAGATACTTTAGCGTTGATTTGGTTGAGTGTATCTTAGAGAGTTTCACTTCGTAATATTACGTAGTTGATGTGTTCGAAATAATTTTTTTGAGATACTCTAGAAAAACTACTTCTTCACTTTTTCCGGTTCTAACACAATTTCATAATACAGGTGAACATATATAGGAGATACGCGAACATATACATATTAGAAAGTGGACTCGGCGGTCATTTCGCTTTTTCTCTTCGAAACTTCACATGCAAAAGTTACTTGACCAAACAACAGTTTAAACACATACTACTCATGTAATAGTATACAATCGAACCGGATATAATTACGTTTACACATGTAACGAACCAGAATGCACACGATAAGATGAAAAATAGAAACGAAAGTTTACCAATGGCATGAGGAATGTGGCTAACAAGCTGAGAAGGAGAGGCAACGATTTAACACATATATACTACTCATGTAATAGTATACAATCGAACCAGATATAATTACGTTTACACATGTAACGAACCAGAATGCACACGATAAGATGAAAAATAGAAACGAAAGTTTACCAATGGCATGAGGAATGTGGCTAACAAGCTGAGAAGGAGAGATTCACCAGGCTTGTGAATCAAGAACTCTGAGAAGCGATTCAAGTACAAGAAACCAATGTTGATCCCTAGCAGAGTCTCACTAGGGATTGTCCAGTGAGTTGTTCTTTGAACCATTGAGCAAGGAAACTCAGGCCCTGTTTTATAAAAGCAAAGGAATTAGTTTTGGGGCAAATGAGCAAAAAGAAAGGAGTATAGAGTCAAAATTGCAATTAACAAAACTGTACCATTTGCCTTGGCACATTCTGCAGCAATGTCAATTGCAGTCTTCTGAGAGCCAACAATAACAACTCTCTTCCCTTTCACAAACTCAGCCGCCTTCTCACTCCCCATTGCTGAGTAGTCCCATGAATGGACCACTCTGCCCTTGAAAACCTCAGGCCCTTGATTTGGAGGGAAATCTGGGATGTTTGGGTACCCACTATACAACCCAATGCAGAGAATCACAAATTCAACCTCATAAACCTGCCCAAATGCCAAAAAGTTCACAACTTTATCAGTCAAATTGGCAAAAAGTCCCAAACTTTGAACAGAATTGGCACAAGAAACCAAAATTCATCACCCAAAACCCACCTCAATACTTAAACTTCTCACATCCTGAACCCTAACCTGCCACTTCCCTTTGGATGGCAATGATGAACCAAAGGGCTTCCCATTCCCACCCCAAACAACCCAAGACTTCATCTCCTCCAAGGACTCACCAACACAGTCTATCCCAACAACCTTGGAGTGGAACTTGATGTGTTGGAGAATCCCAAAATGTTCTGCATACGCCTTCATGTACTTCAGGACCTCAGTGTGTGGTGGATTCACTTCCTGGACCGACTCGGGCCAGGGGAAGTCAGTGAACCGGTACGTTCCTTTCGAGTTCTGAAGCTTCGTGGATGCGATCGTACGAGATGACCAGATCCCACCCACGTCGTTCTCGGACTCGAACACGATCGGATCGAACCCTTTCTCGAGGACATACTTGCAGGCTAGGAGTCCACTTGGTCCGGCTCCAACGATGCCAACCCTTCTCCTCCTTTCCATGTTATTAGAAGCACCACGCACCTTGCATTTATGCATAATTGCATCACAACAAGGCAGGATTTGGACACATCAAAAGATAAGAGGGCAGATTAGGAAACAACAAAAAGGTTCCTTCTTTCTTTCTGATTTGAAGTGGGTTCCTTTGAGAAATGTTTGATGGAGTTAGAGAGGAGGAGGGTTGCTTCTACTGCTACTTGGTACTGCTTTTTATTTAGGGAGCAAGGTCACTTTCTCACATGCAAGTTTTAAATACAAAGTTAGGCCTTTTTGGGGGGTTTGTTTGAAGGGCAAGGTTCATTATTTTGCGGGCTGGTGTAGCCTTGTAACCTATGCAAGTGCCCTTATTTTATGTGTCTTTTTGTTCTTCTCTGCCATTAGGAGAATTCACATCAGCTTCCAGCTTACTTCCTAATTGCTGGAAATTATTAATCTTGGATTTTTTTTAAATAATCCCCACAAGAACATGCTTGAAGGGGGGAGAGGAGGACCATTGGGATTGGAGACCTTAGAATTTTTTTTTTGTTTAATCTTTGGGTTTTGTTTTTGGCTGTGTAGGGTATTTGGTGACTGAATTCGGACATGATGCTACCATCTGTAAGGACGTTCGTACAATGCTCACAGTTATCTGATCGAGTCTTGGGCAATTTTTGATTGTTGGATGAACATGATTGACAATTTGTGCATGATATAGTGTTGGACGTTCCTTGACTGTTGGATATGGATGATCAAGGTGACTATTTTCGGTTTTGTTTTGTGAGGACGATTGTGAGTGTTATAAAGACATCCTTAGAAATGGTGTTGTTACTTCATACTTGTTAGCACCATGGCTGGATTGATGTTCACTCTGGAAGTTGTGCTTCACACTGAGAAATTATATAATTTTTTTTAAAAAAAACCCAAAAATTTGGAAGCAATGTCCCACAAGGTGAGAGATGTTGACTATGATCATAATGGCAAAGGGGGAGAGGAATTAAATTTTGGTTGCATTTATCCAATAGACAATCAATAATAATTGGGAGGTTATTTATTATCCAGCAGTGACACTATATAGTGCTTGATAATATACAGAGCCAAACCATTATGTTCATGCATTGTTTTCTTGTTTGGACCAAACCATAATTGACAAAGAATGTAAAAATTGAAGTCAAGCAAAACTGATCACCATCCTTCCCATCGAATCGACAGCTACTGCAAGCTTCTGTTGTGATGGAACAGGGGGTTTGTTGACACAGTGTTGGATGTTTGGCAGATTTTGAAGTTGATTGGTCATTCGTTGTTTAAGGTGCTCTGATTGTCTCCTCCTTGATAGTACCGTCGAATTACACTATTATCTAATCTCCATTGTTTCGGTCGTGAAAAAACATATTCGAATGAGACGTGTTCCACCTGCTCTTGGAACTGGTTTCTTGTTCTAGTATTAGTTGTAATTGTCCAGAGAAAGTAATTACGTCGTCGTCGCCACCCAACAGGTTGTCTAGCTAAATTAGGGCAAGATTGCATCATTTGTACATACATTAAGGGAATGAATGCCTGATCACACGACCAAAACACATTGAATAATCACAAGTTGTGGGAGAAGGTTGGACTTAGTGCCTAATTTATGGTAAACGGTAATGGGAGTTGGTTGAAGACAATGGCCAAAAAAGGGAGTAGTTTGGTTGGAAGAAGCCATAGAGACACTTGCGATTGGTGTACAAACGAAACAAGGCCGCGTTTGGCTGGTTCTGAGAAAGGAACACATGTCATCAAATTTAGCGACCACTGCCGGCTTCGGTCGCTAATGCAAACAAAAACCCTTTCCCCACGAGGAAATAAAGAAATCATTTTGGTTACTAATGGTTGACATTTTCTCCTTGATCCTTGGGATCGTGTCCCTTGTTTGGTTATATGTTGAATCTATTTTCTGTTTTCTCCAGCACGTACGTTGAACCAATTCTCGCCCTCATTGGCTCTGTTTTGAATCTAATCTAAGGCTGCAGAATTATTGGGAACCATAGAAGGAATCCACCTCAGGATTAGGACGGCAAATTAAGTCGAGCTGCTCGCGAGCGGTTTGGCGTTCGATTCGAGAAAAGTTTGTTTGAAACTCGGTTTGTTAATAAACGAGCCGAACATGAGCTAAACTTTGTTCAGCTCGTGAAACTCGCGACGACTCGGTGGCTTGTTGAGTTAAACTCGTGAGCTGGCTCGTTTATAGCTCATGATATGTCTCAACATGTGGCTAGAGAGCCAACTCAATTACCGACTTATGGACGAATCAATCTATATCTTGTGATTTTTAATTCATATGGTTGTTAAATTATATATCTAGCCATATATAAAGTTGAACACGTTGAGTATGTGAGCAAATATATCTTATTTTTTATTTTAAAAAGAAATTATGTATCATAGATTGTTTTGATACTATGAAATATTATGATTTGGAGTTGTTAAAATTTATTAACTAAATTATATATGATACCAACAAAGTATAATATGAGATTAGCTAACAAAATAAATCATATGTATCATGATATATAAAATAAAGTGCCAAATAAAATTCAAGATTTTAGTAAACAAGCTAGCTCGAGCTCGACTCGGCTCGTTACGTTTATTAACGAGCCGTGCTCAAACTAGGGTAAAACTCGACTCGACTCATTTGCAACCTACTCAAGATCTTAAACTAATCTTCTTCCTGATGATGCCTGCTGCTTTTTCTCTCCTCTTTTTTTGGTTGCTAATTATGGGGATTGCCAAACAGGTTGAGAGTATGGGAACTGGGAAGCAAAGGACCACTTGTGCTTTATCAGAAAGGAGATCATGAAAGTGTGTGTATATGTGGGTTGGGAATGAAGCAATGTGGGTGGTTTGGGATTTTGGGGACACACATTCTCTCAATTGGAGGACCCTTTTTAGAGTATTGAGTGGAGAAAAAACTAACTCTGAGAAGGTTTTTTCTTTTAATATGGATGTGTTGGGATTGGGGAGAATGACTTTCAGTGACGTCGACTGTATGTTGAGTGCGAACGCGCGTTGGCAGGTTTTAGTGGATCGAATCGGTTTGGCTAGTGAACGCTCAAAGTTATTTAAATGTCTGACTCGAGTTGTTTCATGTTAAGACCATGTCAGAAGAGACGTATTAGATTACGGTTTTGTGAATCTCGTAGGTGCATAGAGTATAAGGATGGTTTATGAAGGTTAGAGACATGTGTTTAAGCAAAACAGACCATCATAGGATTAGATTAGCTTAGCTAATTAGCTGCAAAAACGGGAAAACAAATGAATTGATCGAAGACCAGTCCTCTTTCTCCCAATCAAAACATGTGGTCTTAGGATTTGTTTATGTATGCTTCTGTCAGTATTTTCCAATCATTTAGTGCTTCCTTACTGTCATGATCTCTCAGATGAACTGCATTAACTCAGTCGACGTGCTGCATGCTTAATGGCTAACTACTTCCAACAATAAGTGTGGCTGGCACAATTCATTATTAAGCACTAATTATTATTATTATCTTCTTGTGATTTTTTTATATATTATATGAATGATACTATGTTGTACAAAATATCATGACAGTACTGTACCAGGAAAAATAATAATAATAGTAAGATTATCTTATCTGTTGCCAACAGAGTTCATTTCCTGGCTGGACACTTATCATCAGATTGAAGTGGTATGATTAATGGTTAATTAAGCTTTAAATTGGATCGTGCAATAGATCCATACAGATTTGATTTACCGGTATAGTTATTAGTTAGCTAATACAACCAACTGATATGGTATGATATCACAAACACTTCGTTTTGAATACCGACTCTCTGTCCCGCGCCACTCTAAGGTTCGGCTTAAGTTATACTTCCACTCGCATTGCATACAAACTCTCTATGTTGTTAGTTATAATGAGATCGATATATGTTGCTATGAAGGTAAGCTTTTTAACTTTTTTAGCCCGAACTAACTATGAGTTTGCGAGCCCTAATATGATTCAATTAGGTTATTCCGCTTGCTGTTATTCAATTTCCAATCGAAAGTAAGGGAAAATGGAAAAACTTTCGTGCATGTTGGTGGAGGTGCTATTAAAGAGATTCAAACATATGTAACTTCTCGGTTCAAAACTAGTGATATTACTATTAGGTCAATCTGTTGTTCGCAACGAGGCGTGGATACAAATTCTCCCCCTTTCCATGATCAAATCATTAGGATTTAAGAGGGAGAAAGAGACTGAACCAACTACTACTTCCTTAATTAGGTGGTATATGAATGATTAAGGAAATTATATGAAAATAATCACTTTGTAGACTTTTACTTTCGACTTGGACTTGGGCTTGAATCCTGGATCCCCATATTAACCTTGGGCCTTCCAAAACCCAATACAACGGGCTTGAGCCCTGAAACTATGCCTACTTGGGCTATTTGCAGACCTAACCTCCACAAAAACTTGAGCTTGTAATATGGAGTGATAACTGACCTCTGTACTCCGTAGTTTAGTTGGATAACGTACAGAAACAGAGCACAAATGCCACAGGATTTAGCAACCAAAAGATAAGAGTAAAGAGTTGCTCATGGCGCAAAATGCAAATGCCAGCTAAAAAAAATCGACTCTGGGTTGCGTAACCCTCTGGAAAAGGATGAGACTTTCAGGATAGAGAATTCAAAAAGCTACAACCTTTGAGCTCCCTCCACCTTTCCATGGCGGGCACCATCAAACCCGTACTCCCTCCCCAACAACAACAATTGATCCCAACGAAACAAACCCTTCACCCTGCTTCTCCTCCATGGATTTCCCGCAAACCCATTTCCCATGGCGGCCATTCATCACTTGGCATTTCTTCTTCTCACAGCAGGCCGCCACTCTCAGCCTCCGTATCATTCGACCCGTCGAGAAACTTCGACCTTTCTTTATTCGACGACGATCAAGGTAATAACAACCAATTCGTCTCAATAACTCGAGTTATAACACGCGCAGTTGACTCTGTTTTTTCACTCCACAGACGCGTCGGATGTCGCGCCGCAGCCGATGCCGCCGAGCGAAGGAAGGTATGAAGTTGTCATCGACAATGGCATCATTAGCGCACTCGATTTGTCCCCGTTTCGCGATGTTATGCCTACGGGGATTGTTAATTCTTCTAGCTCCCCTGCCTCAGGTAACGAAATAAAATAAAAAACAGGGGAAAAAACAGAGTCCCCTGAATTTCATCCGACGTAGTTTGTTTTCTTGCTGAATTTGTGGGTTTTGACCAGTGGATGAAGTAAAGCAGTTGTTGGAACGAAGCGTGGGGTTTACGATAAACTATACGAGGGAGGATCCCCGGGATCCTCGAGAGCTGTCGGAACTCCCAGATGTGAGGCTCTGGTTCGTGTGGCTCGATGCAGCTTATCCATGGCTGCCGGTGGTGCTTGACTGGAGAGCAGGGGAACTCGCCCGTATGCCGCCATGATGGTCCCTCATCAGGTAGTAATACATTATTCGGTCATGATACGCGCGCGTGTTGACATTGTTCGATTGTAATTGGTGCAACTTTTCCCCTGTTGGAACATGAATTCGATGGTTTGGGAGTTAGTTATTTGTGAAATTGGATGGTTTGGTTTTATGTGTGTGTGGTGTGCAGATGAACATGAAGATGGGGGTTGTGTTCAATCCAGAGGCGTTGGAGTTGTTTGTGATGAAGAAAGTGTTTGCGGTGTATTTGATAATCGCAAATCCACTTATTTCTCGATTTTTGATGATTTATGACAATTTAACAGAGGCCGGTGAGGGACACATCTCAATCTCCTACCGAAATTCTTTCATGATGGACTCATACTTTCTCCCTCGTTCATGTAGCTTACAAGTTTCTTTACTTTATTATCTTGAATTCGTGTCATGCTTTTAAAGTTAATACGATTTTCTATACTTTCAATGATTTTTATTTTTACAATACTTGTCTCCTTGTAATGCTAGCCTCAAATTAAAAACATGATGATAAACTTCATTTCTTTGTTGTAATGGTGATAATCATACATTAAAAGAGAAAAGAAAAAGAACAGAGTCAATACAAACATCCAAATCCGTTCAATCGGAATATAAACTTTATTTCACTTCTAAAAAATTAATAAATTTTTAAATTAGTTTGATGGAAGCATTTATATCTTTTATATACTTTGTTCTGTCATCAAAACATGAAAAACTTTATTCAAAATGGAAACAGAAGAATGCGAAGTAACTCAACAACCGTATTCTCATTTACGGGAAGTTAATCCCAAGTGCTTTTTCTATGGATCATGATCTACTTAATGAATGTCTCATTAAGAAGTTCTGTTAGCATCTCATACGTCAAAAGGACTAAGATGAGTAAAAGTACTTGTAGTTTTGTGTATGATGAAGTTTCGCTAGTGATACACATGTGCTAGACTATGATTACATGTAAGATCAAAGAACGAGGGGGGCGTATATATTCTAATGTGTTTGAGGATAACATTGAATAAAATTTGGATGTGAAGAAGAATATTAAATTTAATTGATGGAGCTAACATGTTAAAATTGATTACCCAAAATAATCTATCCTATTGCTCGCTCATAGTGGCAATAGCTTAGGATGGAGGGATGAATGGGAAACACAAAGAGATATGCAACTCCTTTTTGTTATTCGTATTGCTTTTTTTTATTATTCTTAAACAAAATATTTTGCTTCATTAAGGGTAGTCAGAAGAAATTTAGTTTTCACCAATATCTCATAAAACTATATTAGGAGATAAAAAATAAGCAATGCATTGTACATTACTGGGATTGGAAAGTACAATTTCTTTCTCAATAAATTACTACTTATATGTGAAGAAATCATGTATTTTATGTGATAGGTTGAATCTCAAGACTAAGTTAAATTTCACAACTTGTATATGTGTTTGGTACTATAATAGCCTTAGAGTTGAGATGGTTATTGTTGAAGATCATACAAAACGACCAACTTATACATGGTTGTTGGTTCATGCCATATAACACAGTTTTTTAGTGTTACTTTTAAACGAATTGAGCTTCATCAGAGCTTGACAGTGAAGTGCTAACCCGAGTATAAGTGGTTAATAGATTATAAACTATATTTGAATGTATAAATTGTGAAATTATTGGTGAATATGATAAATACGAGTTCCTATAGAAAACAGAGGAAGAACAACAAAATTATTGCGTACAATAGAAACGTATTAAAAATGTATTAAGATAAATGTCCTAAACTTTATATGACATAAAAGTATCACACTTCTGAAGTAGTTTGATAATATAAGTTAGTACATTCAAACAATAAAATTATTGATGCTCGAAAAATTCAAATAAAACTCGTTGATATCTTCTTAAACGCACCATAATTAAGGAATAATAGCATAACCTGCCCTTTTGTTATGATTAGGGAGATAAAAGACAAAATAAAACCCCAATAAAGTTTTTGTTTGAAGGGTTGTAAACAAGAAAGCCAACGTGGTTCATCAACGATCGCATGACTGCCAACGGGCATAACGAACACGCAGCTACAGCCAGAGACGGAGAGTCCACCATGGAAATGAGATTGGTCGTGCCACCATAAGTACGGAACGACCTGCGAATCCTTTCCTAGCAAGGAAAAAACCTCCATGGCAATGGCTGCTGCAATCACTCCTTCGTCTTCTTCTTCCTCTCGTCTTCGCCAAGCTCTGCCGGTAAAGAACCCTCCACTCTCTCGCAATTTCCATCTTCCGCAGTCGTTTCGCCTCCGTAGCCGGCTTCCCTCCATCACCACCACAATTCGCGCCGTCGCCGTCGAACAGGTATGCTTGATACTTGTTTACCCACCTCGCTAACATTTCAAAGTTTGGAGCTTTTCTCAATTGGGGTTTTCAATATCTGTTACGATGTCGAAATTGTGGATTCTTTGTAATATTTGGAGTTGTTGGTTGTACTGAAATTTGCAAAAGGGTTCTTGCTAATGTTCTCCGTTCATTCGTTAATTGAAGAAATTGCCGTGGGGAATTTGATAGGCTGTTGGCAAAATTCATGACTCTCAAATCTGAATCTGAAAACTCTGAGGGCCATGTCTCAAGTTTTCTGACACAATTGCTGATGGCTAGCAAGAAGGGAATTCAATCTCACTTCATGTGTGGATAGGGTAGCAGGCTGATATATTGTCATTTCAGAATATGATGATAACAGTTGATTCCATATGGGATGCAGTGTGTTTGTTTTGTTTGATTGTTGCTGGGATAAAGTAAGAACTTCTTGTTTTGCACTTCCCAGGACTCAAGAGCACAGCTTGGTCCGAATGAGTATGTTGACGTATTCGCCTGTCCAGTGTGTTATGAACCTCTGATAAGAAAGGGCCCTTCTGGTTTTAACTTGTAAGTGCATAAACTATGATATACTGCATAGAGATCACTATGCATTAGCTTTTGAAAGTCTGGGAGGCATAATTGGAAGAACTGCAGGGCAGCAATCTACCGTTCAGGCTTCAAGTGTACAATATGCAACAAAACATATTCTAGCAAAGACAACTACCTCGATCTTACAGTTACTGCTGGGATGAAGACTTACAATGAAGCCATGCCGATAGGGACTGAGCTTTTCCGGTGAGTTCACAATCAACATCTACCAACTTCATTAATGCATATCATAAGTAAGCTGTCAAAAGGGGCTCTCAGTAGCCAGGTGCTGCATTAGTTCTTATTGTCCTAAAAATATTGGCATTTCTTATGCTCACTAGATAACCAAGGCTTATAGTTAGGCTAATGGTTAGTTTAAAGGTATGAGATGCTACGCTTCCTCAGTTATTGTCAACCTTTGCAGGAGTCCTCTTATTTCATTCTTGTATGAGCGCGGATGGCGTCAGAATTTTAGCCGTAGTGGCTTTCCCGGTCCAGATGAAGAGGTTTGTCCAGTTGCCTTTGCTTATGATCTCATGTCATTCTGAATTTTCAATTAGAGCTAGATCTTGTAGAAACCATTTTACAGGTATTCAGGATCAAATGAGTAGCTATGAACACTTGCTCTCAATCATTTAACTTATGAAATTAGAGGATGATTGGAACTAAACAAGATGACACCTTGACATGCGGCTATTGAATGATGATCCATGACTCATCACCACGTGCTTCTTCAATGCAGTTCAGAATGGCTCAAGAGTACTTCAAACCAGCAGAAGGCGGCCTTCTAGTCGATGTCAGCTGTGGCAGTGGTTTGTTTTCCAGGAAGTTTGCCAAATCTGGAACCTACTCTAAAGTTGTTGCACTTGATTTTTCTGAGAACATGCTTCGTCAGTGTTATGATTTCATAAAGGCAGATGACACTATCTCAGAAGAGTAAGCTATACCCTTCCCCTGCTTAGACATCTGGATCAGCCAAATATGTTCTCATCAAGTGAATGCAAATTGTTTTGGAATGGGCAGGAATCTGGCGCTGGTCAGAGCAGATGTTTCAAGGCTCCCATTCGCCTCAGGTGCAGTCGATGCTGTCCATGCTGGTGCTGCCTTGCACTGCTGGCCTGCTCCTTCCAATGCTGTAAGTTATCACGCCATCCTGCTTTAGACTTAATGTAATGATAATTGAGGCAAGGAAACATAGAAATGTACTCCCTGAGGCATCTTTTCCTTGATATTTGCAGATTTCTGAAATATGTCGTGTATTGAGAAGCGGTGGAGTCTTTGTTGGAACTACTTTTCTTCGTTACACTTCATCAATGCCAGCAATAGCACGGCCTCTCAGACAGGTAGATCTATCCTTCCATGAATTATGATGGAGAACTGTTAATAGTTAATAAATGTTTCAGACTAAGTGCATCGTGAAATGCATACTAGACTACTAGTTCAAACACCATTGTTAACTATGCCATTAGCTTAACTAATTTCTTACCTTCTGTGGCAGCAATTTATGTCGAGAAGTAATTACTACATAGAAGAGGAAATTGAGGACTTGTGCATGTCCTGTGGCCTTACAAACTATACCAAGAATGTTCAACGATCCTTCATCATGTTCTCAGCTCAGAAGCCCTGATTCCAGGTTTCGGTCATTACCATTCACTGTATAGACATCTCAAATGAACAAAAGGCTGAAATAGGCAGAAACCAGAAGACATACACAAACATTGCAACTGTACAAGTAAATCATTGATGACAGTCTATGACTTTGTCACACCATGTTTCCTTCAAAATTCTTTTCGACTGTCATCGACACCCAGCCTTCTGCAACAAACCAAATTTCAGGGTGAGAAACAATCATTCTAATCATAATATGTCTCCAGATACCTGTGGGCGGCTAATAGGGGGTAGCCAAAGCTTTCAACTAAGAATCAACTGGATTGTTCTTCCATTTCTTTTATCTTTCACACTCTTGTGGCTGAGATTCATCAGTGAAAACAACCATGTTCTGCAAAATTGAGATTGCTGCAAATTCACATTGGCAAGAGCTCCCCCTACCCACATGATCTGTGGTGAAGCTTTAGTTATAATATAAATGGGGGAAGGGAAGGGAAGGCACATGACCTTAGCCTTAAAAAGTATCTGCAGAAGAAGGATACAATATACCATTTTGTTTTTCTGACACACAGCAGATTGGTGGGTATGGAGAAGTAAAAGGAAGAGAGCCCACGTATGGCCATGAGTGAATGAGTAAGGAAAAAGGGTTTTGGGATCCCCTCGTGCGGCTCACAAGCTGACTCATCCCTCTAGCCTCCATGTTTGTTCTCTTCTGTAGGAAAAAAAATTAGAACCCATCAATTGGTTCTTTAGGTTTGTTTTTGTTTATGGATCTTTGACTGTTGACCAAAACGATGCAGAAGGAGGGGGAAAAAATGGAACATTACAGTTCATAAAAGGAGGAATATTGGCGAGCCCAAGGCACCACCACCACCTCCTTTCTACTCGTCCTTTGGCTTTAGTTTGGCCCTTGTCCTTCATATTTGTGGTTAAATTTTGGAACTTTGAAAAGTTTTTGAGTGTGGCAGCCTGAAGCTGCTGCAGGTGGAGGCATTGGATCCTCTGCACGTGACCTTCCTCTTCATCTTCATCTTCTTCTTCATCCTCATCCTTTGTTAAAGAAACTGATAATTAGTATGGCGTCTGGTGCATTTGATCAGACTGTAACACGATGAAGTTGTAATCATTATATTTCATCTACTATGGGTACTAGTATATAATTCGGCAGAGTTATATTCCTTATTAGAGTCGTAGAAGTTAGATAATTTCCCTATTAGTGTCAGGGTTATTATAAAAGTCAGTCTCTGTACTCTATATAAACCCATGTGATTTCAGTAATAATATACGACAGTTTCCACCGTATTTTGATTTCCCAACACGTTTGAACATTTCTCACACGCGATTGAATGAATGCTTATTTTCGTTGATGAAACAATCTTTTAGCAAATAAGATCATATCCGTTAACACAATTGAATATCAATCATCGACCTGGTCTCAACCAAATTTCCATAACTCAACCACCAAATTCCATAACTAAACTCATATAACTCAACCAACCAAATTTCCATAACTCAACCACCAAATTCCATAACTTAATACGAGACAAATATAAGTATCGAGATACTCGTCGTCACCACTCCGTTATCATTATCATAACTGTTTTGATCTTTGCGTATATATCAACACAATGATTACCACACACATCAATCCAATAGCTGACAAAAGTACACAGAAACTATCTAACGGCATCACTCTGCTCAACGTCTTACCTCCCACCCGAATCGGCGGCCACCGCCGGCTCCCACCAATCCGCCAACGACATGCAGAAAAGAACGGTACAGTCTTAACTCGAAGTTCCACAAACCCTAATTAACAAATATTCCCCGGCCGGGGTTACAGGTACCGAAAAGAGGTAGGAGGACAAAACTTGGGAAGTTGGTCACATGAACTGGACCGCAACAAATTAGGTTAGTGATGTGGTATATAATTCATGATTGAATCTCTCCCAACAATTCGGGTTATTGGGATCAATTGGTTCTTGACATGATATCAGAGCCTTCTGTGATCGAGAGGTCTTGTGGTCGATTCCCGGTGATCCCCATTTGTTAAGCACATGCTATTCTTGTCTTCAGACCTGTGCAAACTTCAAGCCCTTGTGAGTGGCTTTCGTTTAAGGCGGCGTGTTAGTGTTGTGGTATATGATCCACGTTTGAACCTCTCTCAACAACTCGAGTTATTGGGACCAACTGGTTTATGACAAATTAAGCCATTTAGGCTTATAGCTAGAACAAACAGGTTTAAGTAGTTAATTATTTGTTAAAAATGGGGTAAGAAAAGAGAGTTTCTCAAAGGGAAGAATGATGAGAAGATGAGACCATTCAATCTGTTTTTTTTTTTTCTTCCTCCAGTTTATCTTATCTTCCTGTTTTCTGGGTGAACTGTTGTTTTTACCAAAAGAAGAGCCAGTAGTAGTTGTCCTGTATTAAGGGCATGGTTCCCTCCATAATTGGTGTCCAAATTTTATTTAACAGTAACAAACCCCAAGGGCTTCCTAATACCTAGCTAGTCTTAATTAGCTTCAGCTTGTAAACAACTAGGGGTTTGTTCTGGATCCTTCTTCTTGTTAATGTTAAGGTGACTTGTGGGGTTGTTTCTCTGATCCCAAACTGACGGATTTGTAAGAGTAGGACTGACTCAGTGTGGCAGAGTTGCGGAAGTTAGAGCGATGGTTTGTTGTTCTTGATCGAGTGACGAGAAGTTATGAATTCCGGGATTTGATTCTTTCGAATTGTTTAAACCAAGTTAAGTCTTATCTAACACATTCTCCGCTCACATTGGGATTGCCGTGCTTGGATCGAAGGATATATCTTGCCCAGATAGAGGCTCATTAAGGTGATGTCCTTCATTTCTAGATGTCAAAAACCTGCTTGCAAGTTGACAACTGAGATCACCAAAGAGCAAATTTGTGGCTTTTTTCGTCCGGATTGAATTTAGATTCTTGACCTAATCATCATGTCATTCCTCTAATTTCCTTCCACAAGATTGTCTGATGAGCTCAAGACATTCGAAGAACGAAAGCAAGGGAGAGGGGGGGTGTCATATTACGTTTATTACATTAATCATGTTGATTTTTACCACGTAGTATTATTTTTAGCATGATTTTTCTATAATGCAATTTTAATTTGTAGATAGTTTTCCCAACAGTTTTGATTTTCTATAGGGGATGACCAATTCGATGTTGATTGTTGGCTCAGATTTTTAACAAAAAATGGGCTTTTTAATAGCTCATTATTTCCCTCAAAACATGCTTAAAAAGGAAAGTATGATGCAAATGGGTGCTAAGTGAGATGTGTTTGTCTGTCTAATGTCACATCACAAACACCACAATTAATCAATTTGTCGTCATGAAATGAGGAAAAGAGAAATTAAAGTGAGAGAGGCTGCGCGATATTGTAATTAGTGGAGTTGTTAGTTTGATTAATTGCTGCCATGTTTTTTGAATGCTGCCATTGGCCAATTAATCTCTCTCTCCCTTTCCTGTTTTGGTAGTGGGCTGTTTTGCTGTGCCGACAACAGACCAGATACCAAGTTCTTGGCCACTAATTAGACAATGTCTGGTTTGCTGTCTGTCTGATCTTTCACACCATATTAGTGGTCCATTTTTTTAGCTCCGTGAGGTGAAAATCTATAGGCACATAATATGAGCATAACTATCTAGCTAGGAAATGTGAGTTACATTTGCATATGTGATGCTGTTTACACCTATAAATTTTTCCATGGAGGAAAACATATATTTGTACTATGAAGTAAAACAATGGCTCACTAGGTTGGGACTTGGGAGCATGCATGCATTTTTCAACTCGCTAGTAGACCAACATTGAAAGATAAGATAGTAAGTTAATTCTTCTTCATCGCGATTTGCGGCCAATGCTATATATAGTCGCAAGTAGCCAAGTACCACTCTTAGATAATAGTACCTCATCATGCGTCTTTAGGAACTAAAAAACAAACAACAAAGAAACTTAACCTTAGGATCACCATTGTCGAATTTTCAAACGCAAAAATCTATCTATATGACCACATCAACTACCCAACACTCTACAAATTTCGCTTCAAACCCGATTTTAAGATCCTAATCCTGCATATGGTTCCTATTAACTAGGTTGGATGGTGGGTCTCAAGGGGCAAAGTAGAAGTTCCAACATACATAACGTACGAGTCAAGAGGGAAGTGTCAGTTGATCATATGAACATCTCACCATTAACAAAATTTAGATGAAATTTTCAACAAGCATACAAAAACTAATAAATAACATAATCTGCAAATGTATTTACTTATTAAAACGTTACTGCATAGCATATGAAGGAAAACAGTCATTTAACTTTTAGATGTTTCATAAAAAAAACATTACAATTTACCCATAAGAAAAGGATGATGTTTTCATAATTCTCCAAAATTAATGTAAAGACTAGGATTGCATGGGACAAACAAAGATTGAGACAATCAAGCATTGCAAAACACCCAAAACTTTCCTATGTTGTACATTGTCAACTAACACTTTTGGGCCACCAATTGCATCTATGATCTAACCACAGGTGGATCAAAATCAAAACATTGAAAATTACCAAAAGAGATTATAGCAAGTGGCTATCAAGCCATTGGTGCCCTATTAATCTCCAAAATCCCAATTAACCCACCAAAACAATTTAAAAAATCTCGAGTATTTTTGTATAGTTCATAAGAAAACAATAAAAGGATCATGCATGACCCATACAAAATTTTAACTATGATTATGTAGATCACTATGCATAAGGCATGCAGCTATTTCAAGAAGCCCCCCTTTATTAATTAACAACAAAAATATTAGAGAGCTCTTAAGCCAAGGAGATTGAGCAAAACTATGAGTTAAAAATGCCCAAGTTAGTACAAAATTTTGAAAGGTGGTGGTGGCAATTGGCATAGAATGGGAGACACAGAAACAGCTCCCACGTTGCCTCTCAAATTATATTTCATTTACTTTTAGTTTCTTCTTTGGTGGGTTGGGTTCAAAATCAAACATATATATATAACACACTAGCAAGAGAGAGAGAGAGAGAGAGAGAGAGAGAGAGAGAGAGAGAGAGAGATTGCCCTATATTGAAAAGGGAGGAGAAACAAAATTGGGTTCTTTGTACATTCCAAGGAATAAATATATCCCATTTCCCTCTTGTGAACCTCCATAAATACTCTCTATCCTCCATGTCCTACACTCTCCTCTCCTCTCCTCTATGTCTTCTTACCACAGCAAACACCTCTTCCCTTCCATAGTTTGACAACTATATATCATCATCTCAAAGTATAGAAAGCTAGCCAATTTCGAGGAAGGAGCTTTCTTTGGATCATCATCATCATCATCATCATGGTTGGTTCTCTTGCCTACTCTTTTTTCTCTTGTATAGACCATAATTCTAGGTATAGGGGTTTGCTTAATTGAGGTTCAATTTTGGGTGGAAACCTCACAGGGAATTCACCAGAAACCCGCATGGTTGGAATCACTCTACAACGAGAAGTTCTTCGCTCCCTGCCCATACCACGAATCCGCCAAGAAGAACGAGAAGAACGTCTGTTGCCTCGATTGTTGCACCAGCATCTGTCCTCACTGTGTCCCCGCTCATCGTGCTCATAGATTGCTTCAGATTCGTCGGTATGTCTATCATGAAGTCGTGAGGCTGGAAGACCTCGAGAGGCTCATGGACTGCTCGAACGTTCAGGTCTGGTTTCCTGATTAAGATATGTGCAATTCCAATCCCAATTATGATTGATTTTCTAACCATACATCCATATCTATCTTCTTTCTGGATGGCATAACTAAACTTTTGGTTGATTGTCGATCATGAATTATAGGCCTACACCATCAATAGTGCCAAAGTGGTGTTCATCAAGAAAAGACCCCAAAACAGGCAATTCAAAGGGTCGGGGAATTATTGCACTTCATGTGATAGAAGCCTCCAAGAACCTTTCATTCATTGCTCCCTTAGTTGCAAGGTAACTTATCCTTTCCTAGTTCCCACTTCTATCAATTTCGAGTCAGAATTCTATTGATTTCGGCTCCCAATCAATCCAAATTGCTAAAAGTGTATTAGACCATCAAGAATTGCGGCAAGAAGAATGGACTATCAAGAAAGCACACATCACAATTCTCTACATCGAATAAGCTAAACAAATCATTGAACCTTTTCGTCCATTTCTGACTAGGCGGTTTAAATTTCCGATGATACGATGAAGTTAAATTTACCAACCCAACATTATCATACGTTCTCAAAACACAATTTTTTATAGTAATTTGGAAATTTGTATGTGGGCGATGAATAGTATTCGTACTAAAATCAGATAAGCGCGTACCGACTCTATAATCATAGTTGGGTTCAACTTAAATAGTATAATTATTGAGTGATGAATTGGGTTCAAACTTAAACTAATATCAACTCAATTATGTTAGCTAGAGAGAAAGGATATTGTAGTAATCATAGTTGTGTACATATTTACAGGTGGATTTCGTGCTAAAGCATTACATGGACTTGAGCCCATTCCTAAAGAAGTGCAAGACTTTAGTACTAGGACCGGACTTCTTGATCCCTCAGGACAACATGGGAGACGTCGACGACATGATGACCAACTCCGACGAGCCGGCGATGAGCTGGTCGTCCGGCTCCGACGGCGGTGGTTCCGGGTCGTCGTCGTCCTCGGGGTCCGAGAACATGATGATGAGCAGCATGATGATGATGGCACCGCCGTGTCCCGACAAGATCGTGCGCAAGAAGAGAAGCGGGTTGATCTACGTCTGGTCTAGATCGTCGCCGGCGAACTACGACGGCGACCACCACGGCCACAATCAGGACTACCATCATAATAGAGTCTCCGACGAGGACATGGCCACCAGCTTGAGCCGGCGGAAAGGCGTCCCTCAACGATCTCCTTTGTGTTAGCAAACTACGGAAAGAGGAAATAACAAGACCGAACATTATGAGGATTTTTAACATTGTACCTTACTTTTTTTTCTATCTGAATTTTGACTAAAAGAGAGTGATATCAGATTCATAATTAATCTTCGCTCGACAAATTTGGTTCTTGATACGGTCTCAGATTTTTCGGCTGTCGAGAGATCATGTGTTCAAATCCTGGCGACTTTCAATGTTAAAACACATGATATTCAAAATGTGTGCAAGCATCAACCCAATATAAATTGACATTCGTTTGAGATAACATGTCATTGAGACTAAACGGTTCTTGACATAGTATCATATTGCACACTTGTGAAATGTTTCACTCTCTACATTATCTAGTCTAATATTTTGGAGTTGATTAATCTTTTATCTTTTTTACTCTAACAAATTGGAGTTATTGGAATTGAACGGTTCTTGACATGGCACTAAAACCTTTAATTGTTGAGAGTTTATATATTCAAATTTCGACGACCTTTAATATTAAGTACATGATTTTTTTAGCTATGCAAAATTCAAACCAATATGAATTAGGGATGGAAAATAAAACGTTCTTGACATAGAATAGAGTCAACACTTACTGAAATGTTTCACTCTCTATCTCTATCTCTTTAGTCGAAAATTGTAGAGGTGATTAATCACTTGGTCGGAGGTTTTGTCTTAATGGCATCACGTGGTTCCCAATTCCAAGTAATGGTTTTGTACATTTTTCAAGGGTTTTTCTTTTGTCACGGATTCATTAGTTAATTGGAATGATCATATCGAGACCCAAGTTTGTACTATTTGGCCATATTTTCCCGTGCATGGTTATGTTATAATAAAGCTTTGCATACGTATAAGCTGAGGTTGTACTTGGTCGACCATGGGCGGTCCTAGAAATCTTATAAAAAAAGGCTATGCATGTAGAGTGATCAAATGATCAATTAAGGTACATTAGGGTTTTGTTAATCAAGTTCATCACCATTACAAAAAAAAACATTACGATTTTGTAATTGTACATGAAAGCTGAAATCTGCAGAAAACGAACCACTCAATATTAAGACATCGTTTTTACATTTTTATATACGTCAATTCTGAATATATAGACCATCTTTGATGGTAGTACCTCCTTACTCTCCATTCAACATATACAAAATCTAGCTTTTATTATAATTAGATCAGAACTAGAAATACATCATAAAACCAGACGATCTCGAATAGCAAGATGGTGAAACTACTCATTCTTCGAAAATAATGAAGTTTTGGTAATCTAAATGACATTGGAGAATTTTCAAAATTTGTGGATGGGAATTAGGGCAAGAGACAAAAAGAATGATATTTTGTGGGGTTGTTATTATAAAGGATATAGTATTGTTGGAGAATTTTGGAGAAAACGATATGAAATTGATAGCTACCTTTCATTACCCTTTTCTTTAATTAATTAAATTCTCATGCATGATGATGATGATGGCCCAATGGCCATCCTTTGACTAATCTAGTAATTTCCTTAATAATGGGGTTTTACCGTTTTACATTATGTACAACCATTGCAGACACACCCCACCGGCTTCTTCTTGAGAACCGAGAGATAAACCAGACAGGGTTAAGGTTAATAATAATTAAATTTCCTTTATAAAAAAGACAGGTACTCGAGATTTAAACATGGATATATATATTGACCAGTCAAATCGTACCACGTTATATATCATATATGCAAGTTGGTCATAAAATATAATTAATTTGTGATAAGACATTTGTTGATTCAGTAGGTCGGTAATTAATTAATTTGACTTGTTATGGGTCTTTTAGATTTCCCGTTGTTACATATGAGGATTTGTATGAGTTAATCATGTTCATGATCTCGAGTGGGAGGGGAACATTGTTGTTTGTGTGGTATACTAATGATTATCAATAAGTAGTCCCATTGGGACATCCAATAAAATGAATATCTATATGTAGAACGGAATTATTTTGGTTTAAGGAGATCATAGATCAAAAGTATCTCGATTTGATACTCTAATATCGTAAGAAAAGAGTGAGGAAAAATGTTTTGTGCACGGCACAACCTGTAGAGCTGAGCCGCATAAAAAAGTAGATTAGAGTTGGTTAGTAGCCTATGTTAAATGTACTTCTGGAGGAGGTGAAACCTTGATCAATTTTACGTTCATTTATCGAAGTTCTGTGTTACACATTTGAAAAAGAAACAAAACGACTGTAGGTGACATCATTCCTTTATACTTCTTCTCCTCCAGCCGCCTCGGGTATATGATAATCTATCGTTATGAAAAGTTACCATTTTCTATTCCTAATTATGTCTAGTTTGCTTGTGAAACAAGCAAATCTTTCTAAGTGTTTGCTAATTCGTACGGTACAGGTGGTTATAAGAGTCCAAATCAATATAATATTTTGTCGATATGAAACGGATCAGCTACGATTTAACCAAAATATCATATCATTGTCGGTTTTATAATCTTTGCATTGTGACAAATGCTGGTGGCCCTTGAAATATATGGCTTTTGTGTTTGGGCCTGCCGTAGTATGGTTTGGTAATTGGTGCTTCTATTGGGCCAAGATCTTTGTTGGTTTTCAAGTGGGTCTCCGATTGGATTTCTTAGCACAGACTGGTTTTGTTTTGTATTTGGGCCTTAATCAACCCTGGGGGAAACATTGTAGTTGGGCTTGCTACACAAGATCAAATTTTCATGATTGATGTATTGAACATAAAATCAGATAATTAATCCAGGTGTAAAGGTTTGATATTTGTTTAAAACGATCAATTTCTTGGCCCATTAGTCACTAATTTTGGGATTAGACAGGAACCAAAATAAACCCATTCTCTAAACTGGGCCCCATCCAAATTATCACTAAAGAGTAAAGACAAAGCTTCAAAAATTAAATGCTTCAAAGTTGGAACTATCCATTAATATGGAACTTTAGTTAACATCACAATAATTTTGATTTGGATATCATATAGTGCTTTATCACTTTTAAAGGCGATCAATTAATTTGAACAAAAGGACCATATACAGCCAAAGGTCATAGTCCGATCAGTGAACCCTTGTTGGGTGCTCGTTGTAGACGTGTGAGGTCCTGAGTTTGACCTTTCTCAATGCTCTTTCGTGTAAATCCTCAAGTTTGATCTCAGTTCTGTCATCGCTCAAGGTGTGACAAGCTCCTCCTCTGTTTTCCTCTGTTCCAACAGTATTTCATTATCATATCCAACGTTTCTTCCTGATCAGGAAACTTAATCAATGAACTCAAGAATATGGAAATCGCATATGTTGGCCACTATATTCAAATCAAAATGTTGGTACTTGCACAAATCTAGCAATTTGGTACCCACCATTATCGTCTGAAGACAACGGTAAGGAAAACAGAGATCTTTGTGGTTTTGAGTGAATCACTTGTGACACTTATATATTCCCGATAAAAGCAAACTTGATGATGATGAAACATGACGGCAACCTTCCTCTGTACATATATTTCTAAACCTTAGACCAACTCCAACTATGGAGCAAATGGAAGAGCAAAAGAAAGAAAAATAAAAACCCTAGCAAACAATCCTTCAAGAAATGATGCGGTCGATATTTTGAAAATATGAGATAACACGATTGTAACATATATGGAATACATACATATTGTAACGTATATTCGATACTTTGAAAATATGAGATAACACGATCAGTCGATATTTACATTGCACTGAGACTCGGTCACTCTACCATAAGTCATACACATTACTCTTTAGGAACGTGAGAGAGATATCTCATATAGTCATATCCAACATTTTTCTTCAATGATTTTTCACGAAATACATGATTATACATTTGGATTTGACTGAGTAATGAAGTTGAATCCGTGATTTCGTGTATTCAATATCTTTAAACAAAAGCGATGCTCATAGAGATAGGAATGATATTTGATTTTACATCGTTGAATTTCACGTTATAGTTATTCGATAAAGTACAATCGTGTGTATCGGAGGTTCATGCTACCATCCTACCATGAGAGAAAGGAAAAACAAAAACACGAAGAATTGGATGGGATATTCTTCAAAGTGATGGATTTGAGACCTAATGTAGGGTTAGTAACAAAGGGATTGATTGTAAGCAATGCTGTTGATAGCCTTTTTTAAGTGTTGCCAAATGGTAGATTAGTGGTCAATATTACTACTTTTTGAACTAAAATATCAGCCACACTGACATTGTCATTTTCCCCTAATCTACTCATTCCCCTACTAACTTTGATAATGGTCATTATCCGACTTGCTAATGAACTCTCTTTCTTTTCTTTGTACAAGTTTGTACTTCCCCAAATTATAAATCGAAATCACCCTTTATCAAACATGAAAAATGATAAATCGTACGATGGAATAAAGAGCATAATTTGTTATAAATATTGATTATTCAATTTTGTTTCAATTAGTTGAGTCAAACTTTTTGTTCTCAGGGTTTACAATAACTTGTATGAAATTCATATGTAAAACCATCAAATTTATTTGATTTTTCGTGGATAGTCTGGTTGTGTTTATTTGTTTGAATCGGCCTGATGAAGACTAGTATAACAATAAAAGAATAATCAGCAGCGAGCTAAAAAAAATATAACATAATATCTTAACTCTTAAGATTAAAACACTATCGCCAGACCGACTAAGACATTGCCAAAATATTGTTAGACTATGAGTGAAAATTTTTAAGTATCACATTTTAAGCCTTAACCTTGAATTTGAGTTTTTCCCCCTTCATGGAGACATGATAAAATTAGAAAGATATATAGAAGATTAGTACATTTGAAGTCTCCTTGTTCAAAAAATATTGGGTAAAAAAGGGATTTTCTCCAAATGATAATACCAACAGTTTTTTCCCCCATTTTTCTCTCACTCGCTCTTCCTCCGTATTTCTTCTCTCCCACTTGCACGACAACACCACCGCTCACCGAATAACAGATAAAACAAGCCATTCACCGTAGCTTCAGAGCAAGCAGCAGAGAAAAGAAGAAGAACAAGAGAAAATTTTCACAGCAATGTCGCCAACACGAAGAAACCCACCATTGTTGCTTATTCTCTTCCTCTCCGTGCTCATTTCCTTTCTTTTCGTCTCCTCCACCGCAGCTCCCGGAGCTGAAACTGCGACGTTTCATTTCCGAGCTCCTCGATTTCCCGGTAAAAAAAAGAAAAGACTGTTCCTTTCTCCTTCCTATCTTTATGGGCTTCTGAAATTATTTTCCTTTTTTCGGTGAACAATGTGTTTTTTCTGTGATGGGTTTTCCTTTTTTAGAGTTTTCGAGAGCTGGGCATGGCTTAGTGTCGCCATTCGGCATACGACGCCATCTCGCCGACGGCAACTCGACGGCTGCCGGAGATGGGAATTCGACGACTCTGGTGTTGGCTGAAGAGAGGACTCGAAGGAAAGACCCTTCGGATAACATGAAAGTTTACACTGGTGGATTCAACATCAGCAATCAACACTACTGGACTGTGAGTTTCTTTCTTCCCCCAACTAAAAAAAGAATGAAAGAATCTGTTGTTTTCCCTCACCTATTTTAATGGTTTCCCTCAGCTGGGTTTTCAATTGTTTCTCTCAATTCCATCTCTTTGCTTTTATGAAGCTAGCTGATTTTGATTGCATCATGCTTCTTCTGGTTCTATGCAATGCGTCCATAGCAATTCTGTAACCAAAATTGGGGTAATTTTTTGCTTCAACTAGTGATTGATTTTTCCTCCTGATTTCAGTCTGTGAGTGGAACAGCAGCACCATTCTTTCTCATAGCTGGAGTTTGGTTTGTTGTCTTTGGGATATCTCTGGTCTTCACCTGTATATGCTGTTGCTGTTGCCGGAGAGAGCCTTATGGCTACTCTCGAACTTGCTACGCCATCTCCCTCGTCTTGCTCATCCTTTTCACCATTGCTGCAATGTAATACAACACTCTCCTCTCTTTATCCCATGGTTGTTATACTCCTTTTTATGCGGATTGGTAGCTAATTGTTTGTGGGGGAATTCACAGTGCTGGATGTGCTGTTCTCTATACTGGACAAGGGAAGTTCATCGGCATAACATCAGACACATTGGACTATGTAGTGAGCCAAGCTGATGTTACTGCCGAAAGCCTCAAGAATGTGTCCGGTTACCTGGCTGCAGCGAAGTCGATTGGCGTGGACTCGATCTTCTTGCCTCCTGATATGCGGGGTAAACTCGATGGCCTTGTGGCGAAGGCCAATTCGTCTGGGAACACTTTGTCCAGCCGTACTCAGGATAACAGGAAGAAGATTAAGGATGGGTTGAATAGCGTGTAAGAAGCTCTTGCAGACTTGAATTGAGTATCTGAGTTCGTACGTTTGGTCTCTTAAATCATTTGCTGATGACCATTTCTTGTTTGCAGGAGATTGGCTCTTGTTATCCTAGCAGCTGTTATGCTTGCTTTGGCATTTCTTGGCTTCTGTAAGTTCTCTTCTGTTCTTTGAAAAATTGCAGGTGTTAGATACTGGTTCTCATGGTGTTTCCTTCTGATGTTGTGATGGCTTCGTTTTGCAGTATTCTCCATTCTTGGGATGACTTGCCTTGTGTACTTGTAAGTGATAATGATAACCGAGTCGTCTGTCCTAACTATTCACAAACCAGAAATGATGAAAGCTGAATGTTCTGCACATTGTTGTTAACTGCAGCCTGGTGATTCTAGGATGGATCCTCGTTGCTGGTACATTTATCTTGTGTGGTGTATTCCTTCTTCTCCATAAGTAAGTTCCTTTGTTCTCCCATTCGTTAATCTTTCACTCTTTTTAACTTACCAATTTCTGTTCATCCTGCTTCAAATCTCCCTTCCAATACTCCAATCTTCTCTTGGCACATTGTCCTGCATCACATGTTCATATGAAAATCAGCTAACGTTTTCCTCCATTTGTCATTATCTCTATTGCTCAATTATCTCCTCACACCTTGGTTTGGTCTTTTGTGTCATCTTATCATCACCATCACCATCCAGTGTGGTGGCCGATACATGTGTGGCAATGGACGACTGGGTCCAGCACCCTACAGCTAAGACAGCCATGGACGATTTCATCCCGTGTGTGGACAATGCAACTGCACAAGAAACCTTGGTGCAATCGAAGCAGGTCTCTTTCCAGCTTGTCAACATAGTCGACAACGTCCTCGCCAATTTCTCCAACCGCGACTTCCCGCCACAACTTGGACCTCCTCTCAACTACAACCAATCCGGTCCCTTGGTTCCTGTTCTCTGCAACCCCTTCAACTCCGATCTCACCGTCAAGGACTGCGCTCCAGGGGAAGTCGGATACCATAATGCTACTGAGGTAAAGCCTAGTGAAACATATATCAGGGTACAAATCCTTGGTAATTAGGCGAATTGACCATTGGACTTCCATCTCATGATGATTTTTAGCCACAGGAGTTTCAGAAAAACTTGACACAAAGTTAGTGACTTGTGCGAATCCTAAAAAATCTCCGATTCTGTTTTCGTTTCGTTTCCAAATGCGCAGGCGTGGAAAGCCTACGTGTGCCAGGTCTCGAGCACGGGCATATGCACGACGCCCGGTCGACTGACTCCGTCGCTGTACTCCCAGATGGCATCCGCGGTGAACGTGAGCTACGGGCTGTATCGCTATGGCCCGTTCCTCGTGGAGCTCGAAGACTGCACGTTCGCGAGGAGGACGTTTACCGACATCAGCAATTCGTACTGCCCCCACCTCCGACGCTACACGCAGTGGATCTACGTCGGGCTGGTGGTCGTCTCGGCTGCTGTGATGCTGTCGCTGATCTTCTGGGTGGTCTACGCCAGGGAGCGACGCCACCGTGTGTACACCAAGCAGTTCATGACTGGTGGTGGAGAACAGAACAAGGGCCCGGGGCATATGTGAAGAAGGGGTTTTGATTGATTGAGTACAGCTTCTGTAAATCTTAGTTGTTGTTGTTCTAGGTGTGAGATATATACATGTAGATTGGACGAGTAATTTAAGCACTGTAAGAAGTTAATTAATGTCGGTTTTTTGGTATTGTGCATGTGCTTAATTGAACTAATGAAGCAATAACGTTAAGTCCAGGTTGTAACTCATTTAGAGACAAATAATAGAACTTAGATTTCTTGACATTGATCAGAGATTTCTCCAATCATGAGTAGAAGAAGAACATGCATGAATCTGAGATGCAGATCTTTTTCTACTTGATACGTCTATTATTCGAGGAGTTTGTGTACAAGAAATTTGACCTACAATAAGTAACTATGTTTTGTTTTTGTTTTTGCATAAGAGTACAATTTCTATTATAATTTTAGGTTGAAGCGGTTGTTTTAGGTGGTAATTATTATTTCGAGTACAAATACAGTATACTCGATATTGATATGTAGAGTTCCCGTCAACGTCGAATACCAATGCGAGTCTCTGTCTGATCAAAACTAGCTAAAAACATTAATGAAAATAGTAAAGTATGCATTATATGTAGAGAAACTCGATAAGCTTATCCGTTAAAGTTTTTACCAAGTCAACGGAAGATTTTCTACCTTTCTCGCAAAATATTGGCCAAGTTTTGCGGAGTGAGCAACCAAAAATAAGAGTGATCGTTTTCTTGTAATTTACCAAACAACAAACCGAAAGAACCCAGAAGACTCGTATACTTGTACACTTACCGAACCAGTAAACCAGATAACAAAGCCAACCAAAAAAAAAAAAAAATTTTGTCTAAAACCATAAAAACACAATCCCAAAATCATATGATACAACCAATAAAACCGGGTCAACAATACTCGTAGTAACCGGTTCAACCGAATTGATTCCACTCCTGCAAAATAAATTCCAATTAAGTCCCGTCCTATTCTTCGGCCATTCTTTCCCGCCGCGCGCGTAACCGCTAACTAACCACATCCTTTGCGCCACCTCACTTTCGCAAATTACCATCTAACCCACCCCTTCCGGCAAAAATTACCGGGCACAGCAAGGACAAACTAGTAAAACCCACACCAATACAGAAACAACCGCAAATCCTCGAATTCCCATTACTACCCTCCAAATCCCTCTCACCTCCTCGTTCCCCACCAGGGACAAAAATGTCCATCGCGAACCTATAAAAACCACCGCTCAGAATCAGTCGGTCGGCTTGCCTCTGTTTCCGATTACGCTCACGAAACCAAAGAAGAAAGCATCAAATTTTTCTCCCAATTTACAAAAACAAACACACAGATTCTTCCCAACCCATCATCACAAATCAAATCCCAACAATGGCGACTGGCAGCTCTTCTCCATCCAAATTCGTCAAGACCCGGACGTGCCTCTGCTCGCCGACGAACCACCCGGGGTCGTTCCGATGCAGCCTCCACAAGAACCGGCCGTCGACGAGCAGCATCCGGTCGAATCGACGGGAATTGGCGGCGGCGGAAGCGATGGCGAAAGCGTTCACCTTACGGGCTTTCCTGCTGCAGATCATCAAGCCGTCGAATCAGGATCAGAAGCGGCGGAGGAATTTCCAGCCCCGACCGTCGAGGTTCTTCACGATGAACGCCAGCAGCGGCAGCGGCGGTGTAGCGGTTTCGTAAAGATCGATCCTTTTCTTTTCATTTTTCGAGAATTGGATTCAGGAATCTAGAATTTTGTTTTTGTTTGTTCTTCGTGATTAGTTGTTTGGCATGTAAATAGGGGCAGGGGAGAGTAGAATTTTCTCAGACGGATCTGTTTTTTTGTTTGGATTCTGAGAAAATAGACGGGGGAAAATGGGGAATTAGAGTTCTTTCGTTTTCGTTTCCCCTTTCAGGAATTTGTTGATTGGGGGAACGTATTGATAGCGGAAGCAGATAGAAATTCACAATGGTTCTTTCGTTTTCGTTTCTCCTTTCAGGAATTTGTTGATTGGGGAATGTATTGATAGCGGAAGCGGATAGAAATTCACTGTCGTGATTTTCATTTCACAATTCATCCTAATCTTTTTTTTGTGGGGTTTTAGTTTGATTTCATTAATTAAAGCTCTCTGTGGATGATATGTCGTCAAATCTATAGAAGAGCATTCAAAATCATGCCGTAAAGGTGGATAGGGAGATCAAAGCAAGCGGCATTTAATCATTGATTCCGGATCGGAGATGAGCGAATTCCAGATCTTGTAGACGGATTTGCAGACGCAGACGGATCTGGGATTCGGGAGGCGTTGGAGGATGTGGATGAGGAGGCTGTCGGGGATGTCGGTGATGGGGGAGTACTCCGATTTTGAGCTAATTGCCCGTCGTGATCCTTCAGCTGCTCGCTGTCTCTTGTGGCGGAGGAGATGAGGCGGCGGCGGCGGATGGGCTGAGCTCGTTGCTACTGTCGAGTCGATGCCGCTCATCTGAGATGGCAAACCGTTCTCGAGAGAAACAGCCTCTGCTGGCGGCGGCGGCGGCATTGTGAAAAAATAAAACCCGGAGGATATGAAACCCCATGCAAGGGTTATATATATAGCATAGTCCATGAAATCATGGGTGGCAGTCGGTCGGTTTCGGTTTAACCGAAAATAAAAAATTCGGTTATTGGTTAAACCGAGACACCCAACACGGCTACCGACCACCGACCGGGAGAGAACCACGGCTAACCGACCACCGACCGATCGATTTTCGATTTTAGGCTCGGTTAACCACATACCCAGAAAAAATACCCCTTCCCTCTAAAACGTCAGCGTTTAGCTAATTTTTTTAAAAAAAAAATCCCAGATATATCCTCCACCACATAATCCTTATCTTCTTCCACTTTTTCAAACCCACCAGCCACCACAGACCACACAATCCTCATCTGAGATGGCAAACTGTTCTCCAGAGAAATAGCCTCTGGCGGCGGCGGCGGCGTCATCATGAAAAAATCAAACCCGGAGGATATGAAACCTATGGAAGGGTAATATATATAGCATAGTTCATGAAACCATACCGGAGACCGTATCGGAAAATTAACAAAAAAGGTTAGTAGCATTTTATATAATTTTATTATTGCAAATTAACAAAAACATACCCGTATACTAATTTTTTACACAAGCATACCCTTCTAATATTAAAACGTAATAATTATGCCCTTCCTTCAAGTTTCTTGTTAATCTATCGTTTAATGAGTTGGAAAATGATCCAAACACCCCTAATTTCTTTTTGATTATTATTTTATGTCCCAACTCAATTCAAAATTAAACCAATTCAGAATTAGGGGTCATTTGGATGGAGTATTTGAATGGGTTATTTCTTAGGGGTTGTTTGGAAGTTGTGATTCTTCAAATTGATGTATTTGGACAATTAGTGTATTATCATTTGATGGATTGAATCAATTGATGTATTAGGTAAATATCTTGTTTGGAGGTTTAGATTGTGTTTTTGTTCCAAAGGTAAAAAAGTTAGTATTGAGTGATTGTGAAGAATCTCAACAAAAAGTAGAGATTGTAAATCCCTCAATATTGAGTGATTGTGGTGGGGCCTCCAAAAAGTAAATACATGTATTCTAGTTCTATATAAACCAAAAAAACGACTTAATCTCACAAATACATGAATTAGATCAATACACCATTTAAAATCACAACTTCCAAACGACCCCTTAGTTATCTGGATTCAAATGAGTTATTTGGACACAAATAATAACTTGTTTGACAACATTTTACCGAAATGAGTTATCGAGGCAGTGAGTTAATTATATTATTTACAAATAACTCAAAACGAGTTATTCGAAATAACTCCTACCCTACCTCAGTGTTATCTAGAAACAACTCGTTTTTACCACTCTGCTTCTGGCAAATCCTACATGTCAAATACCAAATGTGCATGGGTTTTACCAAATGGGGATACTTCAATCAAATCATATCACCGAAATAACACTGAAATAACACATGAACAGCCAGTAAATGAGTTCTTTTACTCTACAAATAATACCACATTGACGATTAGTCCAACCACCCATTCTCAAAATTGTGTGGATATGTTATATAAATCGATCGTATCCACACAAAAAAAACCCTATCATAATCTAGCTACCGTTTCTTCTACTCTTTCTCTAGTCGCAGTTGTATAAAGTGGAGAATTCACAACCACATCCCACAACCAAGATAAATCAATGGCCACTTGCTAGTCAACGGGAGACTCGACTCGACTCGAGTTAGAGGCTTACAGCTATACCCTCTCCCCGCTAGCTCAATACATGGATATAAAGAGAACCCAATTGCCACTAGGGGTGTCAGTCGGTCGGTTTCGGTTTAATCGAAAACCGAATTCTCGGTTATCGGTTAAACCGAGCGACCACCCCCGGCTACCGACCACCGACCGCGGGAGATACAGCGGTTAGCCCCAAACCCGAAAACCACACCCTAATCTAAAAAAAGAAAAAAGAAAAAAAATCCAAAAATCCTCCCACCACTCATTCTTTATCTCCTCCGTCCTTCTCTCTCCTTAAACTTTTTCCATTCAAACCCTCCACCACCACTTACTGATTATCTCCTCCGTCTCTCTCCTCCATCTTTCTATCTCCTTTCTTTTTCCACTCAAGAAGCAGCCGAGAAGGAGGGCTTGCCGCCGACGGGAGAGGGAGGAGCGACCTCGCGAAGCCGGCGGAGGGAGACGGCGTTCGCGCGGCGGCGGGTGGAGGCTGTCTGCTTGCTTGCATGTCGTGACGGTTGGAGGCGGAGGAGACGGCGGGGTGAGGCTTCCTTCTTGCTTGCATGTCGCGACGGTTGGAGGCGGAGGAGATGGCGGGTGGCTGGAGGAGGGGCGGAAGGGTGGCCGGTGAACTGGTGAAGGGCAGCGACGGCGAGGATGGTCGTTGGCTGCGCGAGAAAGGGGTGGGGTGGGGTGGGCGGTGGCTGCCTAGCTGGGGAGTGGGGAATGGGATCTGGGATTAGGGTTTGGGAGGGTGGGGATCTTTTTGGGCAGGGTGGTTTTGTGGGAGGATGCGTGGTTGTTTTGGAGAAAGGGGAAGTGGTCGGTTAGCCGGTTAACCGTCGGTTTCCGACCATGGTTAATCGGCTAGCCGAACGTCTTCCCCTCTCCTCCGACGACCGACCGCCGACGTTTGGGGACGGTTTTCGGTTAGCCAAAAACCGATCGATTCGGTCGAAATCATCCGGTTAACTGCTAACCGAAAACCGTTCTGCCACCCCACACCATAATAAGTTAATTACAGAATAGATCAGCTCTTTGCAGTGGGGATCACACCCTTCTAATCATACAATCAAGCCCCACATGAACGTGCACTTGATATCCAAAAATATTTACCAATTCTGAGAATAGATTCAAGCCATTTCATCAATCGGGTGGTCGGATTACGCAATAAAGTTCAGAACTTCACACGAAGAAACTAGACAAAGAAACTCACCAGCCAGTAGGGCAAGGACTCCACTGTGCGGCTAAGGGAGAGCCAGAGGGAGCACCTTATCAAACATAACAACTTATTAGTAAATGTTTCTTGGTTAGACAGAATGAGGATTGGGAAAAAGTTAAGGAGAGGGAACTTGAATTTTGCCTATACACATCTCCCTCTCTTATGGGTCGTTTGGAAGTTAGGAGTCTAAATGAGTGATTCTGTGAATGTATATATTCTTTACACATCGGACTATAATCACTCACCACATGTTCGACTCGTTTCTACCTATCGTCTTTCTCTCACCGATTCGATTGGTTTTGCGATGAATTTCAGGCTCAAAAGTTTGGCAAATGCGCATTTCCAAACATTTTGACAAACACTAGTGTTTATGACCAAGCTAGCTATCCTTCTTTGCTATTTCACCACTGTAAGAGCCTCTGAGGTGGCCATTCTCAATTGCGTTTTACTTAGTCATGCACCTCCCACTACAGAGAAAATTGGTAGAAAAGGTCTACTGGGAGACTGTTGCGTGATCATGAAAGAGGAAAGTGCACTGGAAAGGAATTTCTCGTCTGAGAAAGAGCCCAAGCCCATTCGTTTTGGGGCTTCTTTCAATTGGGCTTTCTCCAGTCCAGTGGACTGATATCTCCATGAAATTGACGGTCCATTCTAGCACATATATTTCAACTGTCCTTCTCCAGTCGAGTGCTTCATTAGTTGGACAACCATTGTAAATGACAAAATAAATCGAGTATAAAAATGAAAATCCAGAATTGGAAAGCGATGGAAAAAAAAAAAAAAACAAGAACACTTTCCTAGCAATATCTTCCCCTACAAGAACAAGAGATCCTGGATCCCCAACTTCTCCTGTCAAGGTTTATCCATGGAGTGGAGCATGATCAAATAATGTTGATATAGTTGGACCGTCAGATTCTATTATTTTGATTCTATAGATTTCAATATCAAGGTCATATAAATGACACGATTCAACCGTGTAAATACATACCGATCGACCCATGAGCATACGCTAACCAGATTGTGTCCAGCTAGTGTGACAATGTGGGCGGGGCGCAGGACGGGTACTTCAATACTCTCTCATGCTTTGTCGCACGCTAGTGCGGCATGGGGTGGGCAATATCCTTGCGGGTACGGAACGGGATGCGTCAACCCACTCTTACATATTATTTGATCAAAACATACGCAAAATTTAACTTTTTACTATAAAACGACGGGAATACTTAATGAATAAAAAATAGTCATAATAAAATGGGTAGTTGAATCTGATTAGTCGAAAGATAAAATCTAACTAGTTGAAGAAACGTCAAAATAAGATAAATATGAATAGTTAGTGTAAGAAATTAAGATAAAATGAGACCAAAACGGGTAGGATGAGAATACCATTACACAAATATAATTTGTCCAACTCATCAATTGGAAAATTTGGGATTGATCTCTCAAACTCTTCAGCCAAGATGTAGACATCGTTGGTGGATAAAAGCAAGGATAGGTAGTAGCTGTTGTACAATGAGCAGTTTCACCCCCATTAGGCGTTGGACTGTGGCCATCGACCCACCAAAAGCCAAACAAATTAAAATTGGGCGCCATTGCATATCCTGATCTTCTTTGTACCATCATCTGGGCTGCCACCACCATCTTCGTAATAATTATGTGCAAAATTGCAAGTTATTATCACCATAATCAATGGGTATATGTACACATCTACTCTTCTACTTTAAATGGGCCATTGCCTTGTTTATGAAAAAGTGTAGCAACTTGCCCAATTGAAGATGATGTAAGCTAAGTGGGGTTTTATATTGACGTGGGAAAGTCTTTATTGAATAGGGGGAAACTTGGCATCTTAGGGGTCGTTTGCTTGTGGGATTTGGGTGATGGATTTGGAACCCAAATCTCAAGCATCATGGAGTTGACACAAATCCTTTGTTTGTTGAGGGACACAAATCCGTGGGGTCCACGGATTTGTAAATCCCACATTTCATTTGGGATTTGACAATAGAAGGAAAAAATGTGAGACAAATCCATGATAAAGAATCAACTAAACAAACAATGTACTCTTCCAAATCCATGAGGCAACAAATCCGTCATAAATTCAAAGGTTTTTGAAACTCAAAACCTTCATTTTCAAATCCAACAAGCAAACGAGCCCTTAGTATTCTCAGGAAGGAAGTAATTAGTGGATAAACTATTTGAATCCTTATCCTCTAATTGTGTACTATTTTGTCAATGAGTTTTGTTTTTTCTTCTTTTCAACCCATATAGAGCCTAGAGATTCGTAGTTTATACAACCTTATCCACCATTACCGCTCTTTGATTTCTGATTGACGACGAAAAATGAAAACAGGGTCTTAAGGTTACCATGAACATGGGCGCTCACTTGTTATTTTAACGAACTTTTCACTATGCCTGCATTGTATATCAACCCATCCGTATTAGAATTTTTGAAATCGATCAAATACACTATGTTGTCTTAAAAGGGTAGACCCACCTATCCTCTAGTTTGTTTGCAAATTTGTCAACTATTGAGTTTGATTTTCTTATCAACCTTATATATCTCTTCTAGCTAAGAGTAAGTACTGTTTTGAGGTCTAGATATCAATTTAATAATATCTTATCCACTAGTGACACTGATATTTGTTTGGGTCTAATAAGTTTCTCAAAGTTGACATAAACTTTATCATTGCAATGGGGTAGTGACAAGCAAGTGATATTATAGAAAATCATGACATGTTGTTCCCTTTTCTTTTCTTTAATTAGGGTTCCACTTGACTATAATTTGATATTTATCCTAGGTACACGTAATCGAAAAGTTGGATTAAACAACTAGAAAGTAAAATTATATCCATCCTTCAAAATAGCTTTTTTGAGCTTTGAGTGGGAAAACTGTTTACCATGTTTGCCCAAGTTCAACTAGAAAAGAAAAGGGTTAATACCATGTTATGGCCTGAACTATGACCATGTAATCAACTTTGGTCAGTGGTTTGAGAAATTAACATCCTGGCCCGAACTATGCGGCATATAGACAAAATTGGCCTGGAGCGTGGTTTGACCGTTTGTTTGGACGGTCAACAGTTAGTCAACTGTCCAGGTTACTGCCATGTCAACATAAAAAAATTATAATTTCCTTTTTCTTTTTATTTCATTTACAAAATTGAATAATTAAAAAAAAAAAACAAACACTTTTGGCACCCATCCCCACCTTATCCCCTCACCTTCTTTCCTTTTCGATCAACACATTTCCCCCCTTGTTCGCCTCTCGAGCTGTCATGGAAGAAGAAGCAAAAGAAATGCAATTCTCTGCGGCAGGCGGAGTCCTGGCCGAGTATGACAGTAGCAAACCCATGGAGGCATTTTTTCAGAAGAAGCGCCAGGCGATGATCGATCGACTCTCAAACCGCAATCAATCGCGAACCGCCACCGCCGACGACAGCACCAGATCCGCCGACGACGATAACCCCGACTCCGCCGTCGCCTCCAAATTCTCAGAATCCAAGTGCTCTATCGATTCCCTCCTCGATAAATCGTCCTCCGTCGATTCATCCGCTATCAGATCTCACTTCGACGGAATCTCCTCCTCCATCGCCGCGCTAGAGCAACTCGTCGTCGAGAGCTCCTACTCTCTCCCTTCCTACGAGCTCCGATCCGCCCTCAAATCGGTCGCGGAACTGAAGCAGCGGTTGGAAAATCAGAGCGCCGAGCTTCTGCCGAAGAAGAAGTTCTCGTTCAGGAACAAATCCGCCACAGCGGCGGCCAAATCCTCTGCAGCGGTTCGACCGAAAGATCCCGAGCTCCCAAAGCTGCAACCGCCGGTCCTCGTGATTCGAGAGTCGCCGGGTTTCCACAACGCTAAGGATGCAACATTGACGAAGAATTTCAGAGGCTTGGGAATCGGTGAGTTCACTGCTTCTGATTTGGATTCCTGTGAAGTGAGATTGATTGGCTGCATCAATGCGTTGTTCATCAATAGATTGAGGAACTGTAGGGACGATCGAAAAGGAAAGAAGGTGAGGGGATAAGGTGGGGATGGGTGGGCCAAAAGTTTTTTTTTAATTATTCAATTTTGTAAATGAAATAAAAAGAAAAATGAAATTATAATTTTTTTATGTTGACATGGCAGTAACCTGGACAGTTGACTAACGGTCAACGGTGTTGACCGTCCAAACAAACGGTCAAACCACGCTCCAGGCCAATTTTGTCTATATGCTGCATAGTTCGGGCCAGGATGTTAATTTCTCAAACCACTGGCCAAAGTTGATTACATGGTCATAGTTCAGGCCATAACAAGGTATTAACCCAAAAGAAAACTCTTTAACACAGTTCATTCAAAAAAATCCAAAAGATCGCGATTCCTTAGAATATTATCCATGGAAAAATGATCAAAATTAACTAAGTTTAGTGGATGTATTCATTTCATAAGATGGTTAACATTTATATCCCTTAAATACGTTTGACGTGAACTATAAATTTTGTGAATTCACGGATCAACAAAACAACCTTAATGGAGATGAAGAAGTGCAGAGTTAAGTATTTCGAAGATAGTATTGAATCTTGCTAATTAAAAGACTCAAAGAGATTTACATAAGAGAAGGAGGACTATCGTCGTTTTTATTCTTATGTTAATAAGAAAAGGTTCAAAGAGTGTATTATATCCCAATGTTTTTTTTTTAATTGCATTTGGTCCCAACTCTTCCTACTTCTATTAGAGAGGAAATAGATAAATTTTCGTTGTTACTTTCATCAGCACGTTTCCATCGCATAACATAATCGCACAAAAACGAGGAATAACTAATCACGTAGTGACATTTCGTTACAACATTACGATGTTCTAGTAATCTTACCACATATACGTCCTAAGTAATGATCAATCCACTGTTAATCGTTTCATGATTCAAATCATCCTTGAGGTTATCAAAACTCATAAATCTTTCCATTGGGTGAACTTATCCCTTGCTTATTATACTGATCAATCCTCTCACCAGCCTGGCTTTGTACGTTTCCTTTTACTAAAAACATGTCCACTTCAAAACTACGTCCAATGGACAACCTCCTCCTTAAAATGAGCCCTTGACCAATTAATTAAATTATTATGAAACTCCATTAATTAAATTTGTTTTCCAACCTAATTTCGCACTTTATTCCCAGTCATCTTCAAATAATTTCCCCAATTTTCTTTAATCTTAATTTTCCGCTCTTGACCGAGTTCAAAATTTTGCCCATGGTAACGTCTAAGTTTCCGGTCCTCTGGTGAATCCAATGCGCGGTTCATTGCAGTAATCCAATCAGAGTTCGGGTCCAACCAGGAACCACTGATAAACAGATCAACCAATAATCACCATTTTGGCTCCATAACCACCGATTCCAGCTTTAATCAGACCAATAACCGCACCTGCAAGACGGTAAAACCGAAGTAAAAAAAATGATAAAATTAATACAGTAAATAAAGGAATCAATCAACATACAGAACGGAACTCACCAACTGAAAGGGACGGGCGACGGAGGACGCCTGAACGGCGAACGGAGCAATCACAACCGGAAACACACTACACGGGAATCACGGCGACGGCGATGAGGAATTAGCATCGAATTTGGAGTTAACCAAGCATCGTTCCAAGACTGAGATCCCTAATTATGGTTACCAAAACTTTCGCCATTGATGGCAGCAAATTAGAATATATAACTTTTTCATCATATAGGCTTTCTTTCTATATACACTATTTCCCGGTCACCGGAGTTACAGGCTAGATGGAATGTTTCCAGGCAGTTTCTTCCCCGACGTCTTCAGTCAAACCGGCTTTGACCGCAGATCTTAGCCCTCCGTCGCAGGGGAAAAAAATTCGGAAGACCCAAGTAAAGAGAGTTCCGAGTTCTCTCGTTTTCCACAAACCATTACGATTCAACCTTGGACATGGATCTGAGCCGGCTCGGCCGGGACTGGAACCCCGCGCGGCGCCTCTGCTGGTGGGAGCTCGGCCGGATCAACGCCGCCAGCGCTCGCTTCACCAGATCCCCTTCCACGCCGCAGATCCTCACCAGCGAGTTCGTCATCGCGGATCTGCGCGCGTTGAGGCGGTTGTTCGGCGCGTGCGCCGGCGCGTTCTGGTTCTTGTGGAGGCTGCAGCGGAAGGACCCCGGGTGGTTCGTCGGCGAGCACATACACGTCTTCTTGGGAGCGGGCTGCTTCCTCACCACCTGCGTCCGGCTCCGGGAGGGGCTGACGGTGGAAATCGACCGGTTGGGAGAGACCGACCCGTCGAGGGAGAATCGGACGGCGGAGGCAGGCGTGGATTGGCCGGACATGCTGACTCGCGGCGGTGAAGCGGATCTGATTTCGTTCCCAGCGAAGAAGGTGGAGGAGCGAGTGGCGAAGCTGGAACTGGATGAAGCGAAGCCGTTTGTTGAAGAGGACTGATACGGCGAGAGGCTGAATCTGCCGCCGGACTGGGAGTAGGACCGGTTGACAGATCCTCCGGGTGTTTGCCGTCTTGAGGATCCGGTTGCTGCAGTAATCACCATTTTTGTAACTTCTGAGTTCAGTGTGGAAGAAGAAGAAGAATCTAGAGAGAGGGAAAAAAGAGGGGATTTTTTTTTTTTTAATTTCTTAAAAGCCTGTTCGGCTAGCTAATTCGGCAAACCTAGCTTTAGTCCAGTTATGAATTTATACTATTTTGATAAAAGGCAGGTGGTGAGGTGGCACGTGAGTACTGAGTAGGGTAGTTTCGGGATTCCCGCGATATTTTGGCGTATCGTGGGCTTCGGTTAATTGGGCCTCTTGTTTTCCCTTCTCGATTCTATGGGCGGCGGGCCCACTTTTAATCTCTTACCCATACCGCCGAAACGTGCCTCGTGGTTCGTCTTTCCAATTCATTTTCAAGCTGACTGGCCTTTCTTTTTTTGCCTTGTTGAATGTTGTCGTTGTGTCTTTCCTCACAAAACGCTGACCAGATTGCTTCGTAGTTAGTAAAATACGGTACGGGAAAGTTACGTATAAAATACGTACGATTATTTTATTTTATGTCTAAGTTAATTTTACGTTTAATAGTATGTTAAAAGTCATAAATATATTAAAATAATTATTTTAAGAATAAATAAATATATCAATAATAGTAAAGTCAACAATTTAATTCAATAAATACTGATATTAAACGTGTTATACGGGTTTTATACGTGTTTAGTACGGGAACCATCAAATGAACGGAAGCAAATGAAACGGCTTGACAATTCGAAAATTTTAAATAAATAAAATATGTATGGATACATATACGTGGATTAAACGGAGTATTTACTAACTATGATCTGCTCCTAGTGCATGGGGATGAGATTGGTCTCCACGCAAACCAATGGGACTAGTGCATGGGGAGCTCACAAATGAAAAGAAGAGAGTAGGAAAAAAAGCCCATTACATATTCTTCTTCAACCCAATAAAAATTAAAACAGTTTAGATTCCCTTCTCCACATGGTGTGGAAGCCCATTACATATTCCCGTTGACCCAAACTCTAAAATCTGAGGAGGCAAGTTTGAATTCTCGACCACACCCAAAGCACAGTGATAATCAGCCAATATGGGAAACTATACCAAAAAACGTACGGGAAACTTATACCCAAAAACTATTCCTTACAAATTATTCAATAAGAAAAAAAGGATTATAACCACCGTGCCCATCTTTACGAAATCACCGGTTATACTCGAAGTTCCCACACCTTGTACCTGGCCGGCACCGGGAGATGATCCACCACAAAATAATAACAAGTAGTTATGGTGACCCCAACATAATAAAACCATACTCGTCTCCAATACGAGTTTATGTAGAGAACACTCGCAATTATTAGTAACACCATGACGTAAGATACCGAGCCACTTACATAGAAACTCTCCATATCAATGAACCCTTCTTCTCCATCATCATCATCATCATCATCAGAAGTTGTCGATCTTACTGATGGATTTGGTGTCACGAGTGGCAGTGTGCAGTTAAGGAAGGGATTTCCCTCATAACTACTTTCATCGAAAGTACTGAATTGTGCAGTCTTCAGAGGACACATACCAGATAAATTGTTGTAAGCCACGTTGAAAGAGGATAGAGAATGCAAATCGGTGAGTTGATAGGGAATTGCTCCACTCAAATTATTGTGAGAAAGATCCAAACTCTCAATCTGTGACAAGTTTGCAATACTGGACGGGATGGGTCCCGTGAACTTGTTGTATGACAAATTGAGAACTTGGGTATTGTCCAGATGGCCGATTTGTATAGGGATCTCGCCAGTGAAATCATTGTTCGATAAATCCAAACCAAAGAATAAATTGACAACCTGCCCTTTGTAAGTATATATATGTGTCTTTGTGACAAACTCCATACCACCATAAGGAGAGTATCCTGATTGTTCACCGTAGAGGGTGCATTGGAATATTTCACCAACAATATGACCTGACAAACGATTGTGTGAAAGGTCAATCAAATTTGTATTCTCCAAGCAAAACCCCGCCGGAACCTCCCCATAAAGGTGGTTGTCATTCAACAAGATATAACGCAATCGAGGTCTCAGTTTAACAATCCATTTCGGGATTTTACCTGTGAAATGATTGTGACTGAGATCCAAGATTCTTAGCTGATATCCTGAATAGTCAATATCACCAGTAATTCCATTTTGATCATATAATGTCCCTCCCAATCGATTTCTCGACAAGTAAACTTCGTTCATCGATGGTGAAATAAAACCTGGTGGCAGACCTCCCGAAAAATCATTACTTGAAAGGTCCAGGACGAGGAGCGTCGAGTCATTCCAAATCCATTTTGGAATCTCGCCCGACAGTTGATTGTCACTAGCTTCCAATGTTTGCAACGAGGAACAATTTGACCACTGTGGAGGTATTTTACCGAAGAAATTGTTTTCGGATACGGATAGACTATCTATATTGGGAAAGAAAGTGCATATATCATGTGGGATGTGGCCAGGCAAGAAATCATTGCTAGAGATGACTAATCGAGTTAGATTTTCATAGACGATCGTCGGCAGCTGAAATTGCCCTGAAAGCGAGCAGCTGGGGAGCTGAAGATCCCCTAGGTTTGTGTTGTTAGCCAGCAACCACCATGGGAACCCAACAGCTCCCTTTATTCTGACATCTGAGATGGAAACATATTCCAATCGTGTTTGATGGTAGAGAAATTTAGGAAAGGCCGGGCCGACGTATCCACCAACATTATTACCATCCGACGACGACAGATGTAGCAGTACCAGTTGGAAAAGTGGTGTATCTTGCCGTACCAAATCATATTGGTCATCATCTCCATAAAGTTCCCGATTATGTCCCGCTCTGAAGCTTCGAAGACGAGAATGGTTAAAAAATGGGAAGAGCGAGATTGGAATTCGGAACTGATTGAAGATTATGTCAATCTCTTCGAGGGACAAGAGAGTTGTAAGGGGAGACTCAGCTATATCTCCATCAAATTGATTACCCCCTACATTAAAGATTTGGAGTGAAGTCAGATTCGATAGACAATTTGGCAGCTCGCCCCGCAGATCGTCGGATTGAAGGACTATTTCTCGGAGATGCTTCAAGTTGCAAAAAGCTGCCAAACACAATAGAAGGAAGAGGGGAAAAAAAACGCTAATTAGAGTTACGTTGTCCTTGCCCAAATAGAAAACCGACCAGTAGGTTGAACTCATATTATTATATTATACCTTGAGGAATAGTGGAGCTTAGACTCGCATCTAGAATCACCAAATGAGTAAGATTGGTCATTACGGTGCCAAGGGTGTCGAGGAAGTTGTTGCATGCAATGGTGGAGTCGAAAATTTCAAGGCGTTTCAAGAAACCTAGATTCTCCATGCAACCAAGGATATGGTAGCTTTGCAGTGAGAGCGCTCTCAAACCTTGGAAAGGCAGGAACAACAAGGAAGCATTCAAATACGGCCTTGTTGTTGAGTTTTCATTCCAAAGCATGAGCTTAGTGACTCTCCCTGTGGTGGGATGGCAACGAACTCCATCCCAATGGCAGCAATCGACATCGGAGTGATGTTTTGTTCCCTTCCCGCCGCCCCAGAAATAATCTGGATCGTGGAGCGAGGATTTGAGAGGAAGGAGGGCGATTCTCTCGTGTTCCCAGCAGCCATCACAGCCCTTCAATATTTCTGGGATGGTAAACAGCACTAACACAACCTGAAGCCATAGAGATGCACTACTCATGAAGCAGCAGTAATAGTACGTCGTCTTTGATCTCCCTATCCTCATTCTTTCTTTCTTTCTTTCTTTCTTTCTTTCTTCTTTCTTTCTTTCTTTCTTTCGATCTCTCTAGCTAGCTACAGCTCTGATCGTTCTTTGCTTGAGAATTCAAGATTGTTGCAACATTTGGATTCTCTTTTATATACATGGTGATTGAGGAGGCAGGAGAAAAGGTACAACTGTAAAAAGCCTCTTAACTCAAAGTCAAGTCAAAGCTCCCTCTTAGACCATCCACAAAGTGGGTGGGGGAAAATGTGAGAAAAGAGGGAAAATTGGATGATTTGGTCACAGTGTGGTGGTGGGAAAAGTGGGTAATCAGATTAGTATTTTTTTTTTTGTTAAAATCAATCTATAATTGATTTTGTCACTTTATTTTTTATATAATGATCATTATTATTACGTACTTAGTGATAATGAATTAATACGAATATTTTGATTTTTTTTTAATTTGGACATTTTTTCATCACTAATTAAGTATGAGATCATCATTGACGAAATCACAATAATACGAGGGGACAAAAACACAGCTTTCCAAACAACTCTTTGCTAAAATCAGGAAAAAAAATCAGAAAAAAAGAGTTGTCCTTTCCCATCGACCATTTCCCCCACCATTTGTCTCATCTGGTGGGTTTTTCCACCCACTAAACCCACAAAATGCATTTAATCCCCTATTCCTCCACATTGTGGTCAGATTTCCCCTTTTTCCCACAAAATCAACCCACGTTGTGGGTGATCTTAGTGCTTACTACGAAGTTGCCAACTTGCCTTGTCTTGTGGTTGTGGAATTTACTCCCCCATGTCCAATCACTGGCCTGCCAGCCTCAGTTTTCCACAAACTTGCATTATCACATGGACTTTGAAAATTTCCCAAACTCTCTCAAGTATGAGAAATTGAGCCCTACCAAACTTTCTTGGTGGGTCTAGGCAAACTTAAAATCGTGAGTTTGGTTTTCGTTTGAAAGGACATGTAAGGGAATGGTATAAGATTCACAATAATCTTCTCTCAACAACTTCGAGTTATTAGAACTAACCGGTTTATGACACATCCTGACAGCATTTACCTCGACAACGATTAGTGAAGAGAGATTAATGAGAAAGTTAATGCTACTCAACAATAATTAATTCACCTACACCAATTCTCTAGCCCAATCAGTGGTCATGCATGCATGTGACTATGTGAGCTTATAATTGATATCAATTGATATCAGTAATTTCAAAGCTCTTGGTCTGTCCTAATCAAAATTTCTAATCTGTAATGGAATGGAGTCAAGCAATGCTTCCTACCAAAGATCATCTCGCTTACAACCAGATGGTTCATGTTAGCGTACGATCATCGAGTTTTGATTTTTGCTATTTAGATCACGAGATTATCGGAGTTTGGGAGGATGATACTATATTCTGACCTCTAATTAGTAATTAATGAGTGAATTTCAATCCAAAATTCTCCATATAATCTTAAAATAATAGCCGACAGTTTTTATTCGTCGAAATATATCATGTACAAATAGAGGTGGCAAATGGATTGGTCGGTTGGATTGATAGATCCATGGATCAAGTGGATTTGATCATATGGATTGGTGGATTGATCCATGTATCCAAATGACATCCAAGGCTTGGACCGATATGTAAATTTTAAAAGGTTTAGGTACTAACATGTCATAATAAAAAAATTTAGGCACCAAATATAATTTTTCAATGGTCCATGGCTGGTTATTTTGCAAGTTAGCCTAGCTTTGTTCATACTGTACAGGAATTTGGGGCTTGCTTCTATAGCAACTCTGATTGCCACTGTAGTTGTAATGTTGCTGAATTTTCCTTTGGGAAGATTGCAAGAGGGATATCAGGACAAGCTGATGAAGTCCAAAGACAAAAGAATGAAGGCAACGTCTGAGATTTTGAGGAACATGAGAATTCTGAAGCTGCAGGCTTGGGAGATGAAGTTCCTGTCCAAGATTATTGAGCTGCGGAAGACAGAGGCAGGATGGTTGAAACGATATGTTTACTCTTAAGCTTTGATTAGTTTTGTCTTCTGGGGTGCCCCTACTTTTGTCTCTGTCATCACCTTTGGTACCTGCATGCTTATGGGCATCCCATTGGAGTCTGGGAAAATCCTATCAGCTCTAGCAACCTTCAGGGTTCTTCAGGAACCCATCTACAATCTTCCTGACACCATTTCAATGTTGGTTCAGATGAAGGTTTCGGTTGACAGGATTGTAGCTTTCTTGCGTCTCGATGATCTGCCAGATGATGTTGTGAAGAGGCTTCCAAGAGAGGCTTCTGATACTGCTATTGAGATTGTTGATGGAAGTTTCTCTTGGGATTCATCTTCACCAAACCCCACTTTGAGAGATGTGAACCTGAAGGTGGACCGTGGGATGCAGGTTGCAGTTTGTGGTACTGTTGGTTCAGGCAAATCAAGTTTGCTCTCCTGCATTCTGGGAGAGGTACCAAAGATATCCGGCACCATCGGGCTGTGTGGGACGTACAAGGGCTTATGTTTCTCAGTCACCTTGGATACAGAGTGGCAAGATTCAGGACAACATTTTGTTTGGCCAAGATATGGACAAAGAAAAGTACGACCGAGTACTGGAAGCTTGTGCACTGAAGAAGGACCTGGAGCTCTTTTCATTTGGTGATCAAACAGGGATTGGTGAGAGAGGTATCAATCTGAGTGGAGGACAGAAGCAGAGAATTCAGATTGCTCGTGCCCTCTACCAAGATGCCGACATCTACTTGTTTGATGATCCTTTCAGTGCTGTGGATGCTCATTTGTTTAAGGTGAATCAAGCACGTTTCCATCTTCTGTTCTTATTCATTTGTTCTTCAATGAAACTTATCTTCTTTCTTCATATTGCAACAGGAAGTCTTGCTGGGACATTTGAGTTCCAAAACTGTGGTGTATGTCACACATCAAGTTGAATTCTTACCCGTTGCAGATCTAATTTTGGTGAGTACCTAATGACACTTTCCCCTTGATTATGCATTGTTGTTTCTTCAATTCATGAAAGAAAAAAGACTCAAATGCATTTGTAACTTTTGGTTGCATAGGTATTGAAAGATGGAAGGATAACTCAGGCTGGAAAGTAGAGTGACATTCTGAACTCAGGATCAGATTTTATGGAGCTTGTTGGTGCACATAAGGCCGCTTTGTCTGCGATAGATTCCAAAGCTTCGGAATCTGAGAATGGAAGCACTGTCAGTAAAGAAAATGGCGACATGAGCAACAGCAACGGGATTGAGCAGAAAGATGGAGACAAGGTATTGCAAAATGGTAAAGAAGAAGAGACAGGCGGGCCACAGGGTCAGCTTGTTCAAGAAGAAGAGAGGGAGAAAGGAAGAGTTGGATTTTCAGTCTACTGGCAGTATCTCACCACAGCATATGGAGGAGCTCTTGCACCACTGGCAGTGCTTGCACATTCCATGTTTCAAATCCTACAGATTGGCAGCAACTATTGGATGGCTTGGGCAACACCAGTGTCAGCGGATGAGGAGCCTCCTGTTCCTCCAATGACACTGATAGCTGTATACGTAGTTTTGGCTGTTGCAAGCTCTCTGTGCATCCTAGGAAGATCCACAATCCTTGCAGCCATAGCTTACAAAACCGCAACCCTGCTCTTCAACAAGATGCATATGTCCATTTTCCGCGCTCCCATGTCATTTTTCGACTCAACGCCTAGTGGCAGGATACTCAATCGAGTAAGTTGGTTGACCATTTTTTTTCCATGCTAACTGAATTATGTTGGTTACTGCATACTAAAAATCATGCGTTTATATTGAGCTTTTGCCTATGCTTATAACAGGCTTCCACTGACCAAAGTGCTGTGGATCAGCAAATTCCTTACCAACTTGGCGCAACTGCCTTCTCCATAATACAACTTCTGGGAATCATTGCAGTGATGTCTCAAGTGGCATGGCAAGTTTTTATCGTATTTATTCCTGTTATTGCTATCAGCATCTGGTATCAGGTAGGCTTTATGTTAATCCCTTAATTATTCTTTGTCGATCAAATGTTATTATCGTGTACTAAGTCGAATGTTTAATCACATTTCTGCTTATTTGCAGCAATACTACATACCAGCAGCTAGAGAACTCTCACGGCTTATTGGAGTGTGCAAAGCTCCAGTGATCCAACATTTTGCTGAAACAATTTCAGGCACAAGCACCATAAGGAGCTTTGATCAACAACCAAGATTCAAAGAGACCTCTATGAAACTTACAGATGCATATTCCCGCCCCAAGTTTCATACTGCTGGAGCAATGGAATGGCTTTGTGTTCGCTTGGACTTTTTCTCTTCTATAACATTTGCCTTCTCTTTGTTTTTCTTGATCTCTTTCCCTGGAATAGATCCATGTAAGTACCTTCTCTCTTCATCTTCCCTTTGCTATTATATTTCTTCATAAAGAGTATAACCATTGAAACTGATATGTTGCATTGTCTTTTGGGTTTCTCCCCTCCAACAGCCCTTGCTGGCTTAGCGGTGACATATGGACTCAATCTAAACATGATTCAAGCTTGGGTGATATGGAATATCTGTAATCTGGAGAACAAAATCATATCAGTAGAGAGAATCCTTCACTACATTTCTATTCCAAGCGAGCCTCCTCTTGTAATAGAAGAGAGCAAACCCGACCCTTCTTGGCCGTCACATGGAGAAGTTGTGATTGATGGGCTGCAGGTACAAGTTTCCGCCCTTATTTCACCATCCTTTCTCTCTTAGAAGTTCACCTTCAGACTCGCATTCCGAAACATTTTTGCGCATTTTTCAGGTTCGATATGCTCCACATTTGCCACTTGTGTTGAGAGGTCTTACCTGCACATTTCAAGGAGGAAAGAAAACAGGAATTGTGGGCAGAACGGGCAGTGGTAAATCAACCCTTATACAGACACTTTTCAGGATTGTGGATCCAACAGCTGGGAGGATCACCATCGATGGCGTCGACATCTCATCAATTGGACTCCACGATTTGCGGTCAAGGCTCAGCATTATACCTCAAGATCCAACCATGTTTGAAGGGACTGTAAGAAGCAACCTGGACCCTCTTGAGGAATATTCTGATGCGCAGATTTGGGAGGTTAGTTCTTTTTCCTTTTTTTTGCTCTAATTTGCCCTCTCTTGAGTTTATGTGTTAACCCTCCTCTTGTGTCTGAACTATGACAAATGCTAGGCTCTGGATAAGTGCCAACTTGGAGATGAAGTTAGGAAGAAGGAGAAAAGGCTGGATTCTGCAGGTTGGTTTTTTTGTTTGTTCTTGTGTTGACATAAAAGGTTTTGCCTACTGACACTGTAAAAAGTAAAGCTAAAATATGATTTCAATTGCTGGCTTGCAGTTACTGAGAATGGAGAGAACTGGAGTATGGGGCAGAGACAGTTAGTATGTCTTGGCCGTGTTCTGTTGAAAAAGAGCAAAGTGTTGGTTCTGGATGAAGCTACTGCCTCAGTAGATACAGCCACTGATAATCTGATTCAGCAAACACTTAGACAAACACTTCTTCGATTGCACAGTTATCACCATTGCCCATCGAATAACATCCGTTCTTGATAGTGACATGGTTCTTCTGCTCAGCCACGGTGAGTTTATCTGGACTCTACCCATTTACTTGGTTCGTATCAGGAAAAAAACATCAGATTGCTGATGATGTAGTATCGTCGTTTTTGTGTCACCAGGCTTGATTGAGGAATATGATACACCAGCAAGATTGTTGGAGAACAAGTCATCCTCGTTTGCTTAACTTGTAGCGGAGTACAGTGAGAGGTCGAAAGAACAGTAAACATAACATTCTTCAAAGCCATATTAGCTAAAGATTCCTGAATTTCCTTCTTCTTTCCTAAAGTATTAGAGACGATCAAAATATCAGGGAACTTACCTTATGCTATTGGTTGCAGATTCCTGAGTTTCCTTCTTCTTTCAGAGAGCATTGGAGACGATCAGAACATCAAGGAACTTACATTCTGCTTGTCGCCATACCTGCTGCTCTGATCTTCATGCATAAGCTTCAATTGAGAGGTAAAGGCTGATGTCAATTTCAGGTTTAAAAAAAATGTGAAAGGTAAAAATAACTTAAACAAACAAACAAAAAAAAACCAGCTCAAGTGAAAAATGACATGAATTAGCCATGCCAAAAACAATCACATTCACAGGGTGCTATGTACGGAAAATAGTAAAGGATACACAACCTGTAAGTTAAGAAGTTTATAAGTGCCTCTTCTAAGTAAATAACATGGTCGTATTAGGTCTATATACTATGTTTGACTTGCTATTCTAACTGCTTGAGAAGATAAAGTACGATGACCAAAATCTGTCGAATATAATGTTTGCACTAATTTATTTATGTCTGAATGTTATTGTCAGATGGAAATGAAAGGCTATGAAAACCAGCTTACCTCTCATAAAAATGCGCTCATTCAAGGGCTAATAAAAGGATCTGCAGCAAGAGCACATCTCTGTGTACTGCTTCCTTTTGCATAAGGCTCAGTAACAGGTGACTAAGTAAGGCTTGTTGACTTTGTGAGTGAAAGGAACCAACCAGCACGGCAAGAAAATGAAAGTGGGAAAAAACTATTCTTCACAGTTGATTATTTATGGGTGAAGGCGGGAGAGAAAATGCTTATTTATCCCCTCTCTCTCGACAGTTCGATCTCCTGCCTTTGATGTTGCAAGAATTCATGGGAAACAAAATGACACAGCAAACAGGTAAGTTGGGGAGAAAAGTGTAATCAGCTTCTTCCACGAATACATGGCCACTGGCCAAAATTGTACAACACACCTTGACGCCAAATATTTGAACATTAGATGCTTATTAACACAATAAGCAATAATCATCTACTCCTGTAAAACAATCGAAGAACCAATGCAACCACAAATTATTCAAATCCAAAAACTGGTGAGAAATTATATATGTGCATTCCCATTAAGAGTTCAGCAATGCTATAACCTCAACTAACAAATATGAGTGCTATACACTATCCTTAGCCTACACGATATCACTCCACGCTAATTCTTTGATTTCAACCGAGCAACACCAAAATTCACATCTGCACCCTAACCACAATTCCATATTACACATTCAAACATCTCAGTGACCAACAACGTAGCAATGAACTGGTCAAATAAAAGCACGTTGAAAGATGTCGAGCAAAAGTACATAGATAGAACAGAACGTTTCCGCAGTTGTAGAAGTTAAAATGAGAGAAGAGAATGAAGACTAACTCACCGGAGCATAAACCCAAGGGGATGAGATCAGAGCGTCCTGTTTTCCTTCTTCTCCGTGTTCTTCTTTTGAAGCTTCTCGTGTTCCTGGTGATTCTTCTTCCACCATCAAAACAAAGAGAGAGATGGGGAATGAGGAGGGAAACCACTTCCAGGGCTTGAGAAGTACTCTGCTACTTCTTTTGGCCGACAGATGGAGATGATAAGTTCACGAATCCACTAATTTGGTGGCCTTGGGAAGATGACAACCAACAGAGATTTGTGGTACCGATGAAATACCCGGAGAGGAGGTTATGAAAAGAGTCCACCAACTCCCCTTCCTTCTCGCCGCCTTATTCTCACCATGCTCCTCCTATAAATCGATTTCGTCGACGACCGCAACAGTGAAATTTTCAGGATTTGCGCTGCAAGAGAGAAGAAGGGTTAGGGGGGATTGCGGATGGCAAAAGAGGGGAAAGCATTTCTCTCCGGCAAGTACAATCCAAGCCAACTGGTGGAGAGAGGGCAGCACTGTAGAAGCAGAAGGAAGGTGGCGTGGTGAAGCAATCGATGACTGACCAACCATAGAAATACGGGCGGAATTGTGAGGAACTGACAACTTGATGGAGCGCCACTGAGAGATGAGATGACAGGAGACGACGTGCGGCAGCGGATTTCTGGAGCGGGGGTGAAGGGATGGTGAGAGGGTACGGAAGCATGGTCGTATGTTGGGGAGGGGAAGGCCGTCTCGGTCGAGGGCAGGCAAATTGGCATAGTTGGGGAAGTTCTCTTCAACCCTATTCATAAAACGACAAATAATGAAACAGTAAGAATTTTCGCAGAGAGATCTGAATCACGATATCAGAGAGTAGCCACATTTGCAAGATCAAATGATAAAACCAAGATTGTTGGGTAGTTGCAGTATCTTCACCAATGGTTCCTCAACTCCCATCTGAACTTAAGATGGACTTGTTCTCATATCAGTGGAAAATCAACTCCTATCTCAGACTCTCTAAATAGAATCAATCTACAGGCTGCTGTGTCGTTTAAAATTGCTGGACCGACCAGTTTGCAGACTAATACCACCAGTAATGAGTCACTGAACTAACTCCTTTCCATGACACCCATAAGCACTTTTCCTTCGGAGAAAACAATATCATCCTCTAACATCACAAACATACCAATGTGAAGCAAGAAAACATACCATTAAAGATGTCAAACTCTCCTCCTTCTAGTATCTCAACAGAACAATTTTACAACACATCTGAATTTCGCTTTATATGAGTAGAAGATAAGTGCTAGCAACTACTTCTGTCCAACTTTTACCATCACACCTGGACAGATGAAAGCAAAGGAATTGGGAAACAAAACTAACGCTCACTTGTATGTAACGGGTGAACAACATAAACCACAACTTAGGTTTCAAAAGCTTCCCCGCCTGCTCTCCTTTAATCATATACCATCATGGCGGCGACCTTTGTAACTGCCTGGTGTCTGGAATAGGAAAAATCAAACCAGAATTAGACCCAAAGAAGCAATAGGACTGACAGAATGCCATAAGGCAGTGTTCTCAAGTTATTTTGATAAGAACCTTAATTTCAAAAGGCCAGTGAGCAAGCAACTCTCTAGTGGCAGGCTAAAGGAAGCCCTTGAACTGAAAATCAGATTCTTAATTTACCTCCATTAGAAGCAAAATTCGTATTTGGTGCAAAACTTTGAAGTTGCACTGGAATTTCAAACAACCAACACCTGATCAGAGACCGAGGGCAACTCACTTAACAATCTTTCTCATCAAATAACACCCTCAAAGGTATTTTATTCAAGTACCACCAGAGCAAAACAACAAACGTGCTAACCAGAGGTAGCTGGTCTAGCCTTCTGTTAAACAACAACATGGGGATAGCATTTCCGCGGCACTTCCTTTACGTAAGAGTTTTAGCAAACTTCAATGAAGTGGAAAAATTGAATGCCAGCTGCTGATTAAAATTGAATTTTCCTCTACGTTAGTAGAAGGAAAAATAACATAGGGGCATAAAACTTTTGTTGTATGTGCAATCACAATTTTCCTTGCAAGACTTCAACTACTTCACTTTCGGTTCTGACATAAGTGATGAGATACAAGCAATAGAAGTGCCATCAAGACAGAAACAATGCTCATTACATGCAAGAATTGAGCTCCCTCCAAGAAGATTTCCATAGACCAAGCATCAACGATAACCCAACATTCAAAGCATAACATGAAAAGAAGTCTACATACTGCATTCTGAAAGAGGAGCAAACACTACGGCAACCTTACAAGACACCCTGCCTAGTACTAAGGGTGTCTTCTTAGTAGTGTTTATAGCCATTTACATCGATCACAAAACAATCGTAATAATGTCACAATTTCAATATCCACTTTGAGGAATCGCCAATTGAGTAATCCACTGGAAGTGGAAACAAAAAAGAAAGATGATGTGATCATTTAGGACTTCCGCTCTGCGAAACAGTAGAAAACCAGCAAATTTGAGGTGGATAGAAGGGCAACTGATGGAACACAAACATTCCCATCTCATTTGTGTTAGAACTGGGCATCACTTTAAGTAAGCAAAACATGTTTTAAGGACTGCCAATCCATAGCTTACAGTCCCCACCATGATTGTGATTTGAGGGAAGGATACTAGAACAAATCCACGAGCAACTGATCATCTCAATTCAATTATAAGCCAAATTCATACGCAACTTTTCGCACCCATAGTTTTGATATAGAGGGGCAGATGGAATCAGTAGATGATAATATCTAAAAGTTCCCTTTTGGACAAAAAAAGGTGACTGGAAGCTGGAATCAATAACTGATAATATCTCAAAGTTCTAATTAATGGCTTCATTTAGGACAATGGAAAAACAGTTTCAAATACAGAAATCACTTAATCTGGAGCAACTGATATGACTAAACAATCATCTAAATGTAGGTACCATACCACTTTTTGATTGTCCTGTTTCGTGTTGAACATCCAAAAGTGCCCTGTAAACTACTCCATTTTACAGCACTGTAAAGCTTGGAACGTGGAAAGGAACCCCAACCACAAAAATAGAGAACCACCACAATGTGCAGCAAAAAGATCAACTACTACCTCAATTATAGGACAACAGCAAATTGTAACTTGGACAGGATCAAGGCTAAGCAAAGCTGCTGTTTGTGCCAATATATTCGTCAATACAGAATTGCCAAAAGTGAACATTTCTAAGAGTTTGGAGAGTGATGCTCAATAGGTATCAACAATAAATGGCAAGGCAATAAGATCAACAGACAACAGTTACATGAGGCATCAAGTAAAAAAGCTGAACTTCCAAAAATAACAGCCATCAAAAGCAACCATTTTACATAGTGCAGCTCTGGGAGAACTTCAACACATGTACGATCCAATTTCTTTACTTTGCAGAAAAAACTCGACTCAATGAAAACAATATTTCATTTCATCATGTGCTATATTTGAACAGAAGGGAACAGTAAGGTTGTTAGCACCACCTTAATAGCAATAATATCAGAACAAAATCCGTCTTCCAAAATTCTAATGTAAACTAGCTTGTAAGGCAACAGTATCATAAATGGAACAGGATCCAGGCTAGCAAAGCTGTGCATTTTAAGACGCCAACAGACTGAACAGAGCTATCAATGGAGAATTACCAAAAA